CTCCAAATAGTGGTGCCACGGTAGTGTGTTCTGGATCACTGAACAATCACCAATCTGTTGTTTTGACAGATTATTGAATTTAATGCTGACTCCAGAATAAACAACTATAATTCCTTTAGTGAAATCATTATACATTTAGATACAAATAGATACTGCTACAAATAGATACTTAGATTTCACATTATGGCTTTTTACTATGGATCTATAGTGTTGACTGTTATAAAACAAGTTCTGACTTTTTTTTTTCTTCTTTTAGGCAGCCTTATATTTTATTTTGTTTACTGACCTGCTATGAAACTTTTACATACTTTGTACATTTTGTTGATAAACAACTTTTACTTGACTTGAAAATAACTTTGGTATATTGTGGCTTTTTAAAATCTTTTAATGTGAAAAATTAACTGATGTATAAGAAATGAAAAAATATTAAAATGACAGCATATGAAATTCTGTGTTCCACCAGTACACATATGCTTGCCCATACATGCTTGAGGGTGGAAACATAAATGAAACCAAACCATTGCTCACAACAAGTATCAACGTGTGACTTCTTCATTCTGCAAATCACAGGTTGATAATCAATTCCCAAGATTCAATAACAAAATGCAGTATCTTTCCAAGGATAGCAATACAAACTTATTAATCAACACAAATAAATATTTTTTTTAATTTATTTTTATTTGAAAGATCAGATTTATAGAGAGAAAAATCCTCCATCTGTTAGTTTACTTCCCAAATGGCTGCAATGACCAGAGCTGATAATGAAGCCTAGAGCTTGGAGTCTCCTCCAGGTCTCCTATGTGTGTGCAAGGGTACAAGGCTTTGGGCCGTCCTCTACTGCTTTCCCAGGCTATAAGCAGGTTGCTGAAAAGCAAGTAGAGCAACTGGAACATGAACCTGTCATATCGCCCACCCCCCACTGCATCCTGCTGGGATGCAGATAAATCTTGTTTTGTTTCTTTCTTTCTTTCTTTCTTTCTTTTTTTTTAATTACAAAGTCAGTTATACAGAGGAACCTCTTCCAGGTCTCCCATGTGGGTGCAGGGTCCCAAAGCTTTGGACCGTCCTCAACTGCTTTCCCAGGCCACAAGTAGGGAGCTGGATGGGAAGTGGAGCTGCCAGGATTAGAACCGGCGCCCATATGGGATCTGGGTGCATTCAAGGCGAGGACGTCAGCCGCTAGGCCATGCTGCTGGCCCAAGATGCAGATAAATCTTAACAACAAGAGTACTGCAGGTGAAAGCGCCAGACAAGATGGATGTCTCATGCCTCTTACACACACCGGCCACCACGTGTGCGTGGTGAGCTGATCCTTGGCGGTCAGTGTGCCATTTGGCATCAGGCTCTGCCTGCTTGCCACCCAGCAATGCAGCTCTGGGATTTTGGTTCTTTGATTTGCTGTTCAGATAGCTCTAGGCTGAACCCACAATGCTTTGCGGCCGTGAGTCAATCCTAAGGATTCTCAATGACAGTAAATCTTCCTCTGATGAAGCTATAATTACTTAATAATGCTGAGCACCGAACGCCAGTTCATTCAAAGGCTAAGACTCTGGGCATGCCCAGCAAGATGTCCCCATCTGACATGATGATGGATCAGCAGAAGGGTCACAGTAGGCAGGACCGTGACATTGACTGGCACTCGAGAATCATATCTGGGGGTAGAATGAGTGGGGGGGTGGGCCACACCATATGGAAATTCTAACCCACTGGATGGCTTAGGAGTGGGGATGGTGATGGTCTAAACTGGATGAGACCAAGGAGCTTACCATCAACCACAGATGAAAGAACCCTCAATAGACTGGACAGGTCAGGGTAGTGGCACCCGAATGTCCATCCTGAAAGGGATGCGAGGTGGGCAGGGATGCTGCGTTCGCCAACTCATGCAAGGCCGAAAGGAAGGTCGGTCTGTGCCAGGCATTGGCCTAAAACCCAACGGCAAGTGTGAGAATTCTGTATGGAAGGGGATAAAGGGGAGAAACTTAAGAAATTCTCCTGGTGAGCCATGGCTCCCACTGGTGAATAGGAGGTCCGGAACTGGGGGTCGGGCAGGCTGGGCAAAGTAGCTCCGAATGTTCATCCATGTATGGAAAGGTGATGGATCGGGCGCCCCGGGCAGCACTGAGCAAACGTTAGCCCACAAGTTAAATTAGAAATCAGGATGGACCACAAGACATGCCCAGCTAGGTTCTTGTACCAGTTGGTCTGTGTGAGCCAAGGATGAGGAGCCACAGTGTCTAGGGCAGGGGTTGTGACAGGCGATGGGCTGTGCCGAGCCGGGCCAGAGCAACCACTGGCACGTTCAACACTGGCTGGGAACAGGCCAGGTTGGGGAGCTGGGGGGAGACCCAGGCTGGATGGGGGTTCCCACCAAGGGGCGCACAGGCTGGAATGGGGCTGCATTCTGGTCAGGATACAGTTGTAGCCTCCCTTGGCACAAGTGTGGATTGGGACTTGACGCACCGGGCCGGGCCAGACTGCAACACCTTCTGGTGTTCTGGAAGACCAGGGTAGATGTGGGACGGACTAGGCTGGCTTTCAACCCCAACTGAGCCATGTATATGTTATATGTGGATATGGATGAGCTGTGGCTGGGCTGAAGTATCCAACAACAGGAACCAGAATGGGTTGAAGGCCAGCTAAGAAAGCCACTGCTCCAGCTGGGATAAGAGGTGAACTGAGTGGTGCTGGCCCATGGACCCACTGGTAAGCGTGAAACCTGGCATCAGGAGAGGTTCTGAAGGAACCACTCACTATTGCACTCCCCCAATGCCTGCAAATGCAGGAATTGGTCCAGCTTCAAGTAGGTGCCAGGAACTTGGTCTGTATCTCTCAGATGAGTAGTGTAGAGCCATTTACTCGAGCGGTCTCCACCACCTCCCAACATCTGCGTTGGCCGGAAACTGAAGCTGGGAGTTGAACCCAGGCACTATAATAAGGATCCGCGATGGGCCAGCTTTGACTTTACCACCGAGTCCGGCACTCCTACATCCAAGGTTTGCTTGCTTGCTTGCTTGCTTGCTTTTCTCTCTCTCTTTTTAAGATTTGTTTATTTCTTTATTTGAAAGACAGAATTATAGCAAGAGGGGGAAGGGAGCAAACACAGAGAATTTACATGTGTTCATTGGCTTTCCAAAAGGCCACGGTGGCCAGGTCTGTGCCAGGCCGAAGTCTGGAGCTAGCTAGGTCTCCATCCGGGTTTCCCACATGGTGGTAGGCGCCTAGATGCTTGAATCCCTTTTTGGTTCTTTCCCAGGTATGTTAACAGGGAGCAGCTGAGACTCTTATCCAGTGCTCACATGGGGTATCCATGTCACAAGTGGTGGCTTAAGTCACCGTGCCACAATACTGGCCCCTCTGACAGCTTTTTCAGAAACAATTCACTTTAAAAAATGATTTATTTATTTATTTATTTTATTTTAAAGATTTATTTATTTTTATTGGAAAGTCAGATATACAGAATGACAGAGAGGAAGATCCTCCATCTAATGATTTATTCCTTAAATGGCTGCAATGGCTAGAGCTGCACCAACCTGAAGCCAGGAGCCCAGAGTCTCTTTCAGGTCTCCCATGTGGGTGCAGGGTCTCAAGGCCCTGGGCTGTCCTCAACTGGTTTCTCAGGCCACAAGCTGGGAGCTGGATGAGAAGTGGAACAGCCGGGATTAGAACTGGTGCCCATATGGGATCCCAGCGCATTAGGCAATCTTCATTGCTTTTGCAGGTCACAAGCAGGGAGTTGGATCATAAGTGGAGTAGCCAGGACACAAACTGGTAACAATTTGGGATGCTGGTACTTGAAGGTGGAAGATTAGCCAGTTGAGCCAATGTGCTGGCCCCAGTTTCAGAAGATTTTTGTTGGTAATGCCATTTTCTGTGACACTGGCGTCCCCTAGGGGCACTGATTTATATCCTGGCTACTCTGCTTCCAATCCAGCTCCCTGCTAAGGGCCCAGGAAAGTCAGTGTAAGAACATCCAAGTGTTTGGGCCTATGCTGATCATTGGGAGACCTGAATGAAACTCCTGACTACAGCCTGGCAGAGTGTTGTTCATCGAAGCTATTTGGGAAGTACACAGCAGATGGCCAATTTCTCATTCTGTCTCTCCTTTGTCTCCCTCACTCCCAAATAAATAAATAAATAAATCTTAAAAAATATTCTTACTACCTCCAAATAAAACCCCATATATGTTAGCAGTCACTCCTTCCTTCTGTTAACTCCTGCAACCAAGTATCTATTTCTGTATCTGTGGATTCTCCTGAATATTTATGTAAATTGCTCATGTGGCAGATGCCTTTTTATGTCTGGCTTCTTTAAATTAACATTAATTTCAAGGTTTAAACGGTTGTTCATTTCTTTTTACAACTATGTTGTGTTCCATCATATGTATAGGCCCTTTTTTGTTTATCATTTCATCTCTTGATATTAAGTTCATTCCATTTTTTTTATATTACAAGTAGTGCTGATGTGAACATTTGTGAATGCATTTTCTTGTAGATTATAAGTGAAATTGCTAAGTCATACAATAATGATGTTTAATATTTTGGGGGAACTGCCGAGCTGTGGTCCAATGTGATTGGAACAGACAGTTTTCATTTTTGCTAGTCACATACCAGTGTTTGGCTTTTACACATTATTGCCAACAGTTATTTAAGATCTAGAAACTGCATCTTGATCTTCCACATGAGTGATAGTGCCCTAGGAATTTAGGTTGTCTTCTGCTGCCTTCCCAGCTCTATTAGTAGGCACCTGATTTGGAAATGGAGTAGCTAATACTCAAACCAACATTCTAGGATGGGATTCTGGTGTTGCAAGGGGCAGGTCAATTCACTGTCCCTCAATTCCAGCCCCTGGAAATATTCCTTAATATCTTTTTAAATCCTTTGCTTTTTAATTGGGTTGTCTTTTATTGCTTAATCAAAGAGTACCATATATTGTGTTGTTTTTTTTTTTTAAATATGGTTGTAGGCATTTGTATGACTAATTTTTCTCTCTCTTTTTGGAAGGTCCTGTACAAAATGTTCTGATGTCTTCACAAGTGTCAGTGAGCCGAGGCTATAACTCACAGCTTCCAGGATCCTACCCTCATCTAATACCAGCAAAGACTTTGAATCCAGTCTCTGGACAGTCTAACTATGGTGGTTCTCAGGGATTGGGGCAGACTTTGAATAGACCACCTGTGGCTTCTCATCCAGCGATGCCCACGCTCCATAGTGGTCCTGTTCCTCAAATGCCACCTCCTGGTTCTCAGAACCCAGCTGCTACACCAATGCCTTCTGGTAGTTTTCTTCCTGGAACCAACTTGTCAGCACCCTTGAACTGGCAGTATGCCTATCCATCTTCAGGTTCACAGACAAACCATTTTCCTCCTTCATCATCCCAACTAACTGTATCTGGGAATACAAATTTAACAACAAATCATCAGTATGTTTCTTCTGGGGATCCTTCACTTCAAAACAGCCTCATAAAGTCATCAGGTAATTTTTTTTTTTTTAATAGCAGTTCTTGAAATGAAATGCGGGGACTGGTACTCTGGCTTAGTGGATAAGACTGCCACCTATGGTGCCAGCATCACTTAAAGGTGCTGGTTCCAGTCCCTGACTGCTCTACTTCTGATCCAGCTCCCTACTAATGTGCCTGGGAAAGCAGTGGAAAATGGCCCAAGTCCTTGGGTACCTACACCCATATGCGAGACCTGAAAGAAGCTCCTGATTCCTGTCTTTGGACTGTCCCAGTTCCAGCCATTGGGCCATTTGGAGAGTGAACCAGCAGATGGAAGACCCCTTTTTGTGTCACCAACAACTTCTCTCTGTAATTTTGCTGTTCAAATGAATGAATTAAAAAGAAAAAAGAACGTAAAACTCTTGCTTATTGAAACATTTGCTTGTTTAGGTTTTTAAATTTAAAAATTTTTTTTAAACTTTTAAAAATGTTTTTTTTTTAAAGATTTATTATTGTTTATCAGAAAACCAGATTTACAGAGAGAAGGAGAGACAGAGAGAAAGGTCTTTCATCTACTGGTTCACTCCCCAAGTGACCATAATGTCCAGAGCTGAGCTGATCCAAAACCAGGAGCGAAGAGCTTCTTCTGGGTCTCCCATACAGGTGCAGATCCCAAAGTTTTTAGCAGTCCTCTACTGCTTTCCCAGGCCACAACCAAGGAGCTAGATGGGAAGTGTAATAGCTGGGATTAGAACCGATGCCCATATGGGATCCCGGCACATGCAAAGTGAACACTTTAGCCACTAGACTATCACACTGGGCCCTCTAATTTTTATTTTTGTAAGATTTATTTATTTGAAAGATAGGTGGCTCCTACTTCTAATATCCAAATACCCTCAAAAGCTGAGGGGCCAGAGTTGGTAGCTTGGAAGTTAGTTCAGCCGTCACTTATGGGCATCGGGAATGAATGACCTGCCAGAGTCTGTATAGCAGGAAACTGGAACAGTAGCCAGATTAAGGAGTCAGACTCCGGTATATGGGAAGTGGTTGGCAGAAGTATGAGTCCAAATGCATGTCCTGGCAAACATGTTATTTAAACTGTCTAATAAAATTGGTGGGGGCTGGCACCAGCACTGTGATATTAGTATATTAGACTTCCTCCTATAGTGCTGGGCTCCCATAAAGGCTGTGGTTTGAGTCTTAGCTGCTTCATTTCTGATCCAGCTCCCTGCTAATGTGCCTGGTGAAAGATGGAGCAAGTCCTTGAATTCTTATGCTCACATGGGAGACCTGGAAGGGGATCCCAGCTCTGGCTCTGAGTCTAGCTCTGGGGAGTGAAGCAGCTAGTGGAAGATCTTTCTCTGTTTCTCCTTTCTCTGTATATCTGCTTTTTAAGTAAAAATAATTTTTTTTTTCTTTAAAGAGTAGTGTAGGCTTGGTGTGGTAACCTAGTGGCTAAAAATCCTTGCTCTGCGTGCTCAGGGATCCCATATGGACACTGGTTCATATCTTGGCTGCTCCTCTTCACACCCTGCTTGTGGCCTGTGATAGCAGTAGAAGACAAGCCAAAGCCTTGGGACCCTGCATCCGTGTGAGGGAACAGAAGAGGCTCCTGGCTCCTGGCTTTGGATCAGCCCAGTTTCAGCTGTTGCAGCCATTTGGGGAGTGAACTGGTGGATGAAAGATTCTCTCTCTGTCTCTACTCTCTCTGTAACACAGCCTTTGAAATAAAAAGTGAATAAATCTTTTAAAAATTATCCATTTAAATTTTTTTTAAAACTTAAGAGGAATTTATGAACGTATTTTATTTGTTTGAAAGGCAGAGAAAGACAAAGATTCCCCACCCACTGGCTCACTCCCCAAATGTCTACAATAGCCGGGGCTGGCCCAGAGTAAGTCCTGGTGCTGAGGATTCAGTCTGTGTCTTCTAACTGGGTTCCAGGCCCCAGCTCAGGGAGCCACTGCTGACTGCCTCCCGACGTGTGCGTGTGACAGAGCCAGAAATGGAGGCTGAGTCCAGGTCATCAAACCTGGGCATCAGAATAGGTGATGCCAATGGCCAAGTGCTGTGTTATCTTCTGTGCCAAACATCCACACCTTAATGTTTTTCCCTCGTGACCCACCTTGTGACATTGTTAAATTAATTGCTTTTAAAAATTTCAAAGAAGGCTGCAAAATTCTAGCTATGAGTTTTATAAATAAGAACTATTTAACTTGATAAGTAATCTTATGAAATGTTACATATTTTGGATTTATAAATATATATATTATTTATTTTTTAAAAATTTTTATTGGAAAGGCGGATATACAGAGAGGAGAGACAGAGAGGAAGATCTTCCATCCGATGATTCACTCCCCAAGTGAGCGCAACAGCCGATGCTATGCCGATCCGAAGCCAGGAGCCTCTTCCGGGTCTCCCATGCAGGTGCAGGGTCCCAGCTTCGGGCCGTCCTCGACTGCCCTCCCGGGCCACAGGCAGGGAGCTGGATGGGAAGCGGGGCTGCCGGGATTAGAACCGGCACCCATATGGGATCCCAGGCATGCAAGGTGAGGACCTTAACCACTGTGCCATCGCACCGGGACCCTATAAATATATTTTTAAAGCAAAAGTGGGACTGGTGCTGTGGCATAGGGGTAAAGCTCTGATTCATGTCCTAGTCATTCCACTTCTGATTCTGCTCCCTGTTAGGGTGCCTGGGAAAGCAGCAGATGACCCCAGTGCTGTGCCCCTACAGCTATGTGGGAAACCCTGGCTCCTAATTCCTGCCTGGCTTGTTCCTAAGCATTGCGGCCATTTAGGGAGTGAGACAACAGATGGAAGCTCTCTCTTCCTCTCCTCTGTGTCTCCTAAGCCTGTACCTCTGCCTTTCAAATAAGTAAATAAATATATCATAAAAGCAAAAAACCCGCAAAGTTTCTGTAAGCTTATTTAGGTTGGTGCATCTTTGTGACTGGGAATGGCATGCACTGTTGTTCATGATGAGTTGGTCATGGACTTTGCCCCATTGGTCTTTGACCTTTCTGTATTGCCACAGTTATATGTGGGTGCTTCTTCAGTAAGGGAGTTAAATGTTGATAATCTTTGCCCTAACTTCTGTTGACACGGCACTAATTAGCATTACTAGGAGATATAAGGATCCTAAATAATTTTTCTATTGCCCTCTGGAGAATTTAAGAACATATTGAATATTTGAAAATTTTTAGTCTTATAAAAACAGGGTTAGTTGTTTAATAATTATGAATAGCTGAAAGTTTGCATAATACAGCCTGAAACTTGAAGATTTGAGAGCTTAATTATGTGTTTTCTACTATGCTTTTTTTAAAAAGATTTACTTATTTTTATTTGAAAGGAAGATTTACAAAGAGAAGGAGAGACAAAGATCTTCCATCTGCTAATTCACTCCTTAAATAGGGACAGTGGTCAGAGCTAAACTGATCAGAAGCCAGGCGCTTCTTCTGGGCCTCCTACATGGGTACAGGGTCTCAAAGGTTTGGGCCATCCTGTACTGCTTTTCCAGGTCGTAAGCAGGGGGCTGGATAGGAAGTGGAGCAACCAGGACACAAATTGGTGTCCATATGATATGCTGGCAGAGAGAAATTAACAACTAAACCATCACACCTGGCCCTTCTATTATGTAGCTAAATTAATTGATATTAGTTTTTGCACTATCCAGAAATCTAAATGGTAGAAAATAATATCATTTAGGTTGAATTTCCACTGCAGAATAATATAGTCTCAAGTTCTGTACTTAAGACCATACTTTTAAAAAAAGATTTACTTTTATTTGAAAATTAGAGTTAGAGTAGGAGAGACAGACATCTCCATGTGCTGTTTCACTTCCCAGATGACCACGACCAGAGCTGGGAGCTTTTTCCTTGCCTCCCATGTGGGTACAGGGTCTGTCTTCTGCTGCTTTCTCATGTTGTAAGTAGGAAGATAGATCAGAAGTGGAGCCACCGAGTACTTGAACATGGAATGCCATGGCAGGCAGAGGTTAGCGTGCTGTACCACTGTGCTGGCCCCCTACAACTGTAATCTTCAAACTCTTACATGACGACAACTCACATTAATGCAGTGCCAGGAAGGCTTTATCTTAAAATGATAGTGACGTTTGCATTTTTCTTCATCTGCCAAAGTGTAAACTAAGGCACCTATAACTGGAAGTCATCTCTCTGCCTCTCAAACAAACAAATAAATAAATGAGAAAGAGTCAGCAGGGGGATGGCCTTGGGACTGGCATTCCACATCACAGTCCCTGGGTTTCTTACCTGTCTGTCCCTGCCCTGCTTATCGCAGGCATTTCGCATGTGAAGCAACAGATGACAAAAATTTTTGTCTCTGATTCTCACTGACTTTTTACTTTTCGAATAAGTATTTTAAGTGATAAGAAGTTAATAATTATGAAGAAATGTTATTACCCATTTCATGAAAGCTCATGTTTAAGAAAAAGTTTTGGGCTTGATTGCTATTGCAGGCATTTAGAGTAGTAAGAACTCTTTGTGTTTTCTTTGTCTCTTAAATAAATAATCATTTTAAGTCTGGAATGAAGAAATGAAATATACACTTAATTACTGATGTTTTATTCGGTAGACTTTATTTCTTCTTTTTGGTAATGGGAACATAAAAGCAATTGTGGTGGACCCAGCGCTGTAGCCTATTGCCTAAAGTCCTCACCTTGCATGCACTGGGATCCCATATAGCACCGGTTCTGGTCCCGACTGCTCCAGTTCTCCCATCTAAGTACTAATCAGGCCCGACCCCGCTTAGCTTCCAAGATCAGACGAGATTGGGCATGTCAGGGTGCTATGGCCTTATATCCGGCTGCTCCACTTCTAATCCAGCTCCCTGCTGGTGGCCTGGGTAAGCAGTAGAGGAAGGCCCAATGCCTTGGGACCCTGCACCCGTGTGGCAAAGTCAGAAGAGGCTCCTGGCTCCTGGCTTCGGATTGGCTCGGCTCTGGCCAATGAGGCCACTTGGGGAGTAAACCAGTAGATGAAAAATCTTTCTCTCTTTTTCTGTGTTTAAATGTCTTTCCAATAAAAAAAAAAAAGTCTTAAAAAAAGTAATTTTGGTATTTTCAGAATAAGAAAGAACAATAAGTGAACGGGGGTTTAGGAAACTGATAACATGTAGAAAAAATTTGTTACACTAGTTAGAACTTTTGTACAGATAGGAAGATGATGAAATTAAGATGATGAGAGCTGTTGGGTTTGAGGACAGATTTCATGTTGTTGCTAGTTTGTTTCATTTGATAGTTTTCAAAATTTATAGATAGGGCCCAATGTGATAGCCTAGTGGCTAAATCCTTGCCTTGCATGCCATGGGATCCCAAATGGGTGCCAGTTCATGACCTAGATGCTTCACTTCCCATCTGGTTCCCTGCTTGTAGCCTGGGAAAGCAGTGGGGCCATGCTCAGAGGAAGCTCCTGATTCCTGGCTTCAGATCAGCTGAGCTATGGCCACTGTGACCACAGGAGTAAATCAGCATAAATCTTTGTGTCTCCTTTCTGTAAATCTGCCCTTCCAATAAAATAATAAATAAACTTTAAAAAATTATATGTATTATATGTTTACAAATATAAATTTTAAAAAAATTATTTTTATTGGAAGGGCAAATATTTAGAGAGAAGGAGAGACTGGGAGAAAGATCTTCCATGCTTACATTTACTCCCTAAATAGCTGCAATGGCCAGTGCTGAGCCAATCCAAAGTCAGGAGCCAGAAGCTTCTTCAGGCCTCCCACATGTGTGCAGGGTGACAAGGCTTTAGGCCGTTCTCTACTGCTTTCCTGGGCCACAAGCAGGGAGCTGGATGGGAAGTAGAGCAGCTATGACCACAGATTGACACCCATATGGGATCCCAGCACATACAAGACAAGGATTTAGCCATTGAGCCTTTGTGCCAGACTCTAAAATTTTATATTTTTAAATGAAATATTCCTTTAAAAAATACAAATTTACAGAAAAAAGGAGAAACAGAGATTTCTCATTAATGAATTCATTCCTCAGATGGCCGGGATGGCTGGATCGGGGCTCATCTCAAGCCAGGAGCTTCTTCAAGTTCTCTCACTTGGTTACAGGTGTCTTAGGAGTTGGGGCCCTCTTCCACTGCCTTCCCAGGCCAGTAGTAGGGAGGTGAATTGGAAGTGGGACTCGAAGCAGAATCCCTATAGATGCTTGTTCTGCAGGCAGAAGCTTAGCTTGCTATGCCATGGTCTGGCTCCCGTGTTCTTAATGTAATCTAAAGCCAGTATAGAAGGCAAACTCTCTTTAACTATTATTTAAACATTAAACAAATTTACAATCTCATTAAAACATTTTATTTATTTAGGGACAGAGCTCTGTCATCTGTTGTTTTACTCCCTAAATGTCCACAAAAGATGGGGGCTGGACCAGGTTGGACTTGGTCATCAGGAATCCAGTTTAAGTGTCCCACATGGGTGACCAGAAGTCAGTTACTCGAGGCATCATCACGAGCCCTAGCGTCTGCGGTGGTAGGGAGCTGGTCATGGGGCCAGAGCTGAAAGTGAAACGAAGGTTCTCCAGTGTGCGATGTGGGCATCTCGCTACTTGGTTAAAAATCTCGTCTATAGTTAGTTTTAATAAGTTTTACTCCAGTGAACAAAGCAAAATAAGACAAAACTTGGAGAATTTAGGATAAATATAATATACTATGTTTTTACCCACTGTAAATTTAATTTGGTATTACTTAAGCAGACTATGTTAATAAGCAGAATTAAGATAATATTGTGAAATTAATAAAGTAAAATTAGCATGTCTTGTTAATTTCAACTAAATGTTTCCCATGACTTACAAAGCTTCCAAGATCAGTTAATGAAAATTTGGTAAATATAATATTCTATCTAGAAGTGGCTTGATGCAGATGTTTCTTTGAACTGCTTTAATGAAGGTTAAGAAGCATGACAAATGGAGTTGGAGATGTATTAGAAATCCATAGAGATTATAAGGTCACAAATGTAGGGAGTTAAAATATTCTGTTAATTTGCTAAGAATTATAAATAAAGTATAAATTTGGAAGTTACTGGGCTCTGGGAGGAGGTGCAGTACATTCTCAAGTGAGGTGTGAAAAAATTAATGTTTCCATAGGTTCTGCAGCACCCTTAAGAAATCCACCTCTGCCTGCCACTTTTCAGCCGGGAGCTCCTCACGCGCTCCCTCCTCCACCTCGAGGCCCAGCTCCCGTGCGGGCGCCCACCCCGCAGCCATCGTCACAGGGAGTGGTGCAGCCTTCATTTAATTCAACTGGCAGTCAGGAAGGTAAGCAGATCAAAACCAAAGTCACATCCGGAACTTTCGTCTTCTCTTTCTTAAAAAAGATTTATTTATTTTTATTGAAAAGGCAGATTTATAGAAAGGAGAGGCAGAGATCTTGCATCCACTTTTTTATTCCCTAAATGACCTCGGTATCCAAAGTCGAGCTGATTCGAAGTCAGGAAGCAGGAGTCTTCTCCAGGTCGCCCATGTGGGGGCAGGGTCCCAAGGACTTGGGCCATCCTCCACTGCTTCCCCAGCTCATAAGCAGGGAGCTGTACGGGAAGTGGAGCAGTTGGAGCACTGTCTGGTGCCTGTCTGGGAAACTGGTGCTTGCAGGTGGAGGATTAGCCAGTTGTACTGGCTCCTGAAGTTTTGTCTTAAGGTAGAAAGATGAATACTATCTGCATTCTTTGCTATTAAAATCATATTTTTGTAGACAATCTAGTTTTGGCTAGAGTGGACTTCAGGAATTTTGAGTAAAGAAGTTTCTCAGGAATGTCACTATATTATGTTAGGCTGTGGACTAGCAATTGGAATCCACTGTTCCTAACATTTTCAGTTATTGTTTTTGTTGCTCTGCAGATTGATTTATTTTATTTATTTGAAAGTCACAGAGACAGAGAGATTTCCTACCTGTTGGCTCACTCTCCAAATCCCCACAGTAGCTCAGATATTCCAGGCTGAATCCAGGAACCCAAACTCAATTTTGTTTTCCTAGGAGGGTGGTACCTGGCCTGGTCTAGGCTTCTCCCTTTCTTGGTTCTTACGCTCACCTGTAGGGACTGTTTCCTGTCAGAGAGTTGCCAACTCCTCCATCAGAACCTCTCCCAGTGCCAGATCTTGTGCACACCGATGGGCCCTACTTAAGCCGTCTCCTGTCCTATCTGGAACAGTGGCCTTTCCTTACTGGCCCTGACCCATTACAGTTCTTACTGTTGGGTGCTACACTTTTCAGTTTTGAGTCAGGTTGTCACAAGGCACCTGCTGTTGTCTTGCCAGGGCCAGACCAAATGATTTCAAAAGATCTGTAGGCCAGAAGTTTCCTACTCCTGCCATTAGCAATAAAGTAAAATAACTATTTTCATTGTATTAATTGTGAAATGTATTCTAGGGTGATTTAAAGTATACAGGTGTTTGTGCATAGAATATATGCACATATCATGCTGTATGATATGTGTGAGGTTTTGGTAGTGTTAATAGCGTACTTGGAGCAGTCCTCCTTCAATGTTGTGAGACGATTATATTTCTATGTTGTGTTCAAATTAATTTTTAGTTCTATTAGATTTTTGAAAATGAGCTCTCTGATCAGTATTTTACTTTTGTCCAAGTAATATTGTTTTTTATGATTTATTTCTGTGTATATGAATTACTCCTAAGAGGTTGTCAGGCCAAGTCTCACAACTGTTAAGATCTTTCTGATAGTTCCTGAAAATCACCCTGGCAGGATGCTGTTGTGCTGGAGTTAGTTACACCTTATATCCAGCTCCCAGATGCACTCAATATTGTAAGAAAAAAAATTGGCTCAATAAGCTAATCCTCCACCGTCAAGCACCAGTATCCTTTATGGACACTGGTTCTAGTCCTGGCTGCTCCACTTCTCATCCAGCTATCTCCTTGTGATTTGGGAAAGCAGTAGAGAATGGCCCAAAGCCTTGGGGCCCAGCACACCCATGTGGGAAATCTGAAAGAGGCCCCTAGCTTTAGATCAGCTCAGTTATGGCCATTGCAGCCAGTCAGGGAGAGAAACAGTACATGTTTGGTGTTTCAGTCTGTCTCTCTTTGTTTCTAAAAAAAAGTATGCCTTTGAAATGAAAATAAATAAATCTTAAAAATAATTATTAAAATGCCTTTATATAAAATACCTTGTATAAAAATATCTTTAATCTAGTTAATAATTGGTATGAAAAAGACTCCTTCCAAAAGACTCAGGCTTACTTTACCTGAAGTTGCATTGGAATTATGTGACAGTTTCATATTTAAAAATGTGCATAAAATTTAGTTTTTCAACATTTGATTAGTTTGGCTGTGGTTTAAACTATTTGGTGTTTTGTAAGTTAACTCAAATTTAAGTATTAGTCTGTATGTTAAAGAAGTAATAATAAACATTCTAATTTAGATCTTGTTAATGAACTCTCTTCTTAGGTATTACATCAGATACTAAGAACGGAACAACGATGGCCCACAATAGCTATGATGAGATTGAAGGAGGTGGCTTCTTGGGTGAGATGCTATGAAAGCTTTTTTTTTCCCCTTGATTTTGGTTGTATGTGTTCATTGTAAAATTTGTGCTTATTATAGAAAAGCTAAGAAGAAAATTTTATAATCTCACTATATAGCTAACACTGTTATTAAAATTCTTGATCTATGTGCATTTGGATTGTTTTGCCAGGGTGTTTTTTTTTTTTTTTTTTTTTCCCTTTGTTTCAGAATTGGACTTGTGGGCTTTTTTTTTAAAGTTTGTAAAGGAAGATTTATTTAAGGAGAAGAGGGGAAACAACCCGGATCTCCTGCCATAGTGGTAGGAGAGGATCCAAAGAAGGAAAGAAAAAAGAAACAAACACACACACAACCGAACTCCTGGGCTTTATCATTATTTATGTCATATGTGTGTTGATACAAATATTTAAATTTATTTGATCAGTTCCTTAAGTTAAATATTTAGGATATTTTCATTGAACTTAAAATTTTAGTGTGAGTGGAAAATTATTACAAAATGTTAAATTTGCTGTAGGAAACTTACTTTTACATATTTTTAGCTGTGGTCTACAAAAATTGGTTTTTAGGTATTGCTGATACTTTGTCGTTGGTAAAATTGGTAAATGAACATAGCATTTTGAACTTATAATTCCTATTATTTAGTGGAGCTATGTAATGATTTAAAGCGTTCTGTAGTGTAAAATAGAACTTAAAAGTTACCTTTTTTCTAGCAACACCACAGCTTACTAATAAGAATCCTAAAATGAGCCGAAGTGTTGGATATTCCTATCCCTCCTTACCACCTGGTTATCAGAACACAGCGCCACCTAATGCAACTGGAATCCCACCCTCTTCCTTGAATTATCCCAGTGGGCCACAGGCCTTTACTCAGGTTAGCTTTTTGGTTTTCCTTTTGAACCTGTTTTCTGTTTTACACTCTATACATACAAGAAGATTTTAGGACATTATATTAAACATTTTTACAATCAGATTAATTATGAATATTTCGTAAAACCTTTTCCTTCAGAACTAATAGATTGTCCAGGAAATCTAGATTATACTTATATTAGAGGGGAAATTAACAGTTTCTACATATTTAAAAGAGTTACTTTCGTGTTTTGTGTCTGTAGACTCCCTTAGGTGCTAATCATTTAACTGCAAGTATGAGTGGATTAAGTCTACATCCAGAGGGTCTAAGAGTTGTCAATCTTCTTCAAGAAAGAAACATGCTTCCCTCAACACCTTTGCAGCCTCCGATTCCAAATCTGCATGAAGACATCCAGAAACTCAACTGTAGCCCAGAGTAAGATTCAAATAGCCTTGTTAAATGTGATATTGTGTATGTTCTAAAAGTTTTCTAGGTTTTTTTTCCTTTTTGTAGCTACAGGTGTAATGAAAAAGTCATTTAAGTGCATTAAGTTATGAACCATGTTTTGGATGCAGAATGTAGAACTCTGTTATTTATATACTTGAGATTGGAAGTGGTCTAGGTTAAGAAATAGTGTTGGGGATGGTCTTGTGTCACGGTGAGCTAAGCTGCCTTCTGTGATAGCTGCATCCCATATGTACACATGTTCAAGTCCCTGCTCCTCCACTTCTGATCCAACTCCCTGATGGATGGCTGGGAAATGGCCCTTGTGCTTGATGTGGGAGATGTGGATGAGGCTCCAGCAGATGGAACATTGCTGTCCATCTCTCTCTACTTCTTTTTATCTCTCTGCTTCAATTCTACTCTGTAATTTTGACTTTGAAATAAAATAGATAAGTCTTAAAACAAAAAAAAGAAAAGAAGGAAGAAAAATGTTGTGATTCCTGAACTGACTGCTGCTTTTATGAGTTGCAGTGAGATTCATAGACATTGTGGTATCCACGCACTTTCGTCAGAATCCGAGGTGCAGGCACGGGCATTGAGACATAGCAGTGAACATAGCCCTGTGCCGCAGTGGAGTGCCTTGGCCTGGCTGTAGGCTCTGCGTCCTGACCCCAGCTTCCTACCAGTGCGGAGCCAGGCAGTCAGTAGTGACGGATCAAGGGTTGGGGTTCTTTCTTCCCACACGAGAGATCTAGATCGGGTTTCTGACTCCAAACCCCTAAGCATTGTCAGCATTTGGGGAGTGAACAAGAGTGATTCCCAACTTACTCTATCTTTCTCTTTGCATCTCAGATACATAAATACATTTTTTAAAAATTAACAATACAAGGATATGGGCTGCTATCATTTTTGTTTTGTTTTTGTTTCAGGTTAGTTTTATAACAAACAGCAGTATTTTCTCCCTAAAATGTTTAAATATGTTCAAGATTGTAAAGTGTTTGTAAAAATCTTCAGCAAAACTGAGCCTTTAAATAATAGGCTTTGCACTTGCAAATTGAGTCACGAAATTTAGACCTATATCAAGAAACCCAGCCATCTAGTAGTCTAGGCTGTCTTACATATAGGGCAAGAGAGACGGTATTTTGTTAAAGATACAATGTGGGGGTAAATGTCTACTCAGTGTTTCTCTGTCGGACTTAAATCATGTAGGACTTAAAATTTGAGAGGGCCTGTTGCAATATTTCATTTGTAATCTGATCAGATATCAAAATGTGTGTTTTTTTTCAATTAAATATTTTGTTTTCATTCAAAAATAACCCTAGTAGCAACCAACCCATGTGTTTTGCTTTGGTACAGGCTGTTCCGATGCACGCTGACTGGTATTCCTCAGACTCAGGCCTTACTGAATAAAGCCAAGCTTCCTTTGGGGCTGCTGCTTCATCCTTTCAAGGACCTAGTGGTATGTTTCCCTGGTGGCAGGAAATGTTCTTTTGTGCTGGAAACACAGAAATTATTTGAGCTATCTTCAGGTTTCCTTGTTTATAATTGAGCCAAAAATCTTATTCCCACACACTTTCAGCATGAGATAAAAAAAAAAAAAAACATAAATCCAGTAGCTATTCAACAGAATAGAGATACTACAAAGACAATAGGTGTGTGAACCATACTATTTCAACACATTTTAAAGTATTTTTCCTAGTCCTTTACCCTTTGTCATCTGTCATAACAAACGAGTTTCCTTTTAGTATTTTTTTTGGCTGTGTGATATATATCTATTCATTTTTAGAATTAGAATTTTTTTTTTAAGTGTATTTATTTTAAAGGCAGAGAGAGAAGGATGCAGTGCTGAACCAGGTTCAGAATCAGGAGCCCAGAACTCAGTCCAGGTTTACCATGCGGGTATCAGGGACTGAAGTGTCAAAGCCAGCACTGCTGTCTGCCATTGCACATCAGCAGGAAATGGATCTGAGGGGAACGGCGACTGGAACTCAAGTGGTTCACTCTAGGATGTAGGTGTCTCAGCCATCTTCCCCATCGTGTCAGTTTTCTATTTTGTTTTTGAGTGCAGCGTTTAATGAAAAAATATTCTTTAAAAAATAATTTTTAAGAAATTATTTATTTATTGCAAAGGCAAATTTACAGAGAAAAGGGGAGAAAAAGATCTTTTCTCTGCTGGTTCACTCCCCAAGTAGCTGTAACAGCTGGAGCTAAGCCAATCCAAAGCCAGGAGCCAGGAGTCTTTTCTGGGTCTCCCTCACAGGTGTAGGATCCCAAGGCTTTGAGCTGTCCTCGACTGCTTTCGCAGGCTACAAGTAGGGAGCTGCATGGGAAGTGGAGCATCTGGAGCATAGGAACCAGCACCCATACGGGATCCCAGCAGGTGCAAGGCCAGGATTTATCCACTGCACCTTCATGCTGAGCACTGAAAAACGAATTTGTTAATGAGAATGTTCCTATATAAAGACAGCAGAGTTTAAAATCCAGGCATTTTGGGTACAGTTGCTGGTTTTTGTTTTTGTTTTGTTTTGTTTTTTAAGATTTATTTATTTTTATTGGAAAGGCAGATATACAGAAGGGAGGAGAGACAGAGAGGAAGATCTTCCATTCACTGACTCACTCCCTAAGCGGCCACAACAGCTGTAGATGAGCCAATCTGGAGCCAGGAGTCAGGAACCTCTTCTGGGAATCCATGTGGGTGCAGGGTAGCAAGGCCTTGGGCCTTCCTGACTTTCCCAGGCTACAAGCAGGGAGCTGGATGGGAAGTGGGGTTGCCAGGATTAGAACTGGTGCCCATATGGGTTCCTGTTGCATACAAGGCGAGGAGTTCAGCCACTAGACTACTGTGCCGGGCCCTGTTTGCTGTTGCTTTTTTAGGATTTATTTATTTGAAAGGTAGAATTAGAGAAGGAGAGACAGAGTTTGAGATTGTCCATTTGCTGGTTTACTCCCACAACAGCTGTTGACTGTGTTAGGCCAAAGCCAGGAGCCAAGAGCTTCTTCAGGATCTCCCATGTGGTGATGGGATTGAGGACTTGGCCCATCTTGTACTCTTTCCCAAGGATGGGAAGTAGAGAGAGCAGTGGGGTTCTGAACTAGTGCCCCTGGTGGCAGCTTTATTCACTGCACCATCATGCTGGCCTTGGGGACCTATTTTCTTGTTTGGACACATCTTTTACTCTAGTGGTTTTACTTTTTTTCTCTATAAAATTATAATAAATCAGTAATTATTTGAAAATGTGGATTACTATTGCATGTAAAATTTTTGTTGTTTTTGTAGCAGTTGCCTGTGGTTACCTCCAGTACAATTGTGAGATGCCGTTCGTGCAGGACATACATCAACCCATTTGTCAGCTTTCTGGATCACAGGAGGTGGAAGTGTAACTTATGTTACCGAGTCAATGATGGTATGCCTTTTTGAAACATCTGGTAATTTCTACTTCTATTGTGAGGATATTGGATAACAAATCTGATATTTGAAAAGGAAAAACAGAAACGGGCCTTCTCATTTACCTGTAGCCAATTCTTTCACTCAGAAAATGGCTGTGAACTTTTTACTCTGCTTTGTGTTTATAAATAAATAGTTGTATATGTTAAAATGAAAAAAATTTGATCTAGGCTGATGCCACTTTTTACATTTATTTTATTATGTAGTGAATTTGATGGTATTATTTAACTTAGTAATATTTGTTTATTTAAAGATTTATTTATTTTAAATAAAAAAGCTCAGTTACAGAGAGAGAAATAGAGAAATCCTCCATCTGCGGATTTATTCCGTGAATGGCCACCTCCATTGGGCGTGGCAAGACTGGAGCCATTAGCTTTTCTGAGTCTTCTGTGGGTACAGGGGCCCAATCCATGGAATAACTGCCCAACTGATTCACTGCTGTGGAAGGGAGGTAGTTGTTGCTAAAATGTTAGTTGAATGTGTTTTTCTAAGCAATTGAGGAAAGAATCTCGGAGACTACTTCTCTGTTTACTTTTGAGGAAACCTATATAATCCGCAATATACTGACAGCATTTGTAAAGAAAGGAGTATGCCAATATCTACTTTAAAAACAAAGTGACTTTGAGGAAGGAGATTCCATCAGGAGTTGGAAGGTGGACATGAGATGTTTTCAAAAATTTGTTTATTTTTATTTAGAAGGTGTATTAACAGAGACAGAAAGATAGGTCTTCCATCCACTGCTTCACTCCCCAGTTGGCTGCAACAGCTGGAGCTGAGCCCATCTGAAGCCAGAAACTAAGAGCTGGTTTTGGATCTCCCACATGGGTGCAGGGGCTCAAAGGGTTGGGATATCCTCTGCTGCTTTCCCAGGCCATAGGCAGGTAGCAGGATTGGAAGTGAAGCAGCCAGGACTAGAACCAGTGCCCATATGGGATGTGGGTGCTAACAGGCAGAGGATTAACATGGTGGACTAGTACACTGGCCCCCAAAGGACAGTTTTCAAAACATATCTTGGGAAGCCTGGCAACTCGATTGGCTAATTCTCCATCTTCAAATGCCAGGCACTGGCATTTGGGTGCTGGTTCATGTCTTGGCTGTTTCACTTTCCACCCAGCTCTCTGCTTGTGGACTGGAAAAGTAGTGGAGGATGACCCAAGTCCTTGGGACCCTGCACCCATATGGGAGACCCATTAGAGGCTTCTGGCTCTTGGCTTCAGATTGGCTCAGCTCTGACCATTGCAGCCATTTAGGGAGTGTACCAATGGATAGAAGATGTTTCTGTCTTTCTAATGAAATTAAATAGATGTTTTTAAAAGTCTTGTTTGTATGTGTGTTTTTTTAAGAGTAGAGAAAATTGAGGCTAGGATTAAACTGTTCTTTAATTCTGATTAAATTCAGGAAATGTATAAATATGCCATTTAGTACCTCAGAAGTCTTATGTGTATGTACTTCAGAATAAGTAATGTAATTGAATTAAGGTTTGGGTTCCTTTCATATGTAGTTCAGCCCATTTCATGAATTACAGTTTATGTTTTAGAGTGTGCAGACATTTGAATAAGTTTCAACTGATAAAGACTAGAAGTGTGGTAATGATTTGGGAAATACTCCTTGAGCACTGGTACATTGTATGTGGTGGGACAGTGGATTTCCATAAAGGTCTCATTAAATGATGACATTCACTAAACCATAAACTGAAATCTTCAGAGCTTTCTAGATCCAGCCAAATTACGTACATTTACTATGTCCAGTTTTAATGTCTTTGGCTAAAGAGTTTTTGACCAAAGTTGAAGCTGTTTTTTGAAATACAGCTTTAATAAGAATTAATGCAAAAAGGGTATTTGGAGATAGGAAAAGACAAATCACAATAATTATAGTTGTGTAGCCAGATATTTGTAGTACCGTTTAGTATATGGGGAATGTGAGACCCAGTGCAGTAGCCTAGTGGCTAAAGTCCTTGCCTTGCACACGGTGGGATCCCACTGGGGCACTGGTTTGTATTCCAGCTGCTCCAATTCCCTTCCAGTTTCCTCCTTGTGGCCTGGGAAAGCAGTGGAGGATGGCCCATAGTCTTGGACCCTGCACCAGCGTGGGAGATCTGGAGGAAGCTCTTTGCTTCAGCTCTAGCTGTTGTAGCCACTTAAGGAGTGAATAAGTGGACAGAAGATCCTTCTCTCTGTCTGTCATTGTGATTTTCAATAAAAAAGAAACATGTTTTTTTTTTTTAAAAAAATCAACATCTAGGGAATGTGAATGGAATTTCAATGAGAAAATCACTTTAACCCTTAATGGTGAACCTATATTAAATTGTGAACTCCTTAATTAAGAAAATGATGAAATGTTAAGATATATGAAATCCTTTCATTTTTATTTATATGTATGTATATTGGCGACTTTGTGTAGTTCCAGAGGAATTCATGTACAATCCTTTGACCAGAGTTTATGGAGAACCTCATAGAAGACCTGAAGTTCAAAATGCTACTATTGAGTTTATGGCTCCTTCAGAATACATGGTTAGTCTTCACATCTTTATACAAGCTCATGTTATGATACCAAGTTTAAGGAAAACAGTATACTCATCCTATAATGAACTTTGATTTTTAAAAATTTTTAAGATTATAATGCTTATTTATTGTAAATGCTATTAATTAGACTTTGCAGGTCTATATGAAAAGTAAAAGGATTTGAAGTTCTACCTGGGTTTCCTGTGTGTCTCCCGCAATTTACAGTATAGTAATATGATTGTATTTTAGTCATGTCCATTTTGTCTCTATCAAGAATAATGAATGATTTGCTTAATCAGCCTCTGCAGTCTGACGGTAATTCCAGACAGTGTCAGAGCAGAGTGAATCAGAGCACACTCTGCTGGTGGCAGCAGTAGGACTGGTCACTTGTCTGCGGGTGTAAGGAAGTTCTACCACCTGTTGCAGTCACAGAAGTGATCAGTTTGCATTGATAACAGGAGAAACTGAATCTGGGTTTTGTTTTTGTTTTTTTTCTCTCAATGGAAATTGGCTGAAATGTGTTGATTAAATAACGAGGTAGGGCTAATTTAATTGTCTAATTTTACAACTACAATTTCCCCAAATTGTAAAAAAATAAAACACACATATAGAAAAAATAGTTTCAAAAACAAACAAAACATAGGTTCACCAAATAATTATAAAGTAAAATCTTTTATTAGCATTTCCCAGGTTCAGAAATGATGTTGCTGATGTTGTCAGAGGCTCTTCTCATTTAATTAATTAATTAATTATTAATTTAATTGGTCTGGCGGCCTAGGGAGAGGCGCTGGGCCATGGTCGGCTGTCTCCCTTTTGCCGGAGGAGCCAGGGCGCTGAGCAACTGCCCGCAGAGTTTCCGGCTGAAGTAATGCACCATGGCAGAAGCTCTTCTAATCAGCCTTCGTTCCCTTCTTGTCCTTGGGAAGATATTCTTCAAAATTATGGAATTTACAACTCACAGTCTCATTTTTCTTTTTAAGGGTAAAGCTTTCAACAGTGCAAGAATACTTCAAAGGGATCACAGAAAATAGTATTAAAAGATGAGTTTATTGGGTGCAAAAATTGTTTTGAAATCCATGCACTATGTGATCTTCCAAAACACGCGTTTTGTGTGTGCTTTCTGAAGTATAGATTTACCTGTTAGAGTTTCCCTGTCGTCTGTAAATGGTGCTTCTTTCATTGTTCTGCATGTTGCTCCCACAAATAAGTTGAAATAAATTCCTATTACATGTATTTAACAAAATTTTCTTTTTTCCTTTTTCCTTCAGCTGCGGCCGCCTCAGCCTCCGGTGTACCTTTTTGTATTTGATGTATCTCATAATGCAGTTGAAACTGGATACTTGAATTCAGTTTGCCAGAGTCTGTTAGATAATCTGGACTTGTAAGTGTTTCAGTTTGATTTAAATTTGAAACTATGCTTACAAAAGAAAGTAGTTTTTGAAACTGAATAAAAAAATCTATGTAATTATGGTCTAATATATCATGAAAATCTGTTGTTAACTTTGGCTGCACAGTGAATTCTTATTCTTGAACCTTTAGTAACTAGGAAGAGTAACGTCCTTACACATCTCCCCTAAGGTCAGCGTTTTCAGCATCATGCTGTTGTTGTAGCTTATCTTCCTCTGGACTCACACAGTTCATTTTGCCTTTGAGTAAAAAAAGCACAGATCTCAGCAGGGGTGTAGTTCTTATTTTGTAAATATTTCAAGATTAATTTTTTTAAAGAGTTGTTTTTTGAAAGGTAAAAGTATAGAAAGAGAATCTTTCACCGGCTGGTTCACTCACCAGGCATGCTAGCTGTGGCTAGGTACCTGAAGCCAGGAGTTAGGAACTCCCTCCAGGTCTCCCGTCTAAGTGGTAGGATCCAAAGCAAGGGTGCCTTCTTCTACTTTCCCAGGCTCATCAGCAGGGAACTTGAACCAGCAGCCTTCAGGGGTAATTTAACCGTATATACTACTACCACACTAAGCAAACAGCAATAATTCCATACCATAGTCTAATAGTTCCCTTAATTCCATGCTGATTTAATAATCAGTTCCCTTTTTGTTGCTAGTTGACTCAAAATCAATTTCTATTTATAGGGCGTTTGTTGGAATGAGAATTCAGACAGTATTCACACATTGTATTCTATTATCAAGTCTCTCAAGTTTCTTAAAGTAATTATTTTGGGACTAAGCATTCCACTTAGTAGCTAAAAATGTGGTTTAGATGCCTGTGTCAGAGTTCCTGAGTTTGATACCTGGCTTTGGATCCTAATTCCAGCATTCTTATTTTAGCATTGATGGCTGAAGTGATTGGATTCCTGACTCCTATTTAAGAGTTCCTGGCTCTTGGCCCCCAGGAAAAACATTGGAGGAGTGAATCAGCAAATGGCAGCTCTCTCTCTGGTGGCTCCTCTAATGAAGCAAAAAACAAACTTGTAATTCTACTTGCTTATTATATACATTCACACACATATTTATTTATTTGCAAAACAGAATATTCCCAAACCCCATTTTGATCCTGAAATGCTCTGTGAAATCAGTCTGGAATGTTTTGAAACCAGGTAGTCCAGGTTAGTCCAGTGTGGAATGCAGACATCTTCATCACTTGACTAAGTACCTGCCGTCTGACCTGTGCTTTTTTTTTTTTTTTTTCCTTTTTAAGATTTACTATTTTGAAAGAGAGAGAGACAGAATGAGAGAGAGAAAATTTTCTTTTGCTGGTTCACTCCCCAAATGGCCACTTAGGGCTGTGCCAGATCAAAGGCAGGAGCCTCGGACTCCATGTGGATCTCCCACATTGATGATCAGGAACCATTACCTGGCCATCCTATGCTGCCTGCCCAGGAGCATTAGTAGTAAACTGGATTATAAGTGGGGCAGCCAGGAATTGAACTGACACTAATATAATGTTGGCTTTGCAGGAAGTGGCTAAACTAATCCTTAAATACTTAATATAATCCATCAAAGCTAGTGCATCCTTTCATTGTAGTGAATGATGGAAGTGTAATGTGCCTGTGAGGTGTGGAGGACTGTGGAATACTAAATCTCATCGCGAGAGAAGTTAACTCCCTGACCTTGGTGAAAGGGTGTTATTGCCAGTGTTTTTCTTTTTTAAAATTGGTTTATTTATTTATTTGAAAGGTAAAGTGACAGAGAGGGACAGAAAGAGTAACAGAGAGAGAGCTATTTTCTATCTGTTGTTCGCTGCCTGAATGGCCTCTGTGTCCAGCATCTGGGCCAATCTATAGCCAGAAGACAAGATCTCCTTTCTGTTTCTCACATGGATGGTGGAGAACCCATGTACTTAGGCCATATTCAGGTGCCTTCCCATGCACCTTAGCAGGAAGCTGGATGAGAAGTGAAGGAGCTAGGACTCAAACTAGTGCTCCAATAAGGAGTAAGCTTCAGCTTGACATAGTTAATTACAGCACTGGCCCCATGAGTTCTTCAAACTGGACACTTTTAACCTTAAATAAATACATTAAAGACTATGAGATATAAGCAAGACTTTTTATTTAATATTTTAGAGTTCTACACTGGCAGTTTTTTGAATCATTTTTAGTAAAATAACTTGAAAACATCTGCATGATTTTATGTATACTTCCTACTATTTTTGCATACTGTTTCATACATAATTATATATAGTTTCTAAGGCTATTTTGCTCTTAATTTACTCTTCTGGCTTATGTGTAGTGTTTTCCTTTGAATTAGATGTATTTTTCATGGTAGTTAAATATTGGGTAATGTAAACACTTGATTACCTTGGGTTAATTTCCATAATATCAAATTGGATATTTGCATCTAATACTTAGCAGCTATCTTATGAGAGTATGACTATGGAAAAACTTGATAAAATAATCTTCTGAATTTATTTTTAGGCTTCCTGGCAACACTAGAACAAAAATTGGCTTCATAACATTTGACAGTACAATCCATTTCTATAGTCTTCAAGAAGGTCTCTCCCAGCCGCAGATGCTGATAGTCTCAGATATTGAAGGTATATGTTATGCAATTACATGTATTAAACTGCCTTAGAGATGTTCAGTTTTAGAGATAATTCAGAATTGTTGAAAAGGTTAGGAGTGTTTGGAATGATTCTGTTTTATCAAGGAAAATCTTGGCTACAAAGTCATGAAATTGTTGGTGTTGTAAGAGTTCCATCTCTCTAGAATAAGAGGAAATAATACAATGTAAGTAGAGTGAATTCTAAACAAGGTAACAGAAGTAATTGACATTAAGTTAGGTTTCTTTTTGTCTTCTGTCTGTTCCTTCCAAAAGTACTTGCAGACAGACATTGTCCTAAGAAATAGCATAGAAAATTCAGATACGGACCTTAAAATATATAATCAATTCATACGTGACAAGGGTGCCAAGACCATCCAGTGGGGGAAAAGATTATTTACTTATTTTTATTGGAAAGACAGATTTACAGAGAATAGGAGATATAGAAACAAAGATCTTCCATTCACTGATTCACTCCCCAAGTGACTGCAGTGACAGGTGCTGACCCAGGAACCAGTAGCTTCTCTTGGTCTCCTACTTGGGTGCAGGGCCCCAAGGCTTTGAGTTGTCCTCAACTGCTTTTCCAGGCCACAAGCAGGAAGGGAGCTGGATGGGAAGTGGAGCTGCTGGAATAAAAATTGGCCCCCAGATGGGTTCCCAGCACATGAAAGATGAGAAGGCAGTTTTTAACAAATGGTTGTAGGAAATTGAAATATGAAAAGTAGTGAAGTTGGTGTCTTACCATATATCATAGAAAGTTAATTCAGAGTGAATCAAAAACCTGAACTAAAATACTAAAAAGTATAAAGCAGAAGGAAATTTTTGTGACATTGAATTTGGCATTCATTACTCGGGATATGAGACCAAAACATAGGTGTCAAAAGAGGAAAATAAATAATTCGATGTTATCAGTATTAAGAACTTTTGTACGTAAAAGAATATCATCCGGAGAGTGAAAGGACAGTCTACTGACTGGGGTAAACTATCCACAACATATAAAGAACTCTGATAAACCAACAATAACAACAAATACATTTAAAATATGAGTAAGTAGGAGAGACCTGGAAGAGGCTTTGGACTTCTGGCTTCGGATAAGATTGGCGCAGCTCTGGCTGTTGTGGCCGCTTGGGGAGTGAATCAACAGACGGAAGATCTTCCTCTCTGTCTCTCCTCCTCTTTGTATATTTGACTTTGCAATTAAAAAAAGGGAGGTGGGTGCCCAGTGCAGTGGCCTCGCAGCTAAAATCCTTGCCTTGAACGTGCTGGGATCCCATATGGGTGCTGGTTCTAGTCCCGGCAGTTCCACTTCCGATCTAGCTCCCCGCTTGTGGCATGGGAAAGCAGTCAAGGATGACCCAAGGCCTTGGGACGCTGCACCTGTGTGGGAGACTTGGAGGAAGTTCCTGGATCCTGACTCCGGATTGGCAAAGCACTGGCTAGTGCGCTCACTTGGGGAGTGAATCGTCGGACAGAAGATAAGAATGGGAGTTGGAAACTGACAATGACTGTACAACTCTATACGTTAGAAATAACTAAACTGGACCTAGTGCAATAGCCGAGTAGCTAAATCCTTGCCTCGCCTCATAACTACTGGGATTCATATGGGCACCGGTTTGTGTCCCAGTTACTCTACTTCCCTTTCACCTCTCTGCTTGTGGCCTGGGAAAGCAGTCGAGGTCACCCCAAGTCTTGAAATCCTCCACTCAATGTGGAAGACCCAGAAGAAGCTCCTGGTTCCTGCTTTGAATAGGTTCAGTTCTGTCCATTGCACCTACTTGGGGGAAGTGATCCAGCAGATGTTATGTCTTTCTGTGTCTCTCCTTTTCTCTGTAAACCTGCCTTTCTGATAAAAACAATTAAATCTTTAAAAAGCTTAAGAAAATAACAACTGTATATGTTGAAGTGCTGCAATGTATGTCATAAAATTGTGCATTATTAAATTTATTTTTGGAAAGCTGAGGTACAAGGAAAGGTCTTCATTTGCTGGTCCACCCCAAAATGGCTGCCGTAGCCAGGAATAAAGCAGGCTGAAGGGCCCGGCGGCGTGGCCTAGCAGCTAAAGTCCTCGTCTTCAACGAGCCAATTCTAATCCTGGCAGCTCCACTTCCCATCCAGCTCCCTGCTTGTGGCCTGGAAAAGCAGTCCAGGACAGCCCAAAGCTTTGGGACCCTGCACCTGTGTGGGAGCCCTGGAAGAAGTTCCTGGATCCTGGCTTCAGATTGGCATAGCATCGGCCATTGTGCTCACTTGGGGAGTGAATCATCAGACTGAAGATTTTCCTCTCTGTCTCTCCTCCTCTCTGTATATCTGACTTTCCATTAAATAAATAAATCTATAAAAAAAAAGAAAAAAAGAAAAAAGGCAGGCTGAAGCCAAGAGCCTGCAGTTTCCTCTGGTCTCACATATGGGTAGCAGTGGCTCAAACTCTTGGACCATTTCCTGTTGCTTTCCCAGGCACATTGTCATAGCTGAATCACAGCTGGCACCTCATGGGATGCCAGCATTGCAGCACCAGAATGCCAGCCCGAAAAGTATTAAATGTTAATCAGCAGCTTTAAATAAAATGACTTTTTAAAAAAGTATTTTAACTGTAGTCTTTATAGTCATGAAATTGACAGTATGTAAATTATTTTTTTATACCACCGCTGTTAGAAAGTTCTGTATAGAAGGAAAAGAGGGAAGGAACCAAAAGGAATAAATTTGAGATTTTTATATGGTAGCTAAGGTAAACATTTCATGCTTCAAATTATTTGTTGATATTATTTTTATATACTTTATATTGAAAGTTACTTTTTAATCATCTTCCTAAATCCTAAATAAGTATAAGTCCTTCTAACTCCTAAATATGAATGAATGTGGATCCTGAGAGTCCCACATGAGGGGGTCAGTTGAAATACCTGCTGATACACCTGATTTTCTCACCCCATCCGTAGAGGCACTGGTGTGGCTCTCCTTTGTTAAGAGTCCTAATTGTCATCTTGAACCTATGAGGCAAAGTGAATGCGTAAAGTCTTAGTGTTTGCAGGTCAGTATCTCTGAATTGAGCACCGCTTCCAGAAAGTGACAAGTTGTAATGAATCTCACACGGTGTTCCTTCTATGGCTCTTGGGACGGCACGTGGAGAGTGTATTCATAGTGGAGGGGGAGGTAGCTTTTCACTGACGCATGGCTTGATTGGTTGTATCATCATTTTAGATTTAGAACATCTTTAACAATTGGAATTTTAAAAAATGTTATTTGTTCTTTCAGATGTTTTCATACCTATGCCAGAGAACTTGCTAGTTAATTTAAATGAAAGTAAAGAGGTAAGGCACATTGCTCTACTGGACATGTTTAACTGAAATGTTTATATAGTTTTGAAATGAAGTTTAGATAAAAGCTTGCTTCTTCCTGTAATGTTTCTAAGATCCATTCATACTTTGTATTTGCTCTTAAAGTGTGTTAGCTGAACAGCTCTTGAATTCAACCCTGTGCTGAGCTTTTGCAAGTCTAAGGGTAGAGATAAGAGTATTCCATAAAGCAGGTGTACTGCAGCAAGCCTGCCTTGGCTGTCTGGGAATGTGGGAGGGTTGCTAAGCCAAAGTTTCTGGTCACAGCATAGAAGCACATTAGCTAGGCTGCTTTCAGTGTGCCCTTTGCTTTTCTGATTCACAGAGTGTCATTGGGGTCAGTTCAGAAGAAACTGTTATTACCTGCCTGGAAATTGCCATGACATAATACAGTGAGAGGTGAACAGAACGTGTCTGAAGGGGGGATGTTGTCTACCCTGTACATGCATATATGCCATAGGGTAACATTTTAACTAGCCAAGTCTATGGTCTCTGCTGTTGACAATGGTGACTGTGCCATAGTGCAAAATACTTTTCCCCATTAACTTTATTTGTACTTCCTAACCTGAATAGGTAGATTTTGATTTTGTTTTTCTTGTGTAGTAATATTACTAGCTGGCAAAGTTCTTTGTTATCTTAGATTGTACAAGAAGGAAGTGTTAGAGGTAATGGGAGGCCATGTTTAGTGGCCTTAATGTAGAGCAAATCTATAAACTGTGATGGTTCTTTTGGATACATTTTAAACTTAAGGTCTTGCTGGACTATTGCATGTAAGGCCCCAATTTTGGTTTGTCTTGCTTGCCAATTTATAATGTTCACCTAAAATGGCTTTCTTGTCATTTGACCTACTTCATTGTTTATTGTAATGTTTGTAGGTCCTCTGGCCATCACCATGACTCATTGTCTTGTCTGTAGTATTAAATGTGGACATATTGTGGAGAAAATTGATAACATTCTTCCTTTTTCACTTTGTTTCACAAGCTTGTCCAAGACTTACTGAAGACTTTGCCGCAAATGTTCACCAAGACACTAGAGACCCAGAGTGCCTTGGGTCCTGCACTTCAAGCTGCCTTTAAGCTGATGTCCCCAACTGGAGGCCGAATGTCTGTTTTTCAAACACAGCTCCCAACTCTTGGGGCAGGAGCCCTGAAACCTCGCGAGGAACCCAACCAAAGGTCATCTGCTAAGGTCAGAAGTCAGCAACAATGAGATGATAAGGTTTATGCTGGTGCTGAGTTCCTTTGATCACAGGTTTTTTTCCCCCAGTTGTGGGGAGGAGAATATGTAAGGAAATGGATCTAAAATATTTCATTCTTATGTAGATATTTCTTGTTTTATTATATTTTTCAAACTACTCATCTTTGCCTTATTTTTTTATCTTTCTTTGCATTCCCCCATTTTATTTTATTTAAGGATTTATTTTTAAAGATTTATTTTTATTCTAAAAGCAAAGAGAGGGGGAGAAAACAAAAAGGAGAGAGAGAATGAGGGTGAACAGAGATCTTTGTATTTTTTATTTACTTCCCAGATGGCCCCAGGCTGTCCAGCTCGAGCTAGGAGCCTAGAACTCAATTCAGGTCTTTCTTGTTGGTGGCAGGGATGCCTTCTGGTCATCTTCCTCTGCCTTCCCAGGCACTTTATTAGGGAGCTGAGTCAGAAGTGGAATGGGTAGTACTCAAATCAGCACTCCTGGGCTGGGTACAGTAGTCTAGTGGCTAAATCCTTGCCTTGCGCACACGGGATCCCATTTTGGCACCTGTTCGTATTCCAGCTGCTCCTGCTCCAGTTTCCATCCAGTTCTCTGCTTGTGGCCTGGGAAAGCAGTGGAGAATGGCTCAAGGCCTTGGGAACCTGTGCCCCCGTGGGAGACTTGGAAGCTCCTGACTCCTGCCTTTGGATGGACTCTGCTTAGGCTGTTGTCGTCACTTGGACAGTGAACCAGCAGATGCAAGATCTTTCTGTCTCTCCTTCTCTCTGTAAATCTGTCTTTCCAATAAACATAAATAATTTTTTAAGGACCTGGCGTGATAGCATAGCAGTTAAAGTCCTCTCCTTGAATACACTGCCAGGATCCCATATGGTCACTGGTTCTAATCCCGGTGGCCCTGCTTCCCATCCAGCTCCCTGCAGCCCACTATCAGTTCAACACAGCTTTGTTGAGACAGTCTGGGAGACTACAGAAGGTATGTTTGCAAAGGACAAAGTAGAACCTCAATGACCAGTACCAGGAGTCATGATTTGGTATATTGGCGACCACAAACTGCTTTGGAGTATCTTGTATATAAAACCTTAGACTTTCAGTCTTAAAAGACTTATTTTATTTGGAATAATAATAATTTTATTATTAATTAATTAATTATGATTAAATAATCATAAATTATGATTTATGGAGGGAAGGAGAAACAGAGAAAGATCTTCTGTCCACTAGTTCAACAGCCAGAGCTTTGCTGATCCAAAGCCGGGAGCCAGGAGCCTCCTCTGGGTCTCCCACATGGATGTAGGGTCCCAAGGCTTTGGGCCATCCTCTACTGCTTTTCCAGACCTCAAGCAGGGAGCTGGATGAGAAGTAGAGCAGCCAGGACACAAGCCATACCCATATGGGATCCTGGCAGACCCAAGGCAAGGATTTAGCCACTAAGCTACATTTCAGGCCCAGATTTTCAGCCTTACATTTTCTAGAATTTTGTAATACAGAGACCATTATTCTGTACTAGTTATCATGTCACTTCTTGATTCAGAATATGTTAAGTTTTACTGCTTGATAGTTAAGTAAACTTGAGCAGCTACTTTATTTCTTTGCCACTTTGTTTCCTTATATGAAAAGTAAGAGTAATGATAGTATCCACCACTTAAGGTAATTAAAAAAACTTAGTAGTTATTTGCCTTGTTTAAAACAATTTCCAGGCCCGGCACGATAGTATAGTGGTTAAAGTCCTCACCTTGCATGCCCGTTATCCCATATAGTTGCTGGTTCTAATCTTGGTGGCCCAGCTTCCTATCCAGCTCTGTACTTGTGGCCTGGTAAAGAAGTCGAGGATGGTCCAAGGCCTTGGGACCCTGCATCCGCATGGGAGACCTGGAAGAGCTCCACCTCCTGGCTTCGGATTGGCTCAGCTCCAGCCGTTGCAGCCGTGTGGGGAGTGAACCATCGGATGGGAGATCTTCCTCTCTGTCTCTCCTCCTCTCTGTATGTCTGTCTTTCCAATAAAAATAAATAAATCTTTTAAAAAAAAATTTTCATGCATACTGAACATTTAATAGATTTTTAAAACTGTATCAGTTGCAACATTAATATATATACATTTCATATTTCTAAAAGTAAGAAATATTTTAGAATATTCTTGTGTAATACATGGTTCTTATAGAAAAATGAAATAATGTATCAAATCAAAAGGATGTGGGGTAGACTTTGTGATGTAGCTGGCTGATTAATCTTCACCATGGGATATCTGCATTCAGTATCAGTTCCTGGTTCAAATCCTGGATTCTTTGTTTCTTTTCTTGCTACCTGCTAGTGGACAAGCTGTCCAACTGACAGACCCAGATGGAGTTCCATGTTCCTGGCTTCAACCTGATGCAACCCTGACTATTGTGGCTGTTTGGGGAGTGAACCAGTTAATTGAATATCTTCTCTGACCCCTAATGCTCTATGATTTTGTTACTCTGCCTTTCAAATAAGTGAAAAAAAAAAATTATGAATGTTTTTAAATGGAACAAAAAGAAAACAAAGAGTGTCTGACCTTCAGGTGTGGTTAGTTAGCTGTCATCTGAAATACTGACATCTCATATGAATAATAGTTCATGTCTGAACTGCTGTACTTTCCATCCAGCTCCATGCCATTGAGCCTGGAAAGCAGTTGAAGATGGCCTGAATCATTGTATGCCTGCACTCATATGGGAGACCTGGATGGAGTTCCTGGCTCCTGGCTTTGGCCTTGCACATCCCTGGCCATTGTAGCCATTTGGTTAGTGACCCAGCAGATGTAAGATCTCTGTCTCTCTGGAACTCTGCCTCTCAAATAAATAAATCTTGAATAATTAAGCAACTAGTTTTGAAAAATTCCCAGGAAAAATAAATTTTAATGACTTTGTAAATATAGGAGTTAAATTCTATTAAATTTATTAATATACTAAAATTTTCCCTTTATGATTTCTTATTAATAGGAAATACACTTGACTCCATCCACTGATTTCTATAAGAAATTAGCCTTGGACTGTTCTGGTCAACAGGTAGCTGTTGACTTATTCCTTCTCAGTGGACAGTATTCTGATTTGGCTTCTCTGGGTAAGTTCTTCCTAACTTTTTTCTCTTAAATGATTATTTGAGTTGTATTTATAGGATGATATTCTAAGTAAGAAAAACCTATCTGTAAATATTAATAGAATAATTTCATACAGTTTATTTAACGGAATGAAATATTCGTTTCTGATAGACCTTTGGGAATTTAGGCCAATATCGACTCAAATGCCTGCTGTTACTTTTTTGAGCTAATAGACTTTAATGGCACAATTTAAAAGGAGGATGTCTTCTTTTTCAGGTTGTATTTCTCGATATTCAGCAGGTAGTGTGTATTACTATCCCTCCTACCATCATCAGCACAACCCAGTACAAGTACAAAAATTCCAGAAGGAGCTACAGAGATACCTCACGCGGAAAATTGGCTTTGAAGCCGTCATGCGAATTCGGTGCACCAAAGGTGGGAAAGAGTTTGGTTTTTGTTTGTTTGTTTTTTAATGTAGGAACAGGTATTGCTGATATATTTATTTATTTAATTTTGAAATTTTGAATAGCAAAGAAAACACGAAAGCTAGCACCCCTATCTAGTGTTCACTCCCCAAATCCCTACAGTAGCTGAGATTGAGCCAGGCTGAAGTCAGAAGCCAGGAGCTCAAGCCACATCTCTGGTGTTGGTGGCAGGAATCCAGTCATCACCGCTTCCCATCAAGTGCGTTAGTAGGAGACTAGAATCAGTAAGTAGAGCGAGGTAATGAAACCAGGAGTGCTGCTGTTGGATACAGGCTTTTCAGCTGCTAGGTTGAGTGCCTGCCACCCCTAACTGTTTAGGTACTAACAAACAGAAATGTTTTCACCTTAAGGTTTTTCTTCCTAAAATAGTTTCCTGAGTGTGATGGAATGTACAACTAATAATAGAGCCTACTGTTGATGTGCTTCAAACTATTGCAGCTGTCCAGTGTAAAATGATGGATAGTCTGATGTGTGAGCTATCAGTGCTAAGAGACTATGTCCCTAAAGAATATAAGAATATTCCTAATGGATTATGTTTTAAAGATTTAAAGAGAGGTATCTTCCAAATGGCCACAGTGGTGTGAGGTAGGCCAGTCTGAAGCCAGGGTGCCCAGAAGAGCTTCTTGGGTCTCCACTGTGGGTGCAGGGCCTCAAGGCTTTGGCCCATCCTCTGCTACTTTCCCAGATAATAGCATGGAACTGGATGGGAAGTGGTGGAGCCCATATGGGATGCCAGTAGCCTGCTATGCCATAGTGCTGCCTGCACCCCACTCATTCCTGAGTACATTTCCTATGCCATACCCACGTCTGTCAGTAGGGAATTTGGCCACAAGTGTCCTTGTGGGAGACAAGTGAGAATCCTGGGAAAGGAAGAGCATCAGACTCCCGGCAGACATTTGACAAGGATTTCCTGAGTGTCTCCCTGGGTGCCAGCTGCCCTGTCCGGGAAAGCCTGTACTGTACCATTACTTTAAAATGGTGTGTGTGTGCATGGTGTGTGTGTGAGTGTGTAAGACAAAGAGAGAAGCAGAGAGATGATCTTGCCCCCAGCATCCTCACTGCTGAAGTTACCTGCCAGCAGACCTTACCAGCCAGTTGGTCCCAAGAACCAGGCCTGTCGTTGAGACGCAGGAATGGTCTGATCACCTAGAGCCAATCTGTGGATGGGAGGCATCCTGAGAGTGGGAGTGCCACCTAGGTTGAGGAGCCTGCATGGGCCTCTCACAGAAAATGCAGATTTTACTGCCCAGCTGTGGAGAGGACAGCACAGGCCAGTGAAAGGCTCAGATTTGCAGGGAGGGGAATGGCCTGCCAGCTGAGGCACTCGGTTGAAGATGAGGTGTTTGTTATGGGCCCCACAAAGAAGGCAGATGAACCATTGTGTCAGATGTTTTGAAGCGTTTTAAAAAAAAAGATTTATTTATTTTCATTGGAAAGCCAGATTTACAAAGGTGCGAGACAAAGAGAAAGATATTCCATCCACTGATTCATTTCTCAAATTGCTGCAATGGCTGGATCTGAGCTGATCCAAAGGTTGGTGCCAGGTGCTTTTTCCAAGTCTGCCACGTGAGTTCAGGGGCCCAAGGCTTTGGGCCATTCTCTTTTGCTTTCCTAGGCCATAAGTGGGGAAATGGATTTGAAGTGGCACAGCTGGAAGTGGAGCTGGTACCCATATGGGATGCTTTTTCAACGGCTAGAGGCTTAACTTAATATGTCATGGCACCAGGCCCACCCAGATGGACATTAAAACATTTTTTAAATAACTATTTTAAAGGTGGGCAGAGAGGGCATTTCCATCCATTGGTTGGCTTTTCAAATCCCCTCACAGGCAGGCACGCCATCCTTGTGTCTCATGTATGATAGAGACCCAATCACTGCCAGTGTCACCTGCTGCCTCCTCAGAGGTGCATTACCAGGAAACTAGAAAACTGAGAATTGGTGAGACTAAAATGTAGGCCGTTTGATGCCAGATATGTGTGTTCAGGTGGCAACTTAATTGCTATAGTATATACCCAGTCCCTTATTCTTTCTCATTACTGTTTAAAAAGATTTATAAAAAGATTTATTTCTTTATGTATTTATTTATTTCTATTGGAAAGGCAGATGTACAGAAAGAACGAGAGACAGATCATCCATTTACTGGTTCACTTCCCAGATGGCTGCAATGACTAGAGCTGAGCTGATCCAGAGATAGAAGCCAGGAGCTTCTTCTGGGTCTCCCACACAGGTGCAGGGTCCCCAGGCTTTGGCCTGTCCTCCTCTGCTTTCCCAGGCCACAAACAGGGAGCTGGATGGGAAGTGGAGCGGCCAGTATATGAAGCAGCACCCATGTGGAATCATGGTGCTTGCTAGAGGAAGATTATCCAGTTGAGTCATCATGCTGGACCTGTCATTGCTGTCTTAATGGTTTCTATTTAAATATTTTATTTGTTTATGGGAAAGGCAGAGCTGCAGAGAAAAAGAGAGATTACCATATGATGAATCACTCCCCAAATAGCTGAGATGGCCAAAGCTGGGTTGATCTGAAGCCATGGGCCTGAAGCTTCTTCTGGGCCTCCCATGTGGTAGCAGGTGCCCAAGCACAGAGGGTATCTTCTGCTGTTATCCCAAGTGTGTTATCAGACAGCTGAATCATTGGAAGTGAAACAGCTGGGTGTTGAACCAGCACCCATATGGGATGCTGGCACTGCAAGTGAAAGATATTACCAATGTGCCAATTCTAAAAAAGTTGTTTGATAATTTAGAACATGTTCATTGAAGAAGACACCTATTAATTTTTGCCTTCATTAAGTATTTTGTCTTATATAAACTTTCTTTCTACTATTCTGATGAATGACTAGAACAAAAAGTAAATACCAGCATATCGATCTACTTGAATTGTTCTTTTTTTTCTCCTTTAGGTCTTTCCATCCATACTTTCCATGGGAACTTCTTTGTTCGGTCCACAGACCTTCTGTCTTTGCCTAATGTCAACCCAGACGCTGGCTATGCAGTACAGATGTCTGTGGAAGAGAATCTCACTGACACCCAGCTGGTTTCTTTTCAGTCAGCACTCTTATATACATCCAGCAAAGGTAAGTTTTTGTTTATTTACCTTTATTGTGATGATAAATACACAGTATTTTCAGTGACATAATAGTATTATTAGCCAAAAGCACAGTATTGTGATAACAGTAAGTTTTTAAACTGTTTTTAAAATTTCATTTTATTTTTAATGTTGTTTACATAGTTGAGAAAGATGTATCCCCGTGTGGCTGCTGATTAGGGTTGGGAGGATCGAGGGATGGAAGAAGGTTGGTAGGAGAAATATTTTCAATTTTTTTCTCCTATATATACAGTGGTGCGGAAAAAAGGAATGGGACTTACTCCTTGGTCACCTGATGTCATTTTAGAGACCCTGATGTAGGGAAAGAATGCTCCAAAAGTGTTATGTTAATGGTTTATTATTTCTGAGACTTTGTTGGTTTTGTTACTCCAGTGTTGAGAAAAATTTTCCAAGGACTATTGGTTGACAAAGTCTATCTTAATGCATCCACAACACACCCAGACGCTTGGTGTAAGAGCTTGGCCAGGAGAGTTTTCCAACCTGTTCTGCTTTCCATCCTCTGATGTGACATTCAGCATCCTCTGCTGGCCTAGAGGAACTGGTTGTTGTGTCCCCCATGTGCATCTGGGCATGCCGTTCACTGCTGGGCATCAACAACTGAGGAGGCCCAGTCCCAGTATGTACACTGCAAGTTCAGACCATGTATCATGTGATTTTACCTGCGGAGCAGGGATCTTTCATCTGCTAGTTAACTCCAAAAGATGGCCACAGCATCTGGAGCTGGGTTGGTCTGAAGCTACGAGCTTCTTTAGGATCTCTCACGTGGGTGCAGGGACCCACGAACTCAAGCTGCTTTCTGCTGCTTTCCCATGCACATCAGTAGGAAGCTGGATTGGAAATGGAGCAGCTGAAACTTAAACTACTTCCTTTATGGGATGCCAGTGCCATGGATGAAGGTTTAAACCTCCCATGCTTCTTGAGTTAAGTTTTAGAGGAGCTTATAATAGAATATAGAAAACACATTTTGGGCCCAGCGTGGTGGCGCAAGTGGTTAAGGTCCTTGCCTTGCACGCCCGGGAGCCCATATGGGTGCCAGTTCTATCCCGGGCAGCCCCGCTTCCCTTCCAGCTCCCTGCCTGTGGCCTGGGAAAGCAGTCGAGGACGGCCCAAAGCTTTGGGACCCTGCACCCACGTGGGAGACCCGGAAGAGGCTCTGAATTTTGTTTTTTGAAAGACTTTTGGTTATATATTGACAGGGAAGAGGTTGCTGGGGGAGAAATTCTCCATTATCTGGCCCAGGCCAAAAAAAGGGCCTGGAACTCCATCCACATCTGCCATGTAGGCAATGGATCCAAGCACCTGGCCCGTTCTCCCTGCCCTGCCAGGCACACCAGCAGAGAGTTGGATCGGTAGTAGAGTAGCTGGGACTTATATCAGCACCCACTCAATGCCTGTCCTGCAGGTGGTGGCTTAACCCACTAGACTACAGTAGCAACCCTGAAAAATCTTAGTTGACGACATATAGCATCAAAAAAACATTGTTAATTTTTATTCCCTTCCAGTTGCCTGTTTCATTTTAGCCTTACAATGGTTGTAAATATAAAATGCTGAACATTATCTTTTTGTTTTTTTATCAGTGTTTTAATAAAAATTCTAAATTGTGTTAGCCGTTTTCACAAAAAGATTTCTTGTCTTTATAATTATTTGATGTGAGTTCCATACATATATATATATATATATGTTTTTGCTACTTTTTGCTACTCATTTACCACTTTAGTTTGTATTATGGGCATCATCGTTAGTAATTTGTTCAATAATTCATTTTAATAGCTTGGTAATTAGTAATTACCTTTTGTATTAGTTTTTTAGCTAAAATGTAAAAATCTTGCTGCTTGGGAAGTTTTCTAAGATAAGTGCGTAAAGTCTGATTCTCAAAGGTTTTCATTTTGTTTCTTATAATTATTATGGTCATTGGGTAATTACTAAAGAAACAATATTGTGACTATTAATTTCTTTTTAATGTTACCTCTGCTTAACCCACATTGTTGTAAATTGGAACAAAGTGTATTTTTTTTCCAGTTTCTTTAAAATAATCTTTTGAAACATGCTGTCCCTTCACATCATTTGCATATTTTCTGCAAAGGTGAAAGAAGAATCCGTGTGCATACTTTGTGCTTGCCTGTGGTCTCCAACTTGAATGAAGTCTTTCTTGGAGCTGATGTTCAAGCAATTGCAGGCTTGCTGGCCAATATGGGTAAGAGGTGTCATTACCTAGTTCAAATAGTTTTTAAGCAATAACATTAGATAAATATATGTAATTTTGTTTTTTGTGTATACTTGGTTTCACATGTTTGATTATTCCGGGTCCTTGTGTTGGCTGGTAAGTGGCTATTTGAGAGGCCATTGTTGTAGTGTAGCAGGTAAAGCTGCAACATCAGCATCCAATGTGGACCTAAGTGATGTCCTGAATACTCCACTCTGGATCCAGCTCCCTCCTAATGGCCTGAGGAAAAGAGAGCAAATTGTGGTGCAAGTATTTGGGCCTCAGCACCCATGTTAGAGATCTGGAGGAAGCTCCTGTTTCCTGACTTCAACCTGACCCAGCCCCAGCCTTTGCAGCCATTTGGGGAGTGAACCAGTGGAAGGAGGGTCTCTTCCCCTAGTACTAACATTTTTCTCTGTAATTCTGCCCTTAAAATAAATAAAACCTTCTTAAAAATGGAATTTAAAAATGAGTTTATTTTGGTGCAAAAACATTTTCATCGATTTTTTTATAATATTTCTTTTTCATGAACTTTTGAAGTACCTTTCAATCTTATTCTGTTTGCACCATTAGCCAGATCATGTGAGCTAATGGAAGGTTTATTAATACCTTTACTTAATTACGTTCATCTCGAGTATAGTTACCTTTTTGATTTGTATCCTGTTTTCAGATCCTTTGTCTCTGTGGATGACAGAGACAAAACTTTCATCTATTCTTTTTTTCTTTTTAAAGATTTATTTTTATTATTTTTTTATTGGAAAGGCGGATATACAGAGAGGAGAGAGAGAGAGGAAGATCTTCCGTCCGATGATTCACTCCCCAAGTGAGCGCAACGGGCCGATACTATGCCGATCCGAAGCCAGGAGCCTCTTCCGGGTCTCCCACGCGGGTGCAGGGTCCCAAAGCTTTGGGCCGTCCTCGACTGCCTTCCCGGGCCACAGGCAGGGAGCTGGAAGGGAAGCGGGGCTGCCGGGATTAGAACTGGTGCCCATATGGGCTCCCGGGCGTGCAAGGCGAGGACCTTTAACCACTTGCGCCACCGCGCCGGGCCCCATCTATTCTTTCACTACTTAGATGCTGGGCTGAGAATGGCCAGGCCACAGCCAGCATTTAGGAACTCATTCTATGTCTCTCATGTGGGTGGCAGGCACTTGAGTGACCACCTCTGCTTCCCAGTTACACATTAACAGACGGTTGGATTTGGGAGCAGATCCACGACTTGAACCCAAGCTCTACACTATGGGATCCAGGCATTCCATTGCTTCACTAGACATCTTCCCTAAGTTTCTTAGCTGGATTCTTGTTCCTGCTCTCTATCAAGGAAGACTTGCAAATGGTCCACTTGCTTCACATACAAACATGCTAAAGCAGGGAGAGCTGCCCATTGTCTTGAATTCACTACTTGGAACCTTTTTGTAGTAAGGATCCTGTGAAGGATCCACCAGCAGCTAGTGTTCCATGTTGCTGGAAGTTGGGGCCCAAGGCCTAAGGGATATGAGGGTCACTGCCTTCCTTGTTTTTCTTTCAAGGTTGTTGTAACAGTGTACCCATGGTTATATTTATTTTGTTGGAAAACATTAACTGCCTCTCAGGCACTGTCTGTCGATTTTTAAAATAATCTGCAGGATGGGGTGACCCTGAGGCTGAGTGGCCACATCTTGTGTGGGAATGGCTTTTGGAGTCCCAGCTTCTGCACCTCCAGTCTGGTTTCTGGTGATGAAAAAACAGCTTTTAGCAAAGGTTGACTTGGTTCTCTAATGCATGCAGTTAACTGCTGTATGTTTTGGCTCATTGTGCAGTAATAACTCTAAGATTTGGTGTAATTATACACTGTCATCTTGACTCTTAACAGTGGTTCTTACCTTTTTTGTCCCTTCCCTGCCTTGATTAGCTGTTGACAGATCCATGACTGCAAGTCTGAGCGACGCTCGAGATGCTCTGGTGAATGCCGTCATTGACTCGCTTTCTGCTTACCGAGCCTCAGTCCTCAGTAACCAGCAGCCCGGCCTCATGGTTCCTTTTTCTTTGCGACTCTTCCCGCTGTTTGTGCTGGCTCTCCTTAAACAGGTAATTGAGAGGGAAACTGATATGGTGAAATATCAAAAGGCAAAATGTCTATTCTGTGAACGGCTAAACATTGGAGATAGAAGTTTATGCAACTTTAGATTCCTGAAGATGGGAACATTTTCTCTTATTTGACTCTCAAAAAGATTATTAACAAAAGAGAGTTCCAAATGAGTGGTTTACAGCAAATGTCTCGTGCGTGAGATGCTTACCAGATAAAATATTTGGGGATATTACACAAAGTTCTAATAATGAATTTTCCCTAGCGAGAATTCTTCACTCATGCCTTGTAGGCTACAGGATGTTGAGTCCCAGGATACCACCGTACACACCAGAGTCTGATGCTCTTGGCCCTGGTGTAAAATGCAGGGATGTTTGTATCGCCCACACATACACATCCTGTTGTGTAGATCACGTCTGGATGACTTGGAATTCCTAATAGAGTGTGGGTGTTATGCACATAGCTTTTATACTGATAAGAAATACAAATTCTGTTCAGTTTGAATCTGAGGTTGTAGAACTCACAGAGCGCTGATTGTGTAGTTTATTCTTGGACCAGAAGGCACATACCCAAGTATAGTACATATTCTCATTTACATGAGGAATTTAAAAGATTAACAGAGAAGCAGAGGGCAGTATGGTGGTCCCCAGGGGCAAGGGAGTGGGAAGCAATGTAAAGGCATTGGTCAGGGGGTACAGTGTTTCAGTTACAGAAGAGAAATACATCACAAATGGGAAGCATTTGAGGAGATAGACATGCAGGCTCATTTGATTCAATCATTCCTTGTTCTCTCCCATTTTATGGCATCAACTTTCACACCAAAAATACATTCAGCTATAGTTTATCATCAGTAAAAATTATTTAAAAAAAATTTTTTTAAGCTAGAGATATACCTACAGTTTTTTTCAGGCTCTTTCTTTTTCTTTATTTTTGACAATCTTTACATGGCTACTTAGGGCACAAAGGTTCAAGGGCTACAGGAAGGTGGGTAAGACTATTATTTCTCTTTTTTTTTCTGTATCTGGGGTAAATGGGGAGATAAAGGGAGAAGCCCCACCTAATAAAAATGAACAGAAACTGCTAATCATGTCAGATTTAAGGGTTTCTATATGCATTCTTTAAATGCCTTTTTGGAGACAAATAAGGTTTTTTTTTTTTTTTTTTTAATTATTACAGAAATCATTCCAGACTGGGACAAATGCACGTCTAGATGAACGTATTTTTGCTATGTGTCAAGTGAAATGTCAGCCCTTGGTTCACCTTATGCTTACCACGCATCCCAGTTTGTACAGAGTCGACAATCTCTCAGATGAGGTAAGATTGATTTCTGTTTTAGTAGCTTTTCCCTTTCTTTAAAAGAAAAAAATTTTTTTTATTTTATTATTTTATGATATAGTTCCATAGGTTCTGGGATTTCCTTCTCCCTTTCTTCATGACCCTTCCCACCGCTCATTTCCCCTGTATTACTGCAGTAGTATAGTCATACTTCATAGTCAAAACTCATAATTTAACCTTTCTAATGGAATGGCTGCCTTGCAGTTATTTTTCAAGATGATAGGTATAAAAAAAAGAGGAAAGGCATCCGACATATGTTTGATAGGCCTTTCAGAAAACATAAATTTGTTTCTTTGGCCACATACGTGCACATTTACAAGAGCAGTGATATTGTGGACAGGAGGGGAATGGGTACCATTCATAAAGGAATGCCTCCCATATGTGGCCAAGGCAAAGCTGGTGGCACTGCTGTAAACAAACATGTTAATGTGAGTATTGAGTATGCTAAACACACTAAGAACCCAGATAGCTTTGTTAAACAGATGAAGGAAAATGAGCAGAGAAAAAAGCAAGCCAAAGGGAAAGGTTCCCGGGTGTGTGCCAGCCTCCACCCCAACAAGTCCACTTTGTCAGAACCCGCGGGAAGGAGCATGGCTTACCAGAACCCCTGGCCTATGAGCTCGTGGCAGAGTGTAGGGAGGAAATAGAACCTCTAGACTATAAAAGTGTTTCTTTAAAAAATTACTCTAGCAAATTAACATAACAAATGCAGTACATTGTATATCTTTAATTCAGAGAATAAAAACAATCATTTAAATATGAAGCACTATTTATATTGGTTGTGATGTTGTCAGAACTTGATTAGTTGTAAAACTTGAGCAGGAGCCAGCATGGGAGACTGAGAAGAAGCTCCTGGCTTTGAATTAACTCAACTGCAACTCCTGTGCCCATCTGGGGAATGAACCAGTATATGGAAGATCTTTCTGTCTCTCCTTCTCCCCATTAATCTGATGTGTCTTTCCAATAAAAAATAAAAAGTCTTGAAAGTCAGATATACAGAGAAAAGGAGAGATAGAGAAGTAGATCTGTCCGATGATTAACTCCCCAATTGACTGCAGTGGCCAGTGCTGCACCGATCCAAAGGCAGGAGTCTAGAACTTCATCCAGGTCTCCCACGTGGATGCAGGAACTCAAGGCTTTGGGCCGTCCTCAACTGCTTTCCCAGGCCACAAGCAGGGAGCAGGATGGGAATTGGAGCTGCCGGGATCAGAAGCGGAGCCCATATGGGATCGCTTTAACTGATACAGTATCATGCCGACCCCAAATTTAACTCTTTCTTATCAACCTTCTTTACTGGATTTCCAGAAAGGGCTTTCTAGTTTCTCTTTCATTTTGGCAGGTCTCTGGCTAGGATCTGATAGTCCTTCCTTGAGGGCTACAGGCTCTTGGCTGTTTATAATTCCTAAGCCCAGAGGTCTTAACATGCTGTGGTGCTCAGTGCTTAAAGAGCTAAGCCTTATTATTGTAGGGAAAAGAGCAGTTTTCCAAAATCAGCATGAAGAATGTGAAGAAAGGGTGCCGATGCACAGAGCGAAAAAAATATTTTTTTTAACCTAGTTTTGCTTTGGCAATTTGAATCCTAATGTGTTTTGTGGCTTTAAGCATTATATGAAATAATTATATGTAGGACTTTTAGGACAATTAACTATAATGTACCAAGCAGCTCTTACCATCATTACCTTATGATAATAAAGTATATTTTCACATATATAAGAATTCATTTTTTAAAAGTTTTATTTTTTTAATTTTAATTTAAAAAGGCAGATTTACAGAGAGGAAAGACAGAGGCACAGATCTTCAGGCAGCTGGTTTATTCCCCAAGTGGCTGCAACAGACAGAACTGAACCAATCCAAAGCCAGGAGCTTCTTCAGGTCTCCCATGTAGTTGTAAGGTCCCAAGGTATTAGGCCGACCTCAACTGCTTTCCCAGGCCATAGGCAGGGAGCTGGATGGAAAGGGGAGTACTCAGGACATTAGCCAGTACCCGTATGTGACACTGGCGTTGCAAGGCAGAGTTAGCCAGTCAAATGACCATGCCGGCCCCGAATTATTATTTGTAAAGCAGTAGTTTAGAACATTCCTGAGACTTAGATTAGCTTTGTTTAGATAAGTGGTAAATAATTCCTTTTTAAAAATTTAAATATTGTTAATCAGGGCCTGGTGCAGTGGCCTAGTGGCTAGAGTCCTTACCTTGCATACTGCGATCTCATATGGGTGCCAGTCCTAATCCTGGCGGCCCTGCTTCCCATCCAGCTCCTTGCTTGTGGCCTGGGAAAGCAGTTGAGGACGGCCCAAAGCCTTGGGACCCTGTACCTGCATGGGAGACCTGGAAGAGATTCCTGGCTCCTGGTTTTGGATCGGCGCAGCACCGGCCGTTGCACTCACCTGGGGAATGAATCATCAAACAGAAGATCTTCCTCTCTGTCTTTTCTCCTCTCTGTATATCTGGCTTTGCAACAAAAATAAAGAAATCTTTAGATGTATATATAATAATTTCCCTAGGTCAGATCAGAACTCTTGAAGGCAACATTCATTTAGTTTTCCATCTTGTTTAGTTGTGACTCCAGCTCACCTGTGTCTGATAGCTCTCTTTTTTTGACTTAATTCCTCAGGGTGCCCTCAACATCAATGACAGAACAATACCTCAGCCTGCACTTCTTCAGCTCTCAGTGGAAAAGCTGAGCAGAGACGGGGCATTCCTCATGGATGCAGGCTCGGTGAGTGACTGACTCGGGCCACCTCTTTCAGCCTCTGACTGCTTGCCTGTCCACTCTCTTCCTCACAGGTTGGCAGGCTCTTCACCTCCAGCTCTGTTTGTGTTCACCTTCTTGTTTCATGACAAAAATAAAATGTCCCATTTATTTGAAAGCCTGTATACTCACTGAATGTCCTTGTGCTTTTTGAGTTTTTAAAGTGTCCTCTGGGTCAAGCTGAGTCAGCTTGCTAAGCACTGCACCGCCTTGCCGTCTCGCAGTATTTCATTCCTGTCCCTAGGTCCTGATGCTTTGGATTGGAAAAAATTGTGCACCGCATTTCCTAAGCCACGTTCTAGGAGTTCAAAACTATGCATCAATTCCACAGATTATGGTAAGTCTCAGTAGCTTTAAAGCACATTTCAAAGGTTGTAAAAATATGACTATTCAATTTTGGAATCAGAAATTACTGCTAAAAATCTTTCCCAAGACCAATTGTCCTGATAGTTTCTTTTCCTTCTGAAAATACTCATTGTGTGTCTTAGCATTCATGTGTCATTGGCTTATCTGTTGTTATATTTTTTTCTACTTTTGTTTATTTGAAAAGCAGTTAGAGAAAAAGAGGTCTTCCATATGCTGATTCCATTTCTCAAATGGCTGCAGTGACTGGAGTGGGCCATTCTCAAGCTAAGAGCTATGAACTTACCTGGTCTCCATCATGGATGACAGGAGTCCAAGCACATGAACCTCATCTGCTGTTTTCTTAGGAACATTAGACAGGAGCAGCTGCTCTTCCAAGTGGTGTCCCTATTGGCTGATGGAAGTGTAGGCAGTGACTTAACCCACGATCCACAGCCTTCTTAGGTTGTTACGACAGTATACTTGTATGGGCATTGTGGTACTATGGGTTAAGCCAAGGTCTGTAACACCAATTCAAGGTGTTCCATTTCTGATCCAGCTTCTGCTCGTGTGCCTAAGAAAGGAGCAGAAGTTGACCCAAGTGCTAAGGGTTCCCTACACCCTGATGGGAGAGGAGGACATCTATGCTCCTGCCTTCAAGCTGACCATGGAAGTGAACTGACAGATGGAAATCTCTTTATCTTTTCCTCTCTCTCTCTCTGTAACTATGTTTAAATAAATAATTAAAAAATTTTTTTGTTTATTTTTATTTGGAAGACAGATTTACAGAGAGAAGGAGAAGGACAGAGAGACATATCTTTAATGCACTGGGTCACTCCCAAAGTGGTTGCAATGGCTGCAGCTGAGCTGATCCAAAGCCAGGAGCCAGGAGTTTCTTCCAGGTCTCCCAGGCGGATGCAGAGTCTCAAGGCTTTGTGTCCTTGGATTATATTCTATTTAATCACCTTATTTTACATTTATGGAAGTCATTTAAGGACTTACGTGTTTAAACAACATTTCATGACTGGGACCATGGTATAGTAGGCTCAGTCTCTGCATCATTGGCATCCAGTATGGGTGCTGCTTTGAATTGCAGCTGCTGCACTTTGATCTAGGTCCCTGCTGTTTGGAAGGGCAGCAGAGGATGGTCCAAGTGCTAGAGCCACTGCATCCATGTAGGAGATCAGGAGGAAGCTCCTGTGTTTTGGTTTCACACTGGCCCAACTGTGGCCATTGCAGCCAGGCGAAATGTGATTCAGCCTGTGATTCAGATGGAAGATTTCTCTGCCCCTCCTTATGTCTTTGTAAAAATGCCTTTCAAATAGAAATACACAAATCTTAAAAAAAAAAAAAAAAAAAAGAACAAAGGAAAATGAAAAGAAAGACAAAAAAAATTAGTTTGGCAAGGTTAGCATTTATTTAGTGGTTAGGATATATGGGTCACTTATTGGAGTACCTGGGTCAGATGCCCTTCTTGGCTCCCGACTCTGTGGCCCTAGGGAGGTCCTGGTGATGGTTCAGGCTGTTAGGTTTCTGCTGCCCACATGGGAGACCTGGATTGCGTTGAAACTTCTGGCTTGAGCCTTGTTGCAGCCCTGGATGCTACAAACGTGTAGGGGATGAACCAACAGGCGGGAGTAGTTTGTCTTCTATCTGTTTCTGTCTCTAAACTAAACAGTAATTTAAAGTTAAGACAAAAAAGTTTGCTGACTTCTGTTTTAGATTCCTAGAACATCGTAGTCCCTACCCAAGTAATAGTATCATCAACTGGGAGTTGGTCGGATTGTTAATCTTAGGATCCTCTCCATGTGACTGCAGACCAACCAGATCACATGTTGTAAATGGGAAAGTACTGTAGAGCACACATTTTATATAGAGAGTAAGGTGGATATTATTGGCTTTGTATAATGTACATTTTATAGAGATAGTAAATTGGGTGTTAACTGTTTTTTTTTTTAACAGACAGACCTTCCAGAACTTGATACACCAGAATCTGCCAGAATGATCGCTTTCATCTCTTGGCTTAGAGAACAGAGACCGTTTTTCCCAATACTTTATGTAATAAGGTGAGTTGTGTTTTTCACTTGCTGTTAGTTGGTTTGGTATCACAAGGATTTGATTTGAAGTATAGAAAAACAAGAGGCTTCAATAAGTTTGTAAACATGTAATTAGAAAATAGTTTGATGCAGTAATACTTGAAATCTAAACATTTGACCCAACACAATAATGCCACGGTTAAATCCCCAGGATCCCATATGATTGCCAGTTTGTGTCCCATCTGCTCTTCCCGTCAAGCTCCCTGCTTGTGGCCTGTGAAAGCAGTATAGGGTGGGCCTGCACCCACATGGGAGATATAGAAGAAACTCCTGGCTCCTGCCCTCTGATGGGCTCTGCTCTGGCCCTTGTGGCTATTTGGGGAATAAACCATTGGATGGAAGAATGTTTTCTCAGTCTTTCTTTATCTGACTTTCTTTTTTTTTTTAAGATTTATTTTTATTATTTTTTATTGGAAAGACGGATATACAGAGAGGAGAGACAGAGAGGAAGATCTTCCATCCGATGATTCACTCCCCAAGTGAGCGCAACGGCCGATGCTATGCCGATCCGAAGCCAGGAGCCTCTTCTGGGTCTCCCACGCGGGCGCAGGGTCCCAAAGCTTTGGGCCGTCCTTGACTGCCTTCCCGCCCCACAGGCAGGGAGCTGGAAGGGAAGCGGAGCTGCTGGGACAGAACCGGCGCCCATATGGGATCCCGGGCGTGCAAGGCGAGGACCTTAACCACTTGCGCCACCGCGCCGGGCCCTATCTGACTTCCTAATAAAAATAATTAAATGAGAAAAATCCAGACTTTTTTTTCATGAACTTTTTGAAGAGTCCTTATATGTGTTCAATGTTTATGGCAATCTTTGATAAAACTTTAGAAACCAAAATGAAACCAAATCCTTCGCAATAAATGGTACTTAGGTTGGTGTGGTGGCACAGCTGATTTCCTTTGCTTGCTTCCCACACTATCATGTTGATTTGAATCATGGCTGTCGTGCTTGAGATCCTGCAGTGTACCTGGGAGGGCAGAGGAGGATGGGCGTCATCCTTGCGCCTTTGTCACCCATACGTTGTTCCTAGCTCTGGCTCTGGCTCAGTCCAGCCCTCGCTGTTAGGAGCCTATGGGGAGTGAGCCAGTATTTGAAAGTTATTTCTCTGTCTGACTTTCAAAAATAAATAAATCGTGAAAGCAATAATTAAATCTGCTAAATTCTGTTTTATATCCAATGACTGGAATCACTTAACTTTTAATGAACTTTTTAGTTAAAAAGCTTAATTGTTTATCCTCATTCCACTATAAATGTTCTACTAAGCAACATGTAGTTTGCATAAATCAACAAAAGTCTTCAAGAGAAAGACCTCTAGAAGTAAATAGCTGTGTGGTGACTATTATTGATAGTTATCCCATGTCAAAAGCCATGTGACAGTTGAATTGTATGGAATGTAAATGATTATTTTTGCCTTTAATCCTTCAGGGATGAGAGTCCAATGAAAGTAAACTTCCTTCAAAACATGGTCGAAGACAGGACAGAATCTGCGTTGTCCTATTATGAATTCCTGTTGCATATACAGCAGCAAGTGAACAAGTGAAGAGATGAAGACATTTCATTTAGTTACTTCTAAGGAAAGTCAGAATAACGCAGAATGCCCGGGGATGTGTAATACTTCCTTCTCTATGAGTTTGTGGACTGATAGGATAATTAAGATGTTCTCACTGTGATTTCAACAAACTATAGCAAATAAAGGACCACAGCAGAGAATCAAAATGCAACTCTGAAATACTGTATTTTTCAAATCAAAATGTATCTACATAAGATTGGATACCTTTTTTCCTTTGCCAATTATGTTTGAGTTATTATGGATTGAAATAAGAGAAGACAATATTGCAGAGGCAAAGTACATTTTGTAAAATAAAGACTTCTGTGTTCCACGTGTATATTTATCATTTTTTATTTTTCTGATTTTTTTTTGGCTGCTACATTTAAGACCTCACAACCTAAGTGTTGCAGGGAAGTTTCAAATTCATCGATAAATAATCTTTTTAAAATAAAATTCAGAAGTAAAAGAATACAGAAAATGAAAATTTGTTCCCGAAGCTGGTTTTCCTTTTTTTCAGGAAGAAAAAAGATCATGTTAAGTTAACTAACTGTGGCTCTAGAGGACTGTGAAGTAAGGCGTTCAAGCTTTCATGTCTGTCAGTATTCTCTGTTTCTTAAGAACAAACACAGTTTGATTTGAACTGCAAACTGTAATTAGATAATTTCCTGCTTTGGCTGAAGAAGACTTGTACAAAGAATTGGAGCTGTCTTCATAAGTTTTTGTGACTGGTAATGATTACAGGAAGATGGAAACTTCATTTGGATGTTTCAAGTACGTTTTTATTTAATCAATCTGATCTGTATTGTATATTGGAAGTGTTATTTTGGGTGAAATGAAAGTGAACGAAGCTCAAGGTTTCATCAATGGTATATCAACTGCATCAGTAACATTTTTGTCTAAGGAGTTTAACTGTTAAATTGGATGCCACGTATAAAACATATTTATTCTTGCATATTAAGATATTAACGATCAAGTGCTACTGTCTGATTTAGTAACAAGTAAGAGTACATGAGTCCATTATGTTGAGATGTATAAGAAGTTAAGTTTTCTGAACGTATTTCTTAAGACTGCATTTTTGATTCGGCTAGAAAAATAGTCAAAACTATTGATTGCTTTTGTTTACAAGTAAATTATACATCTGTATATTTAAAGTGCTGTGATACGATATCTTGAAAAGTGTGGCTCGTTTTCAATGATTGCATATGAATTTCTTTAAAGATGTTCATATGTGATACTTGATGAAGAGATCTTTTGTTTTTTTTTTTAATGGGTTAGAAATGTGTTTACAATCTTCTGTGATCACCAATGATATAGTAACCTTCAGGTTTCTATCTCTCGGGGATGACTGGCTGAGCTGTCAGGCCAGAAGAAGCAGGAAGTATACACCTCTTTATGGCTGACTTACAGTCGGTGTGCCCTGTAGGACTACCATGAGGTTTTTTTTTTTCCCAGTACATATATGTTACATTGAGCCCGAGTTTTCTTGAAAGCCGCTCCATTTATTGAGACAAAATTTTGAGACTGGCAAAATTTTAAGTTTTCCCCTCTTCTAAAGAAAGAAACAGAGTCACTGTGTACTGATGTTTCTGAAACTGCCTCCAATTTTGCTCTTCATGTGTTGAGCACGGTTGTAAAGAATCTTCCAGAGAGAAATGTGTGTGTTTTTCGGGATCACCTTCCTTGTGCCTCACTACATCCCGAAGAGGGGATGACTTGTTATTGCCACTTGCGTTGCTAGTAAAACCCACAAATTTACTTTGGGAATTTATTTTACATATTGTGTAACATCTGCAATCCAGAATGATTTTATAACATAGCATAAAACACATAACAATTTAGGATTCACAATATTTGTTCTCCAAATAATGAGAGAATGAATGAGTCTTTTTGGGGATATTGATATAAAGCAATTATTTTTTGCAATATTGAATGTGTTTTTTAGTTTGATTTTTTTCTTTCTAGTAGGGCACTACTTTCCATCATCTGATTACTTTTTGATGTAAAGCAACTAATATTTACACTATGCCATATTTTTTTTATTGTAGTTGTAAATTACGAAAGATCCTCGAATTTTCTATAGATCTACAACTACTAAAGTAACAGACAAGGGCAACCTTGGTGTTTAATCTGAGCATGGCAGTTCTACCATAAAAAGTACTCTATTTTTCTAATTTCTAGAATTTTTAAAATGACATTTCTGTAAGTCTGACATACTAATAATATTCACTTGAGCAGTACCATTTATTTTAGTTTGCATATATTTTCATTGTTTTTAATTTAATGTAATGTACTGAGTCTAATAGACTGTTTTGCAATAATTAGGATAAAAGATTTATTTCTTCTAATCAAAGATGCATAACAGCTATTATCTAGGGGACCACCAAATGTGATTTTAAGATTTTGTTAATTATTACAAATGTAATCCTTACATAGAAGTTTTAATTTTGTAAAGTAGTGTATAATATTGTAACATTAAATTTTTGTTCTCAGATTCAAATATGTATTGATCTTCCATGTGCTGTGTTAAGTCTTGCTTCTCTGAAATGTTAGAGACAAGATTTGTCTTCCTTTTTACAGTTTGTAATTTTCACAGTTTTATTCCTGTAAAGAAAAAAAAGTCATTTGTTACCCATGCAATCGTTTGTTCTGTGCTAACTTATCAATTTGGCTATTCAATAAAGTTAATTAAAAGAGCTAATATACAGTGACTGCTTTTTCAAAGTAATACAAAGTACTTGCCACCCACTAAGCAGTACTTTGTTTTGTATACAGGTGGAGTCCATAGAAAACTATTGCTGAAAGTTATTTGGAGCTGGCAATATGGTGTAGAGAGGTTGAAGCTGCTGCTTGTAATACCAATATCCCATATGGATATGAGGTTGAATTCCAGCTGCTCCACTTCCCATCCAGCTCCCTGCTAATGCACCTGGGAAACGGGAGAGGATGGTCCAACTTCTTGGGCCTCTGCAACCCCGTGGGAGACAAGGAAGAAGCTCCTGGTGTTGACCTGGCATAGCCCTGGCCATTGCACATGGAAGATCTGTCCTTGTGTCAATCCTGTCACTCTCTGCCTTTCAAATAAATTATCTGTTTCAAAAAAAGGTAAAGAATTGGGGCCCAGCACTGTAGCCAAGTTGTTATAGTCCTCACTTTGCATGCTCTGGGATCCTATATCAGCATCTTCGCTGCTCCACTTCCCTTCCAGTTCCCTGCTTGTGGCCTGGGAGAGCAATATAGGGTAGCCCAAAGCCTTGGGACCCTGCACCCACATGGGAGACCTGGAAGAAGCTCCTGGCTTCAGATCAGCTCAGCTCTGGCTGTTGAGGCCATTTGAGGAATGAATGAGTGGATCAAAGATCTTTCTCTCTCTGCTTCTCTCTGTAAATCTGACTTTGAAATAAAAATAAATAAATCTTTGAAAAAAAAAAATAAAGGACTTTATACCCCCTAAATAGTTACCTAGAATCTCACTGATCAATTGCTTGGTGCTCATTCTTCAGAGATAAGATTTGGAATTCCAGACTGAAACTTACTTTTTTCCCTATTACTCAGGTAATATACCATTGTCTTTGGGCTCATTTGTTACTGATAAGAATGTGAAAATAATCTTTTTTGACTTATAAGGCTTTCTCTTTCATGTTTTGTAGTTTTTATTACTCTGAAATTATTGTCTTATTATTTGAAAGGTAGAACAACAGAGAGGGAGAGTCATCTGTCTGCAGGTTTACTGCCTGAATTCCCACCTCAGCCAGGGCTGAAGCCCAGAACTCCCTCCAGTTCTCCCACGCGGGCAGCATGAGCTCAAAGAGGTGAGCCGTCAGCTACCTCCACAGTGTGTTCACCTGTGAAGCCACGATGCCTATCCCCAGAGTACATGTCCATTTGGACATTCTGACTTATCTTCATTTCTGGAAAATTCCCAGCACTTTTATTTTCTTCTTTTATCTACATTCCTTCTATTACTCCTGGAATTCTTGGTAGCTCTGTGTTTACACTACTTTATTTTTGACCATTTCGAGGTAACTCATCTACTGAATTTTATATTTGTACGACTAACCTTAATGAATTTTGTAAGTTTGAGAAGCAGGGATGCAGAAACAACTCTCATTCTGTGGCCCTTTCCCCAAATAACTGCCTCTTGGAGTATGTTTTTTGATAAGTGGATTATTTATTATTTGAATGACAAGGTTACACAGAGAAGGAAAGGCAGATAGATGTTCCATCCCCTGGTTCACTCTCCAGATGGCTGCCAGCAGGCGTAGTTGAGTCAGGTAGAATTCAGGAACACGGAACTTCTCCCAGGTCTCACACATGGGTGCAGGGCCCAAGCACTTGGACCATCTTGCACTCTTTCTCAGGTCATTAGCATGAAGCTGAATTACAAATGGAGCAGCAGTTACTGGGATGCCAGCAATGCAGGCCACACCTTTTATGTCACAACACTGATGTATTCTTTTTAATAAATAAAATCCTAGGGGTAGGTGTTTTTGGAGTAACAGTTAATGATGCTGTCTACATCTCTATTTGAGCTCCTGGGTTCAACGTCCATCTCTGAGTTTTTAATTCAAAAAACGTCTGAATTCAAATGTTGTTTGTGAATAAACCTCACATGGACTAGGTAGGGTGAAGGCCCAGAGTGCAGCCTATACCAGCTGGCCTGCTGAGGAAGAGAGGCTGCAATGTGGCTGTGTTGGGCAGGCAGAGGACTTGTCTGCACCACCAACATGTCTCTCATCATGCTTCATTGAAATCAAACAGTCTCAAATGTACACACCCAAATGGCCACTGCTTTATTTGGATCACAACCTGCCTGTCTTTTTATTTTATTTTTGTTTGTTTCTGCAGCTTGTAACATCTAACATGGCAGCATGAAGATGCCAGTGCACCTAGGGACGGACAGCGTGGGCAGCACTCACAGCCCGGTAACCTGTGTTATGAAATCTAATTTTAGATGATTTTGAATATTTTGGAGTATTAATATAAATACATTGGTAATACGGTTGGGGCAAATTTACTTGGCTACTTGAGTCATGGTTTTAAAAAGATTTGTTTAGGGCGTGGCACAATGGCTCCCTCAACTGGCTAAATCCTCACTTGCAAGCGCATGTGACATCCCATATGGGAGGTGATTCGAGTCCAGCTGCTACACTTCCCATCCACCTCCCTGCTACTTGCCTGAAAAAAGCAGCAGAAGACGGCTCGTGTCCCTGGGCCCCTGTACCACTGTGGGAGACCTGGGTCAACCTGCTAGCCTTCAACCCTTTTGGCCGTTTGGGGGTCAATCAGCTGATGGAAGATTTCTAACTCTGCCGTCCAAACAAACACACAGTTTCAATTTTTCAAATAAATATTTTTTAGAAATTTCCAGAGTCCCCCAAGCCTTCTATCGAGAGCCTGGAACACTATGCCAGTGTGCCCAGTGGAGGCCCAGCCCTCCTGTGCACCCACATTTTTCCAGACGTGAAGCAGGCAGCAAAAGCAGCACCTGGCTTTGTCCAGGTGGTGACAGACCGAAAATAAACATTAGTACATTTAACACAGCGGTGGTATGTGCTAAGGACAAAAGACGAGGAATAAGGAGTGTTGATCATTTAGCCACAGTGGTCAGAAAAAGGCATCACCGGGAAAGTCTTAAATAAGCCAGCAGCACGCAAGGGAGCAAAGCTAAGCAAGACCGAACACACCATCAGCAGCAAGCACAAGTTCCTCCCTAAAGCGTCGCTCCGCAATTTACGTATGTCCACGTCCAATAAGAAACAAGCACCTTCCGCTGCGCCCTCCATTTTACTTCCTGGCAAATACTAACACCCCCCCCCCCCCGTTCTTATTCCACGCAATTCTTTCCAGTATCGTCAGCTCAGCTGTCTATTTTCTTAACCTTTGAATGAAAAGCAGACGACTAGCCCTAGGGGGAAGGTCAGCCGTGCCGGCCAGCAGTGGGGTGAGCGGGGTTAGCTTAGGCACGGCAGTCGCTGCCCTCTTTCAACATGTCGGCTGCAGCCTCGCGCTAGTTCCCATCGGGCGGCGCGGGCGAACCAAGGCCGCAGTGGCGCCGCCGCGCTCGGGGGCGGGCCTATGGTGGGCCGAGCTCAAGCGTCGCTCTCCCTGCTCGGAGTCATCCAGGTCCCCGCCGCCGACGCTGCCGGGCTATGGAGGAGCGGATGGAGCCCGTGAGCGTCGCCGCTGACGGCGGGGAGCGACCGCCGGCCCCGGCGGGCTCCGGCTTGTCAGCTTCCCAGCGTCGGGCCGAGCTGCGGCGGAGAAAGCTGCTGATGAACTCGGAACAGCGCATCAATCGCATCATGGGCTTCCACAGGCCCGCGAGCGGCGCGGGTGAGAACCTCGGCTTCCCCCACTCCTTTGAGACTTGGGGGTCCTTTTCCTTCCCGCGCCCCATCCTGCCGACCTGAGCGACCAGGTCCGGTGGCTGCCCTCCTCCCTGTCCCCGCGCCGGTGGTGTGTTGGCCCAGTCCTCACTGCTCACTCCCCTCTGGTTTCCCCAGAGCCTCGCCTTAGGGTCGTCCTCTGTGCCTACTCGCCTACACATGACCGTTTCTTCCTCCACAGTGTGTGGTGCCCCTTGGGCAGGTGCCCGTTCCTGCTGTCCGTCCCGAGTACCGTGCCTTCCCTACTATCTACTTTGCCTCGCTCCTTGCTTTGTGAATTTGCTGTCCGCCCTATCACTTCGTTGTGTCCTAATCTGTGCGGGTCCCGGGATCCCAGACTTGAGTTGGGGGAGATCCCGTAAAGCCCGTGAACTCATTTGTTCTGGCCCTGCCTAGGTAGCCAGGGGGTAGTTCTCTACACTCAGTAAATCGACAACAGTCTAAGTTGAGAAGGTTATGTGGTCCGCGAACGAGGTTGTAAATAATCAAATGCTCCACTGCGGAAGAACAGTACTTCACCCCAGCTAGTGTCTGCGCAGTGTCCCCCAAATTTAAGGAATCCCTTATAGAGCCCACAACTGCGCCAGGCCACCAGCTGGGACGGATGCAACTGATATTGGCAATTGCATTTAAACCCAAGAGACTGGCCCTAAAAATCCGTTCCCTATTAGTCTCTTTCCTTGTGAATGCAATCACTTAATGCGGGCTGATGTTAAGGTCTGCACTTAGTGTGTCTATTAAGAATTGGTCCTTTGTCTTTGATCACAAGCTTCTGACTTGGGGCGTGAATTCTTTGCTGCTTTAGCTAGGTACATAGGCCAGAACCGGCAGACCCAACTCTTATGAGAGCCGGGGCACCATTTCAAATGCTTCCAGAATAGCTAAAAGCATGGGTTTCTCTTTCACATTGCAATGCTCATCTCTAGAGGCTAATTTGTTATGTGCACGAGATACATTCACTCTTGGGCTTTGAAAATTTTATGTCTTCATAGGTTGTGTGGAGAAAGGAAAACCATGACTGTGCTCCGGCAGCTCACTTGGCCATGTGTGGCTTCCTGACTTGTAAACAGTAGCCGGAGGATAGGCCACACCCTAACTCACAAGGGCTGTGAACTCAAAAAGCTGTGATAAAATTTTTGAAAGTCCGACTGATTTATATTTTAAACTAATATGCCATCTGCCTTCTGGGATATATTTCCCATGAAAAGTTGGGGTTTCCAGGTTATTCCATCCCTGTGTTCCCCGTTGGTCTGTTGCTGTTGGGCTCTACACCCAGTGTTTATTTCCTTGGCAAGGACATTGTTGTTGGGCTGACACATTTTGAGGGTGTGGGGGAAGGAACCCGTTCTTGCTTCACATCTGTGTACAGTCAGGGTTTATTTATTTCACCTGAGACCATGAGGCGTGGCTGCAGCAGCCTCTGTAAAACATGAGTGTTTAAGATGTTCGCCAGCATGTCATACATGAGACTCCTCAATTTCTTTCCTCAGAAGAAGAAGGTCAAGTAAAATCCAAGCTACAGGACGAAGAGAAACTCAACTCCCTCAGTAGCCCTTCAGTGTCAAAGCGAGTCGTGCTGGGTGATTCAGCTGGTACAGGAGCCTCTGACCAGCAGGGTGGGGCAGCCCAGGGAAAGAGCACCCAGTTGGGAGACAGACTGGACTCTCTGGTTAAGCCGCCTGAAGGCAGTAACGATGCCAGCCTGGAGCTGCGGCAGCGCAGCCGGGGGGACCCGGCGGCAGAGCCGCTTCGGAGCGGGTCCCGCCACGGGCTGGAGCAGTACCTGGCCAGGTTTGAAGAGGCCATGAGATTGAGGAAGCAGCTCATCAGCGAAAAGCCCAGCCAAGAGGATGGAAGTGCCACGGAAGAATTTGATTCTTTTCGAATATTCAGATTGGTGGGATGTGCCCTGCTTGCTCTGGGAGTCCGAGCTTTCGTTTGCAAATACTTGGTAAGAAAAAGAACTACAGCCTAGGAACAAACTCAATGGCATATGCAAATTGGTTACAGTGAATGCTTTTTAATTTTTAAAAAAATGTGTTTGAGGCATGGAGAGCGAGAATGAGAGAGCAAGAGAAAGATTTCAGCTGCTTTCTCCTGAAGTGTTTTTGTGTAGGTCAGGGATGAACTTGGGCCCAAAGCTGAGGGTTGGAACCTCAGGGACCTTCTGTCACTTGTGCTCTCCTGGCTGCTGCCAGCATCTTCATTAGCTGGAAGCTGAAGATCTGCAGCCTGGTTTCCAGCCTGGGTGTACCATTGTGGATTGCTGGGCTGGATGCCTGGCCGCTGGGTGCCTCTGACATACAGAATTCAGCGCCGATAGTAGCATACTGTCTGCTAGATCCATATGCCTTCCTTGTTTGTTGTAGTTGCAGGGGGCGGTGTTTAGGGTTTGGCACTGTGGCACACTGGGTTAGTCTGCTTCATGCGATGCCACATAGCAGAGCAGCTGTCTGAACCCTGGCTCTGCTGCCTCTAGTTGCTTCCGGCTAACATACCTAGGGAGGCAAAGAAGAGGACTCGAGTGCTCCGGCCCTGCCACTCCTATGGGGACACTGGGATGGAGAGCCTGCCTGCTGCTTCAGCCTGCCCCACATCTGGCTGTTGCAGCCACTTGAGAATTAAACCTAAAAATAGAAGCGCGGCTCTCTCTCTCTCTCTGGCGTTATTTTTATTATATTCTTTTTCTTTTCAAGGCCAAGTTTTATTTTATTTGAAAAGCCAAGCAACAGAGAGAATAAAAGACAGATCCTCCATCTGCTGGTTCACTTCTTAAATGTCTGTAATGGTCGTAGCTGGGTTGTTCTGAAACCAAGAGCCAGAAGCTTCTCCTGGGTCTCCCATGTGGGTGTGGGGGCCCAAATACTTGGGCCATCCTCTGCTGCTTTCCCAGGCCATAACTAGGATGCTGCATGGGAAGTGGAGAAAGTGGGACTCCGCCCAGCACCATAGGCAGCAGCTTAGCATACTATACCATGGCGCTGGTCCCTAAAAGCAACCTCATAGGGGGATTAAGTGCCTACATGTACAATACATTAATTATAGCAATTCTCAAATAACTTGAATCATTAAAATGCAGTTCCTCTGGTTCTGAGTGTAAGGAAATAGTTCTGTGGTTGAGATGCCTCAGCATTTTATTATGTGCATGATCATCGTGTCACTTTCTGCTGTACTGTGCGATCCTTTTGTTTTCTAGCCCAGGCAGTAGCTGAGTGTGTCGCTCTTGGATGTGTTTCCATCCAACAGATATTTTAAGAACACGGGAGCTAGCAATTAGCCCAGCCATAAGTCACTTCTTGGGGACCACGTGTTATCCCATAATGGTGTGCCTGTGAGAGGTCCAGTTTCCCTGTCATTCTTACTTCCCATTAGTGTGCTCCGCTGGGAGGCAGCAGGGTGTGGCTCCGTTAGAGCCATTCCGTGGGGCACCTGGATGGAGTTCCTGGTCCCTGGCTTTTAGCTTTGCCCAACTTTGGCTCTTGCAGGTGTTTGCGAAATGAACTAGCAGAAGGGAGAACTCTTGTCTCTGTCCCTCAGTGTTCCAAATCTGAAAGACAAATGCATGAATCAAGTACATAAATAAAACTTCTAGATTATTTAAAGTTTAAATCATTAAGCAATGCAGTTTTTAAAACAGTATTTTTTGTTTGCTTGTTTCTTTGTCATTTTTTAAAATTTTCTTTTACCTGTGTTTCTGGGATGTGTTAATTCCTAGTAAATGAGAGAGATTTTACTACATGGTGTATTACACATCTGTCATTATTTAATACCTTAAAAAATCATGGGCTGTTGTTGGGGGTGCAGTGTGTTGTCATTCTCAGTGTTGGCATCCCATTGCATAGCGCAGGTTCGAGTCCCAGCTACTCCTGCCAATCCAGTTCCCTGCTAATGCACCTAAAAGGCAGAAGAGAATGATTTAAATTCTTGGGCCCCTGCTACCTGTGTTGGAGACCTGGTTGGAATTCTGGCTCCAGCTTGGCCAAGCCCCAGGTTCTGGAACTGTTTGGTGAGTGCCAGAGAATGGAGAATCTTTCTCCCACTCTGTGTTTCTCTACTGTTCAAATAATTAAATTTAAAGGAATAAATCTTTCAAAATGTTAAAATGACAGATTTTTATGTGAGAAGAATTTTTGGGACACTGAAATAGTGTGAGAAGTTTGCCATTTTTGTTTTAGTTCTTTTTAAAATAAATATTTTTTTTGGAAAGGCAGATTTACAGAAAGAGCTTCCGTGTACTGGTTCACTCCCCAAATGGCTGCAATAGCCAAAGTTGAGCTTATCTGAAGCCAGGAACTTCCAGGTCTTCCATGTGGGTGCAGGATCCCAAGGCTTTGGGCCATGCCCTGCTGCTTTGTCCATCCATAAGCAAAGGTCTGTTTTGGTAGTGGGGCAGCTGTGTCAGGAACCAGCATGGGATGCTGGTGCTGCAAAGTAGAGGATTAGCCAGCTGAGCCATTGTGCTGGCCCCTTGTTTCAGTTTTTATAGAAGATGCATCTGTTTGTTTGTTTGTTTGAATGGCAGGGTGACAGAGAGGTGGACACAGACATTCTTCATCTGCTGGCTCACTCCCCAGATGTGTAGAACAGCCAGGACTAGGCTGGGCTGAAGCCAGGGAATAGGGGCAGACTCCCACATGGGTCTCCCGTTGTGTGGCCGAGGCTTAAGTATTTGAGTCATTCACTGCAAACGTGACACTTCAGTGTGGGACGTGGGCTAATAAACCACCATTTTATGTGCCACCCCATGTAGTAGGAAATCACATCTGTTTGTTTTCTATGCCCTTTGGCAGAAATGATTGCTTTCATCCAGTAAAATTAAACGTTCAAATTTTTTGCATGGGATTTCATAGCTGGTGGGAGTTTGATTTATTGTGATTTACATGGTTGTGTTGAACATACTTAACTTTATCTTCTATCTTTACAGTCCATATTTGCTCCATTTCTTACTTTACAACTTGCCTACATGGGACTGTACAAATATTTTCCCAAGGTAAATTATAACTTTTTTTTAATTACAATGATGTTTTTAGACAAATTACTGACTAACGAATTTTAAGAACTTAAAAACATGTACTACTTTTCTGAATCAGTTGTATCGCAAGTATGGTTCATCTCCTAGTGTTGATCTTCAAACGCCTTGTATTTATGATGCATTAAGTTTAAAACTTAGAGTAATTAGAAGCTCTCAAAGCAATTTGACATGGCTATAATGTTTTTACTATGTTTCATAAAATGTTGGTGCATGGTGGATTGGGGAAAAAAATCTGTGGTTTTATAATGAAGAACCTAGATGTTTTCTGCCTTTTGTGATTCTGCCTTCATGGCGTGCCTGGGGACTATGTGAACTCCAGGCCTGATAGTCTACGTGACACCCGGCAGGACACCTGGCAGGTCACAGTAGGTAGACCACTCCTCAGGAAGGAGGTACCTGGTATTTGATAAAATTCACAGCCCAATAGCTCGTCGATTTGTACTTTTTGAAAGTTGCTTGTTTCAAACCCACCAGTAGAAGCCTGCTAAATCATGACTGTATAATTAATAGCCTGAAATGTATAAGAACTGGGGGGCTTGGGCTCTCTTGCTCTCTCTCTGGCTCACACTTCTTTTTTGCCCTGCCTGCTGATCCTACAGCAGCCTCACTGTGGCAGCCCCTCCCCCACCCTGCCGTGCTGGGCTGGGGGAGGTGGCTGGGAGTCCTAGGTTAACCTGAATAAACCACCTTTATGCCTTAGCACTGACTTCAGACTTGATGATTATCTGGGGATTTCAAAATCCGGCACAACAATTACACAGTTTCATTAGTACTTGTTTAAGAAAATACCAAATATACTTCCCTAGCACGCTTAAGAACTCATTTTATCTATAATGAAGGAAATTAATGGTAAAAATATCTGACTGTATACTTATTGGACACTTATTAGCAGTGAACCTTAGTTTTGAAGACCAGATAGTTGAAAGGGATATGTGGCCAAAATCACAGCACAGGGAGATGGTAGCTCGGGGCAGGCCTTGCCGCATGGCTGCTCAGGACACTTGTCAGGCCAGGCTTGCATGTCATAGGCAGTAGCCTCACTTGTATGAATTACTTAGGTGCCAGATTTTTGCTAAGAAGTAGCTACTTGGCTATATGTTTACATATATATTTAAGATTTCTTTCTTTCTTTGAAAGGCGCAGTTACGTGGAGCCAGGATAAGACAGAAATCCTCTGTCCACTTGTTCACTCCCCAAGTGGCTACAAAATCCAGGGCAAAGCCAGGCTGAAGCCAGGACCCAGGGCCTCTGTCCAGGTGCTTGCTCTGAGTGACAGGATCCCACTCACGTGGGCCTTCTTGCACTGCCTTTAGGTGCCTCAGTGGGAAGCTGGATCGCAGCACAGTGTCCAGGCCTCGACCTGTCACTCCAGTGTGGGCTACTGGCTTTGCAAGGGGCAGTTCAGCTTGCTGCGCCACAGGGCTGGCTTTGATTGTCTTGACACTAACATTACAGCGATGGTTCTGTTGACTGCTAATCCTTGAAGGCCTGAGGCCTGGCTTTCTTATCCTTCCTCCCTTTCTAACATTTATTTATCTGAAAAAGTTACAGAAAGAGAGGAGAGACAGGGAGAGAGATCTTCCATCCACTGTTCACTCCTCAAATGACAAAGGCTGTGCCAGGCTAAAGTCAGGATCCCAGGTTTCTCACTTGGGTACAGGGAGTCAGACACTTGAGCCATCTTCAGCTGCTTTCCCACAGGCAGGGAGCAGGATCGAAAGCAGAGCATCAAGGGACTTGAACTGGAGCCCATGTGGAATTGTCAATGCTGCAGGCAGTGGCTTCACATGCACCCCAGAGGCCTGTTTTGTTGTGTTTCTTTTTTCTTTTTTCAAGATTTGTGTTATTTTTGTTTGAAAGGCAGATTTAGAGAGAGAAGAAGGGAGAGAGAGATCTTTCATCCTCTGGAGCTGAGCCAATCTGACGCCAGTATCTTCCTGGAGCGTCTTCCAGGTCTTCCACATGAGTACTGGCACCCAAGGACCTGAGCCATCCTCTGTTGCCCTCTCAGGCAATGCAGGGAGGTGCATCAGAAATGGAACAGTCAGGACATGAACTAGTGCCTTTAGTTATGCCAGTGCCCCAGGTGGAAGCTTGGCTTGCTCTACATGGCACCAACCTCCTAGTTTCTTAACTGTTTTTGAGCCCTCATGTGGCATATTATCCATAGTATTCATTTAGCAATTATTATATATCATGTTGGTAGTGGTTTTTTTTCTTATTTTGTGCTATTTCCTCTCTTCTTTCTTTTTTTTTGTTTGTTTGTTTGTTTAGGATTTATTTATTTTGTTTCACAGGAAGAGTTATAGAGAGGGGAAGAGAAATAGTGAGGGTGAGAGTCAGAGAGAGTCACTGGTTTATTCCTCAAATGTCCACAGTAGTGGAGCTAGGCCAGCTAAAGACTTAAGAGCCAAGAGCCTCTTCTGATCTCCCATGTGGGTGCAGGTTCCAAGGATCTGGGCCATCCTCTACTGCTTTCCCAGGCCACAAGCAGGGCAGTGAAGCAGAGGAGCTGGCTCTCTAACCAATGGACACCAATAAGGTATGCTGGCACCATAGATGGAGTTTCATGCTGTACTACCATGCCAGCCCCTGTTATCCATGTCTTAAATTTTTATTTATGTTACTTCCAAGATGACATGCTTGTAAAAAGTTTTTGATAGTGTGAGTGGTTTTCATATTGCCAACTGCTGATTTGTCTTACTTGCTAAGGTTTGACTTGCTGTTTAAAGGTTATTGAAGTTTTGAAATCAGTTTGACAAAAGGAGCAGTATTGCTCATGTTTGCATAGAATATAAGCTGACTACCCAAGCCAGCCTGTGAACTTGAGTCTCTGTCTGTCCAGAGCGAGAAGAAGATCAAGACGACGGTCCTGACCGCTGCCCTGCTGCTCTCGGGGATTCCTGCCGAGGTGATAAACCGATCGATGGACACCTACAGCAAGATGGGGGAAGTCTTCACGGACCTCTGTGTCTACTTTTTCACTTTTATCTTTTGTCATGAACTGCTTGACTACTGGGGCTCTGAGGTACCATGACATGTACCGAGCTCAGGAGAAGCCCCCAGATCCCCATGTCTGTCCCTGAGGGAGGCAACCTGGTCACCCTCTCTGTCATTCTTTCACTTGGTAGGGTTTGGTTAAAATTGCAGATTCCCTGATCCAAAAGGGGGGCGGGTCATTACTGGTTCTGATATGAAGATGAGGGTCCCGGGGTCATGAATTGATTTTCCTTGTTTAGTTAGGATCTGCAGTCGATACCTTTTCCAGTCCTCAGATTTGTAAGTCGGCTCCTGGAGCCTGAGCTAGTTATTTTGGGAGAGCAGATAAATGCCCTTAGGTCTGTTCTTGCGCGTCATTCTGTCCTAAGAAATGAAGCCATTGTAAAAATAAAATGGAAGGAACTCAATTGTCTCATGTTGACTCTGCACGTTCTAACCTAAGGGCTAAATAAGGTGGCTAAGCCTGCCTTTCCTTGTTGAGTTAGAATCTTGATTTTTTCAATCCAGCACAAATATTTAATAGCAATGAATAAGATTCATCCATGTAAAATTAAAAGGCCTAGAAAATGTTTCACAACTGGAAGGCCTCAATTTTAAATTGTTAATTTTCAGAAATGGTGTATTTCAAGCAATCTGGAACAGAATAGTTTCAAGTGGGAGCTGAATAACCAAGGTGTTATAACTTGGTAATATGCTGCATTTAGGAGATTGTCAGAGTACAAAGTGTTATATTGTTTGGTGTTGTTTCCTCATAGATTTTTATATGGTATATTTGGTTAATACTTGTGATATTAAAGCCATTTGCTCTTTTTCAATTATTCATCAAGTATCTATTTTTGTCATTTTATTTTGAACCTAACAGAAAATCAGTGCCATGATTGTAAATCAGTACCTTTGATTTGGGATTAAGATGAGGAGCACACACATCTCTTGACTGCGCATGCAACCTCGTGTGCAGAGAATTGCAAAACATCTTAGTTGTGGCTTCCCCATAATGTTCAGGAAGATTCTAGGAATCATGCATTTGTTCATTGCTTTTGTTTAGTACCAGAACAAATCTCATTTTGTTAGTGTACAAAATGTTGGTAATTGTAGATCCCTACCAGATTCATATTTCTTCCCTTTTAAAAAGAATCAATTATTCTTTGGGCCAAGCAACTAAAAGTCCTCGCCTTGAACACTCCGGGATCCCATATGGGTGCCGGTTCTAACCCCGGCAGCTCCACTTCCCATCCAGCTCCCTGCTTGTGGCCTGGGAAAGCAGTCAAGGACGGCCCAAAACCTTGGGACCCTGCACCCAAGTGGGAGATCTGGAAGAAGCTCCTGACTCCTAACTTTGGCCTGGTCCTGATGCCCACAGTTATGGCTCACAGGGCCATCTGTTGAGTGAACCAATGGGATGGAAGATCTGTCTCTACCTCTTGGTAATTCCTGCAAAATAAATATTTTTTCCCCTTCGCACAGTGGTGGTTATTTTCTCTCATCTCATTTCCATTTGCTTCAGAAACTGAAGGGCAGCCCATGTGTACTTCTGGTTGCTGTTCCCCTTCAGGGGCCCAAGCAGGGCAGGGGGCACTGACCCGTCTTCCTGGGGAATGCCCTGGAGGTCACTTTCATCCCTTCACAGCTGCCTGCACATTCAGGTTGAGCAGCAGTGAATTCAGGAGCCGGGTCGTTTGATCACTTTGAGATTCCTCCCTGGTCACAGCTTCATCAGCAGCCACCTGCTCTTTTTCAGTCTCTGTAGCAGGTGCCTGACCAGCACCCACCACAGCAGGCCCCGTGAATGCTGGCTGCTCCGCTTCCGCTCCAGCTCCCAGATAATGCATCTGGCAAAGTGGTGGAAGATGACTCAAGTGCTTGGGCTCCTGCCATTCACTGAAGACCCAGATGGAGTTCTAGTCCTTAGCTTCAGCCTGGTCCAGCCCTGGCCATTGTGGTCATTTGGGGAGAGAACCAGTACATGGAAGTTGAGCCAGTAGGTCTTTCTGTAACTGCCTTTCTTTCCTTTTTTTTTTTTTTTAAGATTTATTTATTTTTATTACAAAGGCAGATGTACAGAGAGGAGGAGAGACAGAGAGGAAGATCTTCCATCCGATGATTCACTCCCCAAGTGACTGCAATGGCAGGTGCTGTGCCAATCTGAAGCCAGGAACCAGGAACCTCTTCCAGGTCTCCCATGTGGGTGCAGGGTCCCAAAGCTTTGGGCCGTCTTCGACTGCTTTCCCAGGTCACAAGCAAGGAGCTGGAAGGGAAGTGGAGCTGCTGGCGTTAGAACCGGTGACCATATGGGATCCCGGCGTGTTCAAGGTGAGGATTTTAGCCACTAGGCCACGCCACCGGGCCCTGTAATTGCCTATCTAATCAATAAAATTTGGGGCTGGTGTTGTGGCATAGTGCATGAAGCCACTACTTGTGAGAACAGCATCCCTAGGTACACTAGCTTGAGTCCTGGCTGCCTCACTTCTATTCCAACTCCCTGCTAATGGCCTGGGAAAAGCAGCAGAAGATGGCTCAGCTCTTTGGATCCCTGCCATCTGTGTGAAAGACCCGGGTGAAGCTCGTAGCTCCTTATTTCAGCTTGGCTCAGTCCAGGCTGTTTTGTGGCCATTTGGGGAATGAATCAGCAGATGGAAATGTTGCTTTTCCATCTCTGTAACTCTGGTACAGGTTTGGGAATTCAGTGCAGGCAGGTTTGCCACACTGGTGGGTGACCAGGACCCAGTTATCTGAGCCCTCACTGCTGCCTCCTGGGCTGGAGCAGGGAGCCAGAATTGACGGTAGGATGCCATCACTGAGGTGGGGTGCTGGTGTCTCTGCTGGGGAGCCTTCTCCCTGTGGGGGGCCATGCCTGCCCCTGGCTTCCGCTTCCTGAGAGCATCTACTTTGCTCAGGTAAGACTGACATGCAGGCAAGCCAACAGTTTCTTCCCTTTCAGTTCAGTGGATTTTGATGAAGCACAGCCATTCGGCAGTGGCCACAATGCAAATACCAGTCTTGTGTCATCGCCAGCTGTAAGCAAATGCAGTCAGACAACGGCAAGCAGAGAAGGTGTCATCCCAGGCCTCCAGGGCAGGCTGTATGCAGAACCATGGTGTTGGGCCTGGTACAATGGCTCAGTTGGCTAATCCTGCCCTTGCAAAGTGCCTGGATCCCATATGTGTGTCAGTTCATGTCTGCCCCACTTCCCATCCAGCTCCCTGCTTGTGGCCTGGGAAAGCAGTGGAGGACGGCCCAAAGCCTTGGGACCCTGCACCGTGTGGGAGACCCAGAAGAAGCTCCTGGATCTTAACTTCAGATCAGCTTAGCTCCAGCCACTACGGCTACTTAGGGAGTGAACCAGCAGGCCGATCTTTGTCTCTTCTCTGTGTAAACCGGCCTTTCCAACCAAAATCAATGAATCTTATAAATTGTGCTGATATTATCTACCAATCCTTCTCGTTCGGAATCACTGAAATCTCACCTCCTCCAAAGAGCTCTCTCCAGAGGCTGGCATACTTCCCACCCAGACTGTCCCAGCTCTGGCACCGGCCATGCTCATTGCCCTACAGAGAATAAGGGTTAGGGAGTCAGCCAGGAAACGCAGGCAGGACACGGTTGTATGGAGATTGAAACGTTACTTAACAAGCACCAGAGATCTCGGAGCAGGTCCTGAAACCGCGGCCAGGTGCCCAGAACGTCCCGGACGCTGTTGAATAGACTCGTCCAAGGTTAGGGCCTCCAGTGCAACCACCTGCCAGCCACGCGCAGCTGAGCGCTGCCTGCGCCGCGTGCCCTCCAGCCGAGAGGCGGCGCTGTGGAGGCGGAAGGCCGCTTCCGGCCGGCTCGTCCCTTCCTCCCGCCACCGGCGCGGGCACGTCCTGTTTTCGTTGGCTGCGCTGGGATGGCCGCCGCCGCTGTGGCTGCCTCCGCTTCTTAGTGCGGGTTCACGCTCGGCGCCCTCAGGGTAGCGCGGCTTCCTCGTGCGTCCGGCTCGTCTGCGTGTGCTTCCCAAGGGCGTCGGCGTTCCCACAGCCGGCAGCATGGGCCGGGAGTCACGGTGAGGCACGGGCCGGCCGGGCTTCCTAGGGGTCTGGAGTCGGGGTGGCCGCCGGGCCGGGTCTGGTGTGTGCCCTCGAGGGTGTCTGGGGTCACTGGAGAGGCTGGGACCCCGGTGGAGGCAGAGGCTCTCCCCGGGACCGGGACCCCGCTGGGCCCTGGAGCGTGAGCAGCCCTCCAGTGTGGCTATGATTGGGCGCCGCGTCCCGCCACTTGTCAGACCTCGCCCTGCCCGCCCGCGTCTGCGTGATCCCCGTGGCCTTTCGGTGGCTTTTGTGTTTGCAGCGTTTCCTTCAGTCCTTGGTGCGTCCCTGGTGTGTTCCCGAGTCGGGGGCCAAGCGCGTGTGGGCACCGGCACACCGTGCCTGGAACCCTGTCCGCGACCTACCGGGCTGCTGCAAATCATGTGTTGCCTGGACATGTGCTTTGCAAGTAGATTCCGTATTTCTTTACTACTTTTTTTTTTTATCCTTTGAAAACCCTGGACCTGAAGATGTTACATATGATGAGGAGAGCTATAATAAGCTTGAGTTGTTGATAACGCCTTGGGGATTGTGGAGATAGGAAGATGTTTTGTTTTAAATCTTAATGTGATTATTTGTTGTTTAGTGTCAGGGAAGATTTTACTTGGCAATGCTAGCAGTGCTTTTGTTGGCATGGAGAAAATGTCCAGTATAACATCACTTTGTCCCAAATCCCTGTGTGGATCTTTGGAATTCCCTGAAGGCATTGCTACTCATGTGGCTGCCCAGACTAGAAAGTGTGTTCACTGGACTCCTTTTCTTACCACCTCCAGCCAGTTAGATACTGCATCCTTTACATTTTTTTCTGTTTATTTTTTACTGGAAAGGCAGACCTACAGAGAGAAGGAGAGATAGAAAGATCTTCCATCCTCTCCTTCACTCCCTGAGTGGCCACAATGGCTGGAACTTAGCCGATCTGTAGCCAGAAGCTTCCAGGTCTCCCACATGGGTGCAGGGCACCAAAGCCTTGGGCCATCCTCGAGTGCTTTCCCAGGCCACAAGCAGGGAGCTGGATGGGAAGCAGAGCTGCTGGGATTAGAACCGGTGCCCATATGGGGTGCTGGTGCATGCAAGGTGAGGATTTAGCCGCTAGGCTGCTGTGCCAGGCCCATTTATCTTAGTTTTTAAAAGATCTATATCTATTTATTTGAAAAGCTGGGTTACAGAGAGAGAGAGAGAGAGAGAGATCGTTTCTGTTTGCTGATCATTCTCAAATGACTGTAGAGACTAGGGCTGAGCCAGGTTAAAGCCCTCGAGACGGAAACTTCATCTGACTCTCCATGTGTGTGTGGCAGGGACCCAAGTACTAGGGCCATTCTTTTACGCTTTCCTAGGTATATTAACAGAGAGCTAAGGGCCCTGGCGCAATGGCTTAGTGGCTGAATCCTCATCTTGCAGTCTCTCAGAACACGTAGGGGCAATGGGTTCTGTCTCTGCTACTGCATTTTTTGTCCAGTTCCCTGCCTGGAAAGCAGTAGAGGAAGAAAGCCTTGGGACCCTGCACCCACGTGGGTGACCCGGAAGCTATTGGCCCCTGCTTGTGGCTGCTTGGCTAGTGAACTAGCAGATGAAAGACCTTTTCGCTCTCCTTCTGTTCATAAATCAAATCTGCCTTTCCAATAAAAATAAATAAATCTTTAAGAAGAGTAGGGACCTAAATCTAACGTGGAGCAGTGGGATCTCTAACTGGTGGTCATATGAGATGCTACTGTTGCAGATGACGGGCTCAACCCAAACTGCCACAACCCCAGTCTCAAAAATGCTGGGAAACTATCAGTGAGGGTGTGTGGCTCCTCTGGCTAGAGTTCTCCTGGCCTTTCCTCTAACTGGTGCTACCTTGGCATCCCTCGTCATGACCCTAGACCTGTGTGTGTGGCCACCGTGGCAGGTCTCTTCATCGGTCCTGGCCACTACTGGATTGCATATTGTTCTCTGTGTGGCCTCCTCAGGATGGTGTGTGCTGGTGGAGCCACGAGCGTGGAAAGCCTTTTTCTCTTTCCACGTGTCCCCTGGGTTCCTTCCTGTACTTGAAGTGTCTGTGTGAACCCGGCCTTCTCCAGTCAGCCACTGTGAAATAGCAAGCAGCCCACCTCCTGGGTTTCTCTAACATACTGTGCTGTTGCTTGTTTGCCTGCCTGTCATGTCATCTTTATCAAACTGTAAGCTGCCTGGGGCTTGCAAGCAGGGGCTGGTCACTGTCCTTGCTCTTTCAGCCCATGGTTGTCAACCTCAGTATGTGCTATAGCTGAGGTGTTTTTCTCCTAATGTTATTTCTTTTTCAAGGCAGAGTGATAGGAAGGAGATTGGAGACAGTGTTCACCTGCTGGCTCACTCCCCAAACGCCCGTGACAGAGCTGGGCTAGACCAAGCCTACGCCTTGATCCTGATCTTCCATGTGGTTGACAGAACCTTCATCTTTGCCTCTCCGGGTACATGAGCAGGGAGCTGGCTGAGATGTGTGCTGGCACTCTGAGCGAGTGGGATCTCAAGCTGTGGCTTAACATGCTGCAGCACAGCCCCCACCATTCCTCATTGTAAAAATGTTTTTTCAAAGTCCTATCGGTGTTTGTTCTCTAGAAAAAGGTGATCCGTACAATGTAGTGGAGGCTACCTGTGCTTGCTAAGTTTCATTGTTGCCTTACTATTGTTCCAGCCACTATCGGAAGCGATCAGCATCCCGGGGCCGCTCGGGAAGTCGTTCTAGAAGTCGTTCGCCTTCGGACAAAAGGAGTAAACGAGATGACAGACGGTCGCGAAGCAGGGATCGAGACAGAAGAAGGGAGAGGTCCCGGAGCAGGGACAAAAGGCGCTCTCGGTCCCGGGACAGGAAGCGGCTGAGGTAAGATGGTGATTCATGAAGCACACACAGCACAGGGCCTTCTCAGCCTGCGGTGCCCCTTTCGGCTGTGCTCTGGACTGGCAGCGAGGGGCTTGGTATTCCTGGCTTCTTTGATCAGACCAGGAGGATTTCTTTACGGACTCCAGAAGTATTTCAAGTTTGGATTAGTAAATAGTGTTTCATTTGACTTAAAGAGAACTTTTGAAACCTCCTGAGATGTAAGAGATGTGGAAGAAAAAGGTGCTTTTGTTCAGGGACTCCAGTTCGATTTCTGCCCCAGGAGGCCTGAGCCCTCTATGTGTTCTTCCTGCCACGAATGGAAGTGAACAGGGCCTTCCATTCCTTCATGCTGTTCCTTAGCTGTTCAGTTGACGTCTTCAGTTTAGCCTAAGAACATCCCTTTTGGCATTTTACATGCGCGTGGTAATACATTCTAGTGAAAAGCCTTTTCTGGAAGTGACAGAGTGTTTGCATAAATAACTCCCTTTGCGTGCCAGAGGCACAGAAGTCCTAGCACAGTGTCCCGTTAAAGTGGTGACAATCAGAAGGTGGCAGAAAGAATGGGCACTTTTCAGGCCGCAGTATTGGTGAGTTCTCAGGAAGACAGCAGCCATGGGGCTTCAGCTTTGTCTTCCGTGTTCCCGGGAACAATTTGACACAGTTCGGTCAAGTACTTGTGCACTTGGTCATTTCACATTAGTCTGACTTTCTGATCTGAAAGTAGAATGTCAGGCTGTTAGAGCAACCATGATTTTGAGGCTGTTGAGTACAGACCCCATGTCTCGTGTTGGAATGTTACAGTGCGACTGGAGGGTCTGCCTGCATCGTGTCTTCCTGATGGCACCAGGCTAGAAACGTCTACTGCGCCTCCTAATCCTGTCAAGGTCCTTGCTGTCGCAGCCCCGTTTCTACCCACATTGGACTTAGATTTAGGCTGTCTTTGAAGATCAGATTTATGCTATAGATCTAAAGTGTTAGGTAGCTGTTGTTATTGTAGAGATTTTATATTTCTGTCACTGCGAAATTGATGCCCTTGTTTGCTTATTTTGCTTAATATTTGTAAGGATTGGCTTTACTTGTTTGTTATCAAGATGACTTAATAGTTAATTGAGGTTCTTGCTGTTATAAGTAGTAACAGTTGGGAAGGTTTTTTGAGCGTATCCAAAAATCATTCCAAATAAAACCTATTTGACCAGGGCCCAGCGCAATGGCGAAGTGGTTAAGGTCCTCACCTTGCACTTGCCTGGATCCCATTTGGGCGCCGGTTCTAATCCCAGCAGCCCTGCTTCCCATCCAACTCCCTGCCTGTGGCCTGGGAAAGCCGCTGAGGACGGCCCAAAGCCTTGGGACCTTGTACCCACGTAGGAGACCCGGAAGAGGCTCCTGGCTCCAGATTGGCTCAGTTCCAGCCATTGCTGCCGCTTGGGAAGTGAATCATCTACAGAAGATCTTCCTCTCTGTATATCCACCTTTCCAATAAAAATAAAAAAATAAAATCTTAAAAAAAAAAACCTGTTTGACCGCAAAGTTTTAACATGTGTTGCCCTTCCAGACGCTCCAGGAGCAGAGAGAGAGACAGAAGCCGAGACCGGAGGAGGTCTCGCAGCCGAGATCGGAGGCGCTCACGAAGTAGAAGCCGAGGCCGGCGGTCCCGGTCCTCCAGTCCTGGCAACAAGAGCAAGAAGACCGACAATCGGTAACGTGGCCCTCACTGACTGTGTTGGCTGCGCAGGTGGAGCCGACCGTTTTCTCCTTGCTTTCTTTTCGTATTTACTCATTTATTTGCACCTTGAAATTTATTATTGGAACAGTTACTATTTGGGCTTCACCATGAATTGGTGGCAGGGCTTTATCTTAATAGATTATAAAGCTTATAATTCAGTTCTAAAATACTAAATTATCAGTATTAATACCTCATTGCGTTGTACCCTTGTAATAATGGTCAGAAATATATTTTATAGACATCTATATGGGCACTGTATTTTTTTTTTCTTTTTTAGTTATTTTCTTAGATAGTATTTTAGCATTGACTGACATATGGCTTTTTCACTCTGTTTCCATAGACAAATTCAGGATGGGTGAAATTACCTTGCTTCCCCAAGCTAATGTTCATGTGTCCTTGAAATAACAACAGCATTTGATTATGAGATATAATTTGTGATTTTGAGGTATAATTTATATTTACTTTTTTTTTTTTTTAAAGAAAAACAACTTATTTATTTGAAAGGCAGAGTTACACAGAGAAGTATCTTCCATCTGCTGCTTTCCTCTCCATATGACAGCAGCCAGGCTGGGCTGTGTTAGGGCCATGTTAGCTCCATCGGTATTTCCTCTGGGTGGCGGGGGCCCGAGTGCTTAGGATCATCTCCCCCTGCCTTCCTAGGTGCATGACTAGGGAAGTAGATTGGAAGTGGGCAGTCCTGGATTAGAACTGCTGGTGTCACAGACGGCATCCGCACGTGTTGTACCACAGTGATGGCCGCCTCCTTATACTGTCCTGATCAGTGGTTTGTTTACTAAAAATTGTTTCTGTGCTGGAATCATTGGGTAGTTGATATATGTTCTTTCATCTGTTTTCTGTGAGTTTTTCAGGTTAGTTATTATGGGTTGGGCATTCTTTATCTGGATTGTTTTTGGGTCAAAAGTGTTTCACATTTCAGATTTTCTGGTTTTGGAATATTTGCATGCACATAATGAAGTATATTCGGGATGGGACTCAAATCTAAAAACAAAAGTCTTTTCTGTCTCATATACCTTGCACAAGCTGGAAGGTAATGTTATATTGTATTTAATATGCTTGTGTTTTCACCATAAACTGACATGTGAGTTCAGATATGGAATCTTTTACTTTAGGCTGTTCTCAGAAGGTTTTAGATTTGGGGACATTTAAGATTAAAATTAGAAATGTTCAGTTTATAGCACTTTCCCTCTATTATATGTTTTACCAGGAGTGTAGCTTTCGTTTTACCAAGGCTGGTAAAGGGCTGTTGAGGTGGTATTTTATATCTACCTATATATATTAAAAAGAAAAAGATTATATTGGGAAAACAATTGGTTTATAGTTCATGGTGGGGAAAACAAGAGGGACTGTTGGGAGTCACCTCCCTTGGGAGGGGGCTCAAGCTGCCTCCCCACTTTGGCACTTGGGGGTTATGTGGAGGGAGGGATGGGAAGAAGCAGGTGTGATTGATAAAACTAATAAGAGAAAAAAGGCACTGGTGGATTACAGCTTGGGAGGCCGCAGCCTGGCCCCAGGAGAAGCTGGTCTAGTCTTTTCCTTTTCTTGGCTTTGGTCTTGGGGGTGTGGGGCTTGGTCACACGGAATGGTCTCCTGGCACTGGACGTTGTCCTGGGCTTTCTTCGGGGTACCTTTGCAGGCTTTGGTGCCTGTGCCGCCATCACACGCCCTCCAACTCTCAAACTTGTACTTGCACTCGGCTCCGAACTCCTTCCAGCTGCATGGCAGCCTGCACTGGATGCTGTTTGCGCCCCGTAGGTGCCCTAGCAGAACCCCATATGAGAATCCCTGCTGCTGGGTGTGCAGGGCCCCCAGGTCCACTCGGTGCACTCGCTGCTCGGGCCGCCCTTCTTGTCTTTGCTTTTGGCCACCATGGAGGTGAGCACCAGCAGGGCTAGGAGCTGCCACCTGCACTGCTTTGCTCCCTCCTGTGCCAGCCCGTCCTTTTTTACAAGAAGAGAAATAGAAAAAAGAGAGTGCCATCTACTGGTCTGCTACCGAATGGTCACAAAAAGGCCAGAGTGGGCCAGGCCAAATCCTGGAGTTTGCCAGGTCTCCCACATGAGTGCAGGGTCCTTGGGACTTAGGCCATTTTCTACTGCTGTCCCGGGCACGTTAGTAGGGAGCTGGATCAGAAGTGAAACAGCCAGTTCTCCAACTGGTGCCCATATGGGATGTCAGCACTCCAGGCCATAGCTTTTCCTAGGTTCAGATTGGGCCAGACCTGGGCAGTGTGGCCATCTGTGGAGTGAACCAACAAATGGTAGATCTCTTTGTGTCTCTCCTTCCCTCTGTAACTCTGCCTTTCAAATTAAAGAATAAATAGATGTATATATTTTTTAAAGTGGTGAGGCCGGGTGAGTTGTGCTGTAGGTGTCAGTTCCTGACTTGTCCGATTGTTCCAACTCTCTGGCTGTTGCAGCCACATGGGAGGTAAAACAGCAGATGGAAGATTCCCCACCTTCTCTCTACCTCTTGCTCCTTCTCCCCTTTTTCTTCAAGATTTATTTATTTGAAAGGCAGAATTACTGAGAGCAAATTAGCAGTTAACATGGAAAGTTACCTTATAAATATCTAAATTCTGTTCCCAATTCTGGCTCCTGGCTGTAGCTTTCTGCCAGTAGTGATTTTTTTTTTTTAAGATTTATTTATTTTTATTGCAAAGTCAGATATACAGAGAGGAGGAGAGACAGAGAAAGATCTTCCATCCAATGATTCAATCCCCAAATTGATTGAGACTTAGAAAATCAGTGTCATTCTCTGTATTGTTCAGATTCAAGGAGAAAAATCATATGATTGTTAAAGTGTTCTATTAAATTAATACCTATTGGGCCTGGCGCAATAGCACAGCAGTTTAAATCCTTACCTTGAACGCCAGGATCCCATATGGATGCCGGTTCTAATCCCGGCAGCCCCGCTTCCCATCCAGCTCCCTGCTTGTGGCCTGGGAAAGCAGTCGAGGACGGCCCAAAGCTTTGGAACCCTGCACCTGCATGGGAGACCTGAAAGAGGTTTCTGACTTCTCATTGGCTCAGCTCCAGACTTTGCAGCCACTTGGGAAGTGACTATTGGATGGAAGATCTTCCTCTTCATCTCTCCTTCTCTCTACATATCTGCCTTTCCAATAAAAAAAAAAAAATCTTTTTTTAAAAAAATAAATTAATACCTATCAATTTGTCAAAGATTTTAGATGTGAATTGAAAGTTATTTACAAACTTGTAAAATTAAGAATACCAAGTGCCTGGGGTTTGGTTTGAGGAGCTGCAGGTTCAGGCAAGGCTGCAGGTTCAGGCAAGGCTGCAGGTTCAGGCAAGGCTGCAGGTTAAGACAAGGGTGGGAGTCTGTGTTCTCTACTCCTCATCCAGCTCCCTGATGCTCCTGGGGAGAAACAGCAGGTGGCTCCAGCACTTGAGTGGGAGACCTGGATGGACTTCTGGCCCCTGGCTTCAGTTGGATATTGTCCTGGTTGTTAAAAGAGGACCAGTGAATGGAAGTTGTTTGTATTTCTTCTCCCCTCCTCTTGCCACTGTGCCTTTCAAGTAAAAAATTAAAAAAGAAAAGAAAAACACAGAAGGGCATAAATACTCTTGGAGAACAAAGGAGTAGGAATTTTTTCTGCCTGGCTTGTCTAGAGCTAACACAAGGAGCTGGTTCCATGGGTCAGTGGCCTCATCCGCTGCCTTGCAGCGCTGGCATCCCACATGGGCACCAGATTGTGTCCCTGCTGCTTTGTATCCATGCAGCTTTTTGCTATGGCCACTTCCTTAGGACCATGCACCTGGAGAAGCTCCTGTTTCACAGTGTCAGATCAGCTCAGGATGTTGCTGTTGGGCAATTTTAGGAGTAAATCAGAGGATAAACGATGTCTTTTATGTGTAAATCTGCCTTTCTAAACCTTTTTTTTTTATCATAAAATTAAACTTAGTAGAAATTAAATTAAGCTGGTGTCAATTTAGGAATAGACAAATAGATCAGTGCATCTATTTAAAAGCCCAGAAAAATAGATCCAAAGGGATGGCCATTTGATACATGACAGGTGACATTTTACTTAATGGGAAAAAGCTTTTTAAAGTAAGTGATGTCGGGGACCTTGGCTGTCATTCTGTACAAGGAAACAGTTCTTGGTAAGTGACATACCAGCTTAGATGGCAAAAGTATCAGCACTGTTCAGAAGTTTATGCTAGAAACCTCACCTCTTGGTGTCTTCACCAAGGATTTGTAATCAACTCAGAAGGTTCCAGTCATAAAGGCATGGGGGCGGCAGGGAGACAAGTCTGTGCTTATATGGTTAGTTTAAAATGGCAAAGTTGTGTTCTTTGTAAGATACAAGTTGAGTGAAAATGAAAGCTTATTGGGATTTTAAGTATTACTACATACAGAAATTATTTTGTAGAATGTTAAGATTTTGAATATTCATTTATTGGAGCTTAACTGTCCTGTTTTAATTTTGTGATGATTTTGGTAGAATGTGTTCACTATTGATCACGTTTCCAAGTATTTAGTGATATATATCATTAGTGTTGTGGATTAGCTTTCATTGTATTTCCAAGTTGTTCACTAATGGAATATGACCATGTAGTTGTCAGGTTTATATTTTAAAAAGTGAAATAGAAGTCTGAAAATAGTTTTACATGAATATTTCCAAGTATAAATGGGTAATATCTCTGTTTCTCTCATTTTTTTTAGTCGTTCTAGGTCCAAAGAGAAAGCAGATAGTGGAGAAAGTTCGAAAGATAAGAAAAAAGATAAAGATGACAAAGAGGATGAAAAAGAAAAAGATGCTGGCGTAAGTTCACAAATTAGAGGAGTTTGCCATACGAGGGCATCTTGTGGTGTGGCTGGTGAAGCTGCCTCTTGGGTGCCCGTGTTCCGTGTCAGGGCGCCTGGCTTTGGTCCTGGTTGCTCTGTGCTAATGCACAGGAGAGGCAAAGATAGCCCCAGGGTTTATTTCCTGCCACCTACCTGGGCACCTGAATGGAGTTCCTGGCTCCTGGCTTCCATCTGCTCAGGTCCCAGCTGGTGAAGGCTTTTGCAGAGTGAACCAGCAGATGAAATAGCTCTGTCTCTCCCTATCTCTCTTTCAAATAAAAAGCAAAATTCGCTTTAAAAGTTTTATTTATTCTATCAAATTTGTTTCTGCATTTAAAAAAGAACTATATTTTTTTAAAGGGCGGAGTGACAGGGAGAGATGGAGATGGATCTTCCATCCACTGGTTCACTCCATGAACAGCCACAGCAGCCAGGCTGAGGCAGGCTAAAGCTTGGATCCAGAGGCTCCGTCTAGGTTTCCACATGCACCTGGACCATCGTCTACTGCCTTCTGTGAGCATTAGTGGGAAGCTGGATCCAAAGTAAAATAGTTGGGGCTGAACCAGCACTGCAGTATGGGGTGCTTGTGTCATAATCAACATCTTAGCTTACTATGCCACAGCTCTGGCCCCTACTTGTTTCTGCTTTGGCAAGTAGAATGGTAGAATGCTCTATGCTGGGGTTTTTTTCCCCCCATCTTTTTCTGTGTTTTTGACAATCTGCATTGTTAATTATGGCACAAAGGTTCAAGGGCTACAGGAAAGTGGATAAGACTATTACTTTCACTTTTTATTTCCTGTGTCTGGGGTAAAGGGAGAGATAGAGGGAGAAGCCCCACCCATCCAGGTGCCTGATGTGGGGCATTCTCCAAGGGTCTTACTCCAGTGGTTTTAATAGTTCAACAGTTAGGAATTGCTGCCAGTCTCACCATTCCAAGCACGATGAGGTCACTGCAGAATCCGCTGATTGACATAGTTCACCTTAGAGTCTCTGTTTGCCCAGTTTTTCACTGCCAACATGTGGCTGGGGTAGTTGATTGATTTGTTCTGACCTCTGTTGTGATGCCAGGTGTCCTCTGCAGGTTCCGATACACTGCCATATCCTCCATGTGCAGCTGGTTATGCTCTCCACTGCTCTGTCTGAGCCTCTGAGGAGGCTCGGCTCTGGCACTTGCACTCCATGGTAGACCATGGGTTCTGAGTCCGGCAGTTCGACTGGGGAGTTCCCAAAAGAAACTTTGTCTGAGGTGATCCCAGACCAGATTGTTGTGTGTACTTGCAGGTACAGGGCCTGGTACAGTCCATCACAAACAGCAGCTTAGCTTACTGTGCCACAGCTCTGGCCCCTACTTGTTTCTGCTTTGGCAAGTAGAATGCTCTATGCTTTATTTTAAAGTAATAATAAATACAAAGGAAATAAGGAGCAAAAAATAATTGTCTTAGAGGTTTTTTTGAAAAAAATTTATGCACATTATTTTTTTTTAATTAAAAATGCAATCATGCCATGAAAACATCTACTTTCACTCCAAAAAGTTCCATAGATTTGGACTTAAGACTTTGTAATTAAGACTTTGTAATGAGAATGTCTTTATCCTCATATCCTCACATTCTTACCAACATGTACGGGTCAAAGATTAATTTTACCCATCCTTTTTTTTAAATCCGTTTTTATCCATTTATTTCCAGTAGTTTACATTCTTGAAGGGTACAGCATCACTTGGATTCTGTGTCCAGTGGCCTTCACAGGCAAGTTGCTTCGGAAGTTGGCTCCAGCCATACCACTGCTCCCGTGAGCACAGGTTACCTGTCCCCAGATGACTTAGGTTTTGTTAGGTTCACTGCTTAGTTAAAAGACAAAGCTGGGACTGCTTTTCTCCAAGTGCCACAACAGAGGGAGCTGAGCCCTGGCTCAGGGGTGGCAGTCCACTCCTTGTATCCATGCCTGCCAGGTAGGTGACAGACATCTGAATCCTCTGAGCCCCCACCTGCCATCTCTCTTCCCCTGGACATACTGCTCTGACAGATGCCTGTCCCTCATGTTTACTTTATTTATTTTAAAATTTTTATTAGTTGTATATTTTCCTTCTATTTGTTGAAGGCTGAGAAACAGGAAAAGATCTTCCGTTTTCTGGTTTACTTCAAATCCCTGAGACATCAGGGGCTGTGCCAGGTTGAAGCCAGAAGCTGGGAACTCAAACTCTGTCTCTCCATGATGGCATTGCTGAAGTAGCTGTGCCATCACCTCCCGCAAGTGAGAGCGATGTGAGGCTCCCCAGCCTCCTGACTGTGCAGTGTGGGCTGCTGAGGGAGGGTATTTGCTGGCACATTGCCATCTTCCACTCCTGCCCTCTGAGCTGCCTCCCTCCTCCCAGGCATGTTTTTGAGAGAGTTGATTGTCAAGCAGGTGACTAAGAAAGGATCCAGCCTGGGAAGTTTGGGGTTCTGGTTTGTGACCAGCTGGATGATCGTGCAACAAGCACCTTGACTGTCTAGGCTTCGTCTTTCAAGAGGATCAGTGTAGCACAAAGGATAAAAATTGAGGTACAGAGCTTTTTGTTGCAGAAGTTTACGTTTAGGAATGGTGCTGTGGTCAGCTGGCTGAGCCACTGCCTGCAATGCCAGCGTTTTGTATGGGTGATGGCATTGGTTGGAATCCCAGCCGTTTCACTTCCAGTTCAGATGCTTGCTACACGCCCAGGAAAAAAACAGCGACGATGGGCCAAGTCCTTAGTTACCTGCAGCTCTCTGGGAGACTGGAAGGCGCTCCTGGCTTCAGGCTGGCCCAGCCTCAGCTGAGGCAACCATTTGGCAAACCAACTAAGGGATGGCAGATCTGTCATTCAAATAAATATTTTTGTGAAGGAAAAAAAAAGTTTAAAACCCAAGTGTAAACTATATGATATTTTTATCTGCTTTTACTTGCTTTACATGCATGTCTCCAATGTTACAGGAAAATTTTATCCTGTAAGACTTTCTGGTTCCCTGGTTATATCTTGTGAAAGTGTTTTACTTTTCTTTCTTGAGCGTATTAGCAATTTTTGATGAAGACTTCAGAATGGCTGTTTCAGAAAAACTGATGCCCAAAAGACCAAAACTTCATTAAGAACTTTTTAAGAAAAGGTGTTTGAGTGATAAAAGTTTAGCTTTAAGAAAAGGTGTTTGAGTGGTAGACGTTTACTTCTGGGGTAGAGGGAGAAACAGCACAGGCAGGCTTGCTTCTGCTAGTTTAGCCCTGGGGTATTCTGCAGTTGGGGAACCCCTGTGGGTGGTGGTGACTCAGTGCTGCCCTCTAGGGTCTGCTAGCCCGCAGTTGGAGTAAGGAGCAGGGCAGGATATCTGATTCAAGATGGGATGACTTAAATGTCAGGTTCCTGCCTTCCCCTGTGAGGCTTGTTAATCAAGTTCTCCGCATTCACTGACTCAACTGATGTGCAGTAGAGAATTACTTCTCATAGGGGCAATCTCGGAGGAGTCTGGAGGATTCAAAATTGAGAGTAACTGGGAAACATTTCTTGGTAATATTCTGTTCTGAGGAGGAAATTGAATTCATGTGTACATGTTGCTTCCAGCTGAAATGAGGTTGGTTTATGATGTTTGAAATCTTGGTAGTACTTTTGATGTCATTTTGATAATGTATTTGTAAATGTTTAGAAAGATTTGTGACTTACTGAATGTGGACTGATTTAGAAGTTTGTATATAGATCTGTTTTTCCATTTTTATACTTTGGAGAGCATGCTTAAGCTGTCTGTTAGAGTAAAACTATTAATCCTGTATTTGCTTTTTATTTTTCCCTTTCTCTTTCCACCACACCCCACCTCAGAACTTTGACCAGAATAAACTGGAAGAAGAAATGCGAAAGCGAAAAGAAAGAGTAGAAAAATGGCGAGAAGAACAGCGTAAAAAGGCCATGGAAAACATAGGGGAATTGAAAAAGGAAATTGAAGAGATGAAGCAAGGGAAAAAATGGAGTTTAGAGGACGATGATGGTATGTCTGTTTTTTAGCCTAGCATATCATGTAGAATATTACAGAATTAGGAGCCATACTTGATATTGGGACTTTGGAGGGCTGTGTGTCTGTGATGTAATACTTATTATTTTATCCATATTTTAAGTGTAAGTTGGTGGTAATAAGTACTTTCATTGTTGTGCAGCCATCACTGTAGTGTGTTTCCAGGCATTTTTCTTTGTCTCAAGCAGAAACCTTGTAGCCATTGAACAGCTTTCCTTCCTCCTCCATTCCTGCCCACATGGCTTCTAGTCTACTAATCATCTAGGCACCTGCCTTCTGAAATAAAACTCTGCACTGTCACGTCTGGCTTATTTCTCCTAGGATAGTATGTCCCAAGGTTCAGTCATGTATGGAATTCCCTTTATAACACTATGTTATAGTCCATTATTTGTGCTGTGTTTTGTTTTGTTTTTTTTGGACATTTGGATTTTTACCTTTTTAAATTTTATTTGAGAGACAGACAACATAGTGAGATAGTTATGATTCGGGTGCTGACTCCCTACAAACCCCTGGGCCTAGCCACAGTGGGAAGCCAGGAATTCAGCTCAGTTCTCCCAAGGGTTTGCACAGCCCAGTTGCTTGAGTCATCACCAGGGCCCGACTTGGCAGGATGCTGGAGTCAGGAGCTGGGCATCAAACTCAGGAACTCTGATATGGATGATTGTGGACTTTCACAGAATAATAGAATTTTGCTGTTTTTTTTTTTTTTTGTGTGTGTGTGTGTGAAAGAAATTGTGTTTTAAAGAGATAAATAGAATTTATGTAACTGGTCTGTCTCAATGGCTTAGTTGTATGAAAAAGATTAGATTGCCTTGAATTAAGAGTCAGGGGCTATTTTTTCTTCCTGTGGTATAACCTAGTTAATTTCAGAGATAAATAAATGAAAATATATTTTAGCAGAGAGACGTTAAAAAAATTTAGTTGTGAGGCAGTTGCAGAGAGAGGAGTGATAGATTAAGGAGGGTGAAGACAGGAAGAGGGAAAGAGGAAAGAGTGAAGAGAAAGGGAGGAAGACATCCTCTACCCATTGGTTCGCTCCCCAAATATTTGCAGTTGTTGGGGTGAGTATAGGCTGAAGGCAGGAGCCTGGAGCTTCTGCTGGATCTCCCATATGGGTGCAGGTGCCTAAGGTTTTGTACTATTTTCTGGTGCTTTTACACGTGTGTTAACAGGAAGTTTGATTGCAAGTGGGTTGTGTGTTGAATCTTGAACTCTTGATCATATGGAATGCTAGTGTTGCAAGTGGAAGTTTAACTTGCTACTCCACAATACTGGCCCCAGCAAAGAGATGTTTTATAAAAATGTTATTTTTATTAAGAGCATAGAGAAAGATAGAGGTCTTACATTCTGTAGTGTACGTCTCAAATGTCCACAACAGCCAGACCTAGTCTACGTCAAAGCTGCGTGGTTGGAAGTAAGCCCAGGTTTTCTATGTGTGTACCCGAGCCGTCACCTGCCACACCAGGCACTCATCAGCAAGAAGCTGGATTGGAAGTAAAAGTAGGACTTGGCCTCAGGTGCTCTAGTATAGGATGTGACTTAACTGTTAGGCCAAATGCCCAAACATCACAGAGAAACTTTAGGTTTTTTTTAGCTGTATAGCTATAAAATCTAGTTACCAGAGCTCCATATGTAAGGCACACTTAATATTTTCTTTCTTTCCATTTAAATAATTAGTCATTGATTGGTATTTATTTCTTTTGTTATTGTTATTCAGTAGTAATCCATGTTTTATGTGCAATCTAAAGAACTTCCTGCTGTGAGCATCTGGACTGCAGTGTGCCTGGGGTAACTAGAAGGTTTGAAGTTTGGAGAGGTGGCAAAGGGTCAGAACGACGAGGTTTTGGGTGTTGCCTTTCTAAACACACGTGCCACGATGGTGCATTTTTATGTTTTAGATGATGAAGATGATCCTGCAGAAGCTGAAAAGGAAGGAAATGACATGGAGGGAGAGGAGTTAGATCCCCTGGATGCTTACATGGAAGAAGTGAAGGAGGAAGTGAAAAAGTTCAACATGAGGAGTGTAAAAGGTGGTGGGGGTAATGAAAAGGTAGGGGCTTTTCTCTGAAGATTGAAATTCCGTTCTGTTTATTTGTACATTTCCCAAGATTGTTTTTGTTTTGGCAATAACTTTTTCTTGGTACCAGAGATGCTGGTGAACTCTAAGTATAAACGTTCTCTGTAAGTCACTTTGCCCCATAATGGGTTTTTTGGGGGTCTTTCCTGCCTATTACTTTTCGCAGATTTGTTCGGCATTCTCATTTTTCATAGTTGATTCTTTTCATCCTATCTTGGCATTTTTGTTTTGTTGTTCATTTATTTGAAAAAGAGTTACAGTGAGAGAGGGAGAGACAAGATTCTCCATCCCCTGGTTCATTCCCTGGATGGCACAAGCGCCAGGACTGGGCTAAAGTGAAGCCAAGCGCTGGGAGCTCCATCTGGGTCTCTCATGTGGGTAGCACGGCCAAGTACTTAGGCTGTGAGTTATATTTTGCTGCTTTTCTCAGGCCATCAGCAGGGACCTGGATTGGAATTGGAGCATCTGTACTTGAAACTTTGTCGTCTTTTTGTTTTAAATGATTTTTACCTTTTTTTACAATTACTGTTTGTCATTTTCTCCTGAAATACAAGCTGCCCAGGGGCAGTGCCAATTACTTGTTGTGCTTTTTATTTCATTCAGACTCTCAGAACTACCTAGCTTGTTTCGTGAGTGAAGTATACTATCTGTGTATTGTCTTTTCATAAAACTGTATTTTATAGTAAGCTGTATGTGAGTCTATTAACAAGATACAGTGTATATTATTTAAGCTTTTTTATAGTAATAAAGGAGAAAAGCAGACTTTGCTATGATTTAACTATTGCAAACAATGTCATAAATTTGAATTCTAAATTACAATTGTGCTTTATTTGACGTGTGATGTATGTTTTACTTTGGCAAGATGTTTCATGTTCCTTTTTGATTTTAGAAGTCAGGACCAACTGTCACGAAAGTTGTCACTGTCGTGACAACCAAGAAAGCGGTCGTGGATGCTGATAAGAAGAAAGGGGAGTTGATGGAGAATGATCAGGATGCCATGGAGGTGATTGTTCTACTCCTGGGACTTTTCTTCCCTGGTCCTGACCTAGGAATCTGTGTAGCAAAGTTGCAGGTTGCTAGTGTTCATTGCCGAGTAGGAGTGATGCTATTAAAGAGCCTGTAGTGAAGCTTTCTGAGTCTTCGTGTCCCACTCCACCTGCCCCTCTTGCCTCATCTCACTTCAGTATAATATAGAGAGACGAAATGAAGTGTTGACATGTTGTAAAGATTCATATACTGCGACCAGTGGATGACTTAATTAAAGCCACCTCATTTTTACTTTGCATTGGCATTATAACTTTTTGTGAGGGCTGAGAATGAAGAAATTGAAAAATTCCTTGTAACCTGTTGAGTGTCTTAATAGCTCACATCATTTCAGTCACTTTGAAAGTAGAGATTCAGGTTATTTCAACAACACTGAAGAGTTCCGTCTGGAAGTGGAGAATTTTAAATGCTACAACTGCTAACTTCTCAGAAGAGGAAAATAGTAATGCATTGAACTCCTTGCTTTTATTTTGAATTGTAGTATTCTTCAGAGGAGGAAGAAGTTGACCTGCAAACGGCCCTTACGGGCTATCAGACAAAACAGAGAAAACTCCTAGAACCCGTTGATCATGGAAAAATTGAATATGAACCATTCAGAAAAAACTTCTATGTTGAAGTTCCAGAACTAGCAAAAATGTCTCAAGAGGGTAAAATTCTTTTATTAATTTATTGGTTATGGTGGGAACAGAGGAAGATACATCTTATTGCCCTGGGGAAATGGGTGGACCTGTGAGTTTAAGGAGTGTTTGGGGATTATTAGAAGAATAAGCAAAAATTACATCAGCTTTTACATGTGGAATTTTTAAAAAAAAGACGTATTTATTTGAAAGTTGGGGTTAGAGTTTCAGACCAGCCCAACGGCCCAATTTGGCTAGTCTGAAACTTGGAGCCAGGAGCTGTTTCTGGGTCTTTGACATGGGGCCAGCCATCTTGTGCTTTCCTAGGCCCTTCAGCAGGGTGCAGCTCCTGGGAGTTGTTGTGATTGTGCATGTTATTGGTTAAACAAAGACGGTGTGGCAGCTCTTTCAGGGAGAGTAAGTGAATAGTTACCAGTCATTCCCCCTTCCTTTGAGAAAAGGAGAAAGATGCTCCATTTGCTCTTCACACTCCAGTTGGCTGCTACAACAAAACCAAAAGAAAATTGTTGAAATTAGGATATCTATTTTTGCTTCAGGTGGTTGTGACAATTTCCTCTCTAAGCCATTCGTTGCTTTCCTTGTGGGTCTTCGATGAAGTAATCTTAATACAAGGAATTGCAGATTCTTGGGTTTGCCATGCCTAATTGAAAAATAAAGGGTACCAGAAGGGCAATATTTATGAGTTTTTAACCTGGATTTTGCTTTGTAGAGGTGAATGTCTTTCGATTGGAAATGGAAGGTATTACAGTCAAAGGAAAAGGCTGTCCTAAACCAATCAAGTCTTGGGTCCAGTGTGGAATTTCCATGAAGATCTTAAATTCCCTCAAAAAGTAAGTGGTGGCACTTATACATAGTTTTCATTGTCTTGTTACTCAAAATAGCTCTCAAAATATTTCCCTATGTTAGATTTTAGCTTTAAAGGTTTTCTTGATATATAAAAATGCTTCAAGACATTTATGGAAAATTCAATTAAAATTAAGACAAGGCCCATCTCCCATGACCTTTCAAAAGTGCTTTTGTATAATTTACATATCATGAAACTGAGCTTTTAAGGTGTCTAATAAAGTGTTAGAGGCAAGGAGTTGTGCAGCTGTGACCGTAGCCTGTTTTAGATTTTTATTATTATTATTCCAAATACTGTTATTATTCCAAAATAAGCCTGTCTTCATTCGCAGTCATTCTGTTTCCATCTCTACTATCCTGGATCACAAACAATGCATATTTGGCTATTCATTTCATTTTTATTTGAGTGGTATCATTCAATATGTAGTCACTTGTGGGTGTCTTTCAGGTTCTTTGTGTTGTAAACTGTCTTAGTTCTAATTTCCTGTGTATTTGTAGGTAATGTTGTGTGGATAAATCACAGTTTGAAGAGCTTATTCTTAAGGACTCCAAAAGTCTCAGAGACCTCACTTCTTCACTCTTCCTTTGGTTTTTCTTTTTCAGACATGGGTATGAAAAGCCCACGCCAATCCAAACCCAAGCAATTCCTGCCATAATGTCCGGAAGAGATTTGATTGGCATTGCCAAAACAGGAAGTGGAAAGACCATTGCTTTTCTGTTGCCCATGTTTAGACACATCATGGATCAGAGGTCATTAGAAGAAGGAGAGGGACCAATAGGTACACTACTTGCATTAAACTTTTTATAAAATAGACAGCTGTGTTTACTAATCGGAAAGATATACCTTATAATTTCTTGCTTATGACAATGAAGATATCTGTCCGTATCCTGTTTCAATGTGTGCTTTGGGGCTGATTTCCCCTACCAGCAGGTGGAGTGAGACTCCTCGGAGCTCGGAGTGACATGTCAGAAGTACAAAATCAGTCTCTCCTGGCACAGCTCAGTTTTTAAACTCTGCCTTGGCAAGTAGACTCCTCATGCATCTATCTGTTTATTTGCGTAGAGGTTTGTTCTTAGCCCAGTGTCAGTGGATACTCCAACTGACCATGGTCAGTAATAGGAAGATGTGTTTTCTTAGCTTTTCTTTGTAATGGCCTTAAGGCTGCAGTCCCACACTTGGTTGAGGGTTAAGCCTCCAGATTGATGTTTCTTGGTTCATTTGGGTGTCTTCTGCAAATCTGAGTAGGGTTCTGGAAAGCTGTCCAGCTCCTCCCATGGAAATGCAGGGCGCAGTGTCTTTCTCCTCTTTGTGCCCTCAGACCAGGGTTGTTTCCGGAAGCAGCGGTATGGCTCCTGCAGCACAGTGAGTCACTTGGTTTTCTTTGTTCTGTGATTTGCAGTTGACAGCAATTTGTGTTCTGTTCAATGAAGTGTTTTCCCAGGAGTTGAGTGTGGCCTTTAACTCTGATTTATTTTCTTATAGCATGTTCTTAAAATTTACTTACATTTACCCTTTACCACAACCTCTGACATTTTAAAGCTTTTGAAATAGAGCTTTCAGAGGTTCATAAAACAAATAAAAACAAATATTAGGCTGAAAGATCTGAACTTTCTGCAGATGTTAAGTTTAACGGATTAAAGCGCAGCCTCTGGAGAACTTGGTGGTTAGGGTTTTGACATATTTATCTTTCCAGCTGTCATCATGACTCCAACTCGAGAACTGGCTCTACAAATTACTAAAGAATGTAAGAAGTTTTCAAAGACCTTGGGACTTCGAGTGGTGTGCGTTTATGGAGGAACAGGAATCAGTGAGCAGGTAGTTCTTTCCCACACCTTTCTGAAAATCAGTGATTTAATAAAAAAGGGGATCTTGCATTTTAGTATTTCAAATAGTGATTACTACTAAATCCATAAAAAATACTCGGCATAAAAATAATTTCAAGAGTGGACATTACAGTGGATGAATATTTTCTGGAGATCAAACCTAGACCATGGATATTATAGCTAATACTGTTTTATGTATGTAAAATGTACTGAGAGTAGATTTTTAAAAAGGGGTTGTATTTACTTATTTGAAAGTCAGAATTACAGAAATGGAGGCAGAGGCAGAGATGTTGCATCAGTGTTTTACCCCCCAAGTGGCTGTGTTGGCCAGAGGTGGGCCAGCCCAAAGCTGGGAGCTTTATCTGGTCTCCCATTTAGTGTAGAAGCTCAAGCACTTGGGACATCTGCTGCGGCCTTCCCAAGTGTGCTAATGAAGTGTGTCAGAAATGGAACAGCTGGGACTGGAACCAGAGCCCATACGGGATGCTCATGTTGCAGGTGGTGCCTTTACTTGCTGTGCCGCAGTGCTGGCCCCAACGAAGTGCATCCCTGTATTTGCAGTTTGAGGAAAACAATACTGACTGTGTGAAGGAATGCCCGATGGTGGCATTGATTTCACATTGTCTCTGTATATCAAACATCATATTACGGGAGCAGGTGTTGCAGCACAGTGGATTAGGCTGCTGCTTGGGAGGCCTTCATCCCAGATAGGAAAGCCTGCTTAACCCCAGCTACTGTGTTGTGTTGTTATTTTGTTTGTTTGTTTTTCTTTTCTTAATATTTACTTGCTCACTTGACAGGGTTACAGAGAAACAGTAGGAAATTTTACTTTTGTTGTCCCTGAGATACGTTTTTTTAACATTAAAAATAATACTTTTTTTGAAAGGCAGATTTACAGAGAGTGGTCCTTAATCTGCTGATCCACACGGGTTGGGTCAAAGCCACTTCTTTGGCTGTCTCATGTGGGTGGGGCTTGCACCATATTTTTGCTGCTTTCTGCGGCATGTTGGCAGGGAGCTAGTTCTGAAGCGGAGCAGCATATATGGGATGCCAGCATCGTGGGCAGAATTCTTTTACTGTCCCCATCCGTGAATTCCATTAAACATTTGTATTTAATTCATTTTCTGAATTCATTCTTAGCACTTTATTTGACCACATGGTGAAGCAAGAAATAATTTTCAAAATTATTTTGTCCATTCGTGCATATTTTATAGGTATAAAATTTAAATGAAGTTTTATGATATTTAAAACATTCTGCTGCTACATTGATTGTTTTTTTGTTTGTTTTGTTTTTTTAAGATTTATTTATTTTATTGGAAAGGCAGATGTACAGAGAGGAAGATCTTCCGAATGATGATTTACTTCTCAAGTGGCCGCAATGGCTGGAGCTGAGCCAGTCTGAAGCCAGGAGCTAGCAACTTCTTTCTGGGTCTCCCACATGGGTGCAGGGTCACAAAACTTTGGGCTGTCCTTGACTGCTTTCCCACGCCACAAACAGGGAGCTGGATAGGAAGTGGAGCAGCCGGGATTAGAACTGGCACCCATATGAGATCCCGGCATGTTCAAGGCGAGGACTTTAACCACTGTGCTGTCATGCCAGGCCCTGTTTTTGATTTTTTAAAATGCTGGTTGTGACTTAATAAATTCACTTATTCCCCCAAGGATTTATTTGAAAGGAAGAGTGATAGACACCTTCATCCAGTGATTCCTTTCCCAGATGCCCAGAGCAGTAGGGCTGAGCCAGGCCAAAGCTAGGAGCCAGGAAGCCCATCTGAGTCTCCCTGGGTGACAGGGACTCTGTGTCATCCTCTGCTGCTTCCCAGGCCCTGTGGCTGGGAGCTGTGTTGGAAGTGGAGTATCCGGGAAATGACCAGTACTGCCATATAGGAAAAGGACATCTAAGAAGCGGCACCTTCACTTGCTGCCTTACGAAGCCTGCTAAAAGTAAATTGGTTTATCAGATTGCTAACGGTTGTAACATACGGTTGAAACTACATTGATATATGTGATCACTTTATTTTCTTGTCCACGTTTTTAGATTCCTTTCTTGGGTTTGAGAGGTAGTAGCAAATTAAAATTGCTAAAATTTTTTGTTTCTTTGTTTACTGGTGTCAAATTTACATTGTCATGTGGTCATGCTGGTTCCCCCATTCCTTTAGTAGTGTTCCCAGCATTCCAGGGGCACAAGCAGGACAGTTAGATGTGCTGTGCCCAGACTTGGCACCCTGCAGAGCAGTGTAGACCTGTATGCAATGCCTTAAAATCTTTTTGAGTGAGCATTCATGATAAAAACCCTGTAAAACTTTGTGTTTTAAATTAGATCGCTGAGCTGAAGAGAGGTGCTGAAATTATTGTTTGCACACCTGGTCGAATGATTGACATGTTAGCTGCTAACAGTGGTAAGTCAGGGGTATTTTTCTTCTCTTTTATTTTGGAATTGTATACGTTTTTGTTAAATTAAAGCACACACATGAAACCATCAAAGGGTTTCTGTGTTTGTTCTTAAAGCTGTAATATCTTAAAATTTATATTGTGATGCTTACTGTCATAATTATTAGTATTTTGTGATTGGATTTAAAATTTATCTTTACAACTGGCACCATGTGATGTTTGTAGCAGTTAATTGAATTGTTAGCCCATTTTTGGCCTAGCTTTCCTTTTAAATAAGTAACATACTATCCATTTCTTTATTTTGACTTATTAGCTCTTTCTCCATAGGCATTTGCAGTTTACAATAAGTTAGGATATTGCAGCTTCAAGAAATTCTACCTTTTGTAAATACTGCATGTGTTTAGCGCAACTGTTATGCTTTGTTAAATTATTCCCTATCAAAACTGTTACTAAACTGTTGACATTATTTAACTTCTGTGGAGAAAGGCCCTGCAAGATTTATAGAACTGGGCTTCCGAGACTTAAACCTTCAAAGGTAGGTAACAAATGCTGTTCCCAACTTTGCAAAACTAATTGAGGCTGCAAAAGTTAGTGTGGAATACATAGAAATCACTTATTTTGGCTCAGTTCCCATTTTTGGGGGAAGAAAATGCTTTCAAAAATTTCCATTGCAGTATTCAGTATATACATAATGGGGTGTTAAGAATTGCATAGTGAGTGCATGCTTCTGGTAGCTTCTGCTTGGATTTCTATATGTGTATAATACTAGTGCTAGATGAAGCTGACGAGGTGGCTTTGAAAGTTTTGGTAAGTCACTGTGCTTGTACAGCATATAAAAGGTTTTAGGATGAATGCTGATTAAATAATTCCCATTTCCCCCTTCATTGCTGCATTATTAGATTTCCTGAAATTTGTCTCGATTAATTTTACCTTTTTCCCTTATCTGTCTTTTTGGTTTACCTTTAATGATTGTGTCCTACATGTTTTTGCCAGGTGATTGATTCAACAGTTGATAGTGAATGCTTCTGTTAATCTTCTAGAAAGGGTTTCCTTTGTATATATTTTGGTGTTACCCATTAAGAAGTCAGTTGCATTGTTTAAACCAGTGGGAGCACTTAATAAAGTTGGATTTGTATCATTGCTTAGAAAAGTATGTCTACAGGTAGTTCCTCATCAGTAATTAAACATGCACATTTGAAGGACTTTTAGCTGTATGGAAATAGGTTATACAGTAATCTAGAGGGAAATTTTTTGTATCTGAGATAGTACTGGCGCTTGCTTTCCACACATACGCTGTAATCTCTAATATGTTTTTTCCTAGGTGATGCTGTCAGATAATGGCTGATGTGGCTCGATGCTTCATCTCAGTCTTAGTTTTATGATGTGTTTTGGAGAGGGCTGTTTTCTGAATTTTACAGGTTCTTCAGGCCCTATGATGGTACGCAAGAGACGAGTTTGACAAAATAAAGGGCCTCATATACACCCATTGCCAGAAAATATTTGCCACTAGATTGAGATATTGTAGATCAGATTTTCTTTTTGCTGTTTAAAGATACCTAACCTGCCCCTCTGGTTAAGTCAGGCATTTTAGTTCCCTTTACAGTTACCTACCTATTTTTTATTTATGTATTTGAAGTTCTTGCTAGTCATAAAATGTGTCTGATTTTTAGTTTTCTTTTTCTCTTTATTTTTTTTCTCATGTTAGGTCGGGTCACGAATCTTCGAAGGGTGACATACGTTGTTTTAGATGAAGCTGATAGAATGTTTGATATGGGTTTTGAACCACAGGTAACCATTCAGTTTTATCCGTCTTTTATGGTGAAAATATCACCGTAACCTGCCATAAGAATGATGCTTGTAGGTTTCTGAAATTAACACACGTAACCTTGCTGCTTGGTAAAACCATAAGGCTGGAGCATGCGGCATGGAAATGGTGCTTATGTGTCTGATTCCTCCTATAAGTTGTTGAGGAGGAATTTGTACACTTTCCTGAACCACCTGACACCATCATTGATAAGGCTAGTATTTCTGTACTAATAATAGAAGCCTGAACTTCAAAATTTCATGGTCTTCATTGTCTAATTCATGCATCTCTGTACTTGTTTAGCTTAACTTTCTGCAATTATCCTGCATACTATTTGCAAAAAAAAAAAAAACACATAATGAAAGGTTTGTTTTAAAATAAGATTTATTTTTATCAGAAAGGCAGATTGACAGAGAGGAGGTTCATACTCCAAATGGTTGCAGTGGCCAGAGCTGGGATGAAACAAAGCCAGGAGCCAGAAGCTTCTTCTGGGTTTCCCATGCGGGTGCAGAGTTCCAAGGCTTTAAGCCATCTTCCACTGCTTTCCCAGGCCGCAAACAGGGAGCTGGATGGGAAGTGGAGCATCTCGCACATAAACCAGCACCCAGATAGGATGCTGCCACTTGAAGGGCGAGGATTGTTCAATTGAGCCATCCCACTAACCTCCAAAATTTTCTGAACTGAAGAATCAAATGAATTTTAATGTACTGTGGATCCCTAAAGCTGTGTAATAGAACTCCTGTTTTCAGATCTGCTCAGCTCTGGCCGTCGTGGCCAGCAGATGGAAGATTCTGTCTCTCCTTCTCTCTGTAAATCTGACTTTCCAATAAAAATAAATATTTTAAAAAAGAATGCGTGACATTCTGCAGTATTAGAAATGTGTATGGGAAAAGGGTAATATGTAAATTTTGCATCAGTCTTTGTGTGCCAATTATGAAGCTGTGTATGTTCTTACATGAAAGTATGTAAATATTTGTACTAAGTATTATAATGATTCACGTCTGTTAAAAGATTTATTTACTTGAAAGACAGAGGGTACAAAGGAAGAGAACATCTTACTGCTCATTCATTCCCAAAGAGCTTTAGCAGCAAGGGCTGGGCAGTCCAAAAGCAGGAGCCTCCCCTTGGTCTCCCATGTGGATGGCAAGGACCAGTGTCACCTCTGAGGGTTCATGTTAGCAGGAGGCTGGAATTGGAAGTGGAGCCTTGAACACTTTAGTATGGGATGTGATGTCCCAAGCAAGGTCTTTTTTTTTTTAAGATTTACTTTATTTTTATTGGAAAGTCAGATACACAGAGAAGAGGAGAGATAGAAAAGAAAATATTATGCCTGATGATTCGAATCCCAAGGTGAGGTGATGGCAGTGACTGGAGCTGTACCAATCCTAAGCCAGGAACCTGCAGCCTCTTGCGAGTCTCCCACACAGGTGCAGGGTCCCATGGCCTTGGGCTGTCCTTGACTGCTTTCCCAGGCCATAAGCATGGAGCTGGATGGGAAGCGGGGCGACCGGGACAGGAACCAGCACCCATATGGGATCCCGTCACTTGCAAGTCAAGGACATTATCTACTAGGTTACAGCACTGGGCCCCCCAAATAGGGTCTTAACTACTAAACCAGGGTCTAACTCCTGGTCTGGATTCTGTTTTGTAATGATTGGTACCAGACAAGTAGTAATTATCAGATAATATATTTAGTGCAGAGGAGAATGCTGAAAGATAGTGGGCAGTGATGGGAGAGAGAGCTGTTAGTTTAATTGTATTGTTGCAGTGGTCATGTTCATGAGGTGCCCCAGGTAAGATGAAGTCCTGAGCCATGATCGCTCATGAGATAACTGTGGCAGGTACAGAGCAAGAACACAAGATCTGAGGGGGAAGCTTGGCTGCTAGGGGAGCCTGGAGCAGCGTGCAGGAGTGGAAAGCAGGAGCTGGTGCTGGTGCTTTAACATGCAAGGCTGGTGGTGCTGAGGCTAGGAACTGGGGCTTCATCGTGGAAGTCATTGTATGTTATTGGTTGTTGCTTGACTTGCACCACCTTCCTGATCTAATTTCTTTCCAATTTTTTATTTTTCCTGTATCCCCTCGGCACATGCTTAACAGCAACACTCCTCCCTAGTTTGTCTCTTAACTGATTGTTTTATGCTTGCTTTTATTCCTCTCATTTGCATGCTTATATTTCTACTTTTGTATATTATATTTTAGGCATCATTTATTGACTTGCCACAATGGAACAGACTTTGTGTTTTCTTTCCTTCCTTGTCATGTATTTATTATGTTTATTTGTATACTGAGCCAATGAAAACAGTAGCAGAGCTTTGCTGAGACATAGCCATTCTAATGGTACTTGGTACATTTGTTTCCTTTGTTGTTGTTGAGAATTTTGTTTGTTTGATTTCAAAGGCAGGGAAACAGAGAGAGGGAGAGACAGATTCTTTTTGGCCTGTTGCTTCACTCCCCAAGTGGTTGCAGTGTGCTCAGGACAAGGCCCCAGGGAAGCCAGCAGTCAGGAGCTGACTCCAGGTCTTCATGTGAGTGCCAGAGGCTGCTCCCCAGCAGCTGGCGGGTTGGAAATGGAGACCTGTGACTCCACAAACTGGCTCCAAGTGGGACACGTGTGTCTTAGGTGACAGTTTAACTGCTGTGCTATAATGCCAGGACCTTGTTTATTGATTTTTGAGAAGCAGAGCAATAGATCGTAAAAAAAACTGTCTGAGGAAGATAAGACTGGTCGAAAGTTGATGTGCTCAAGTAAATAAATAAAAGTGGCTGTGCTTGTGTTCCCAGTAGAGTTGAGTTGCTGTTTTAATTGGATCCTTATATAGTGTTTGTATAAACTAAGCATTATTCACGGCACAGCAGTGTATTAAGCTGATTGCTTTTACTTTCTGTGTAGCCTCTTGATGTTCCTACAACATTTAGTTTTTTGTTAGATTATGGATTCCTTAGGTCCTTGTAAGCTTGCAACTAACTCACTGCCCAAGATTATTACTGTTTATTTCAGTGTCTCCAATAGTTGGGCAGGTTGATGGGATTCTTGGTCGCCGAAGCCTGTGTAAGAGTGCCTAGTTACACTGGCGACGAATGTAACGGCTTACGTACTTTAGGACCTGCCACACATGTGGGAGTCCTACATGGAGTTGCTCTCTCCTGGTCTTCCAAGAATTTAGGGAATGAAAGAAGATTGATCTCTCATACAGGCTCTACCTTTAAAATAATTAACTTAAAAAATTGAGACCTAGCAAGACGCCTGTCAGTTTCATCTTCCTTTAGTGGTTTCTAGAAGATTTCTTTCTGTCTCTGACTCTCTTACTTCTTAAACAAACACACAAATTTGTTTACTGCAGTGGAGCCAGTACTAAAACCCAGGCATTGTGATAGGAAATGGGGATGTCTCAAGTGGTGTCTTAACTGCTGAACCACATACTTGTCCTGTATTTATTTCAGTGCCAATTTTAGCTCAATTTTACCCTTTTGGAATCTTTTTAGTTCTTCACACAGCTGAAAGTCAATGCTGAGTGTCGTTTTATTTCACCCTGCTTGCGGTGAAGGTCAAGTGCTAATGAATTTCTCAAGTTTTTGTTTATCTGGGAACTTCTTTTCTTTCTCATGTTTGGAGGACACTTTTGCCAGATATACAAGTCTTGGTGAAGCTTTTTCTCCTTTAGCATTTGCGTGTATCTGCCACCGCGCACTGCCTTCTGTTCTCGTTTCTGGTGAGAAGTACACTGTAATCATATTGATAATATTTTCATGTTACAAGCCCTTTTATCTTTCTGTTTTTGAGATCTCTGTCTAGGAAGTTTGACTGTGATATGTCCTTGTGGGAATCTCTGATTTGCTCTTGGAATTTTAGCTTCTTATGTAGGCTCATTCTCATGACCTATCAAAGGTAGACACAATGTGGAGATGAAAATGGAGCAAGAGATCTTTCATCCATTTCTGTCTTTCTGAAGGACAGTTATCTGTTATCCCTCCCCCATTTCCTGGATCTCTGCATTTTCCTCAAAGTATGTAATGACTTCCTGATTTTCCTTGTTATTCTTAATGTTTGACTTTTTAAAAAAAAAAACAGGTTGATGTGTTTACTTGAATGACGGTTGCAGAGAGAAACTGGGGAGGAAGAGAGGGATTTTCTATTTGCTGGTTCACTAACAAAATGGCCCAAAATTGAGGATGCTGGGCTAAACTGAAGTTCATGAAGCTGTAGGGACCTGAGGACTTGAACCATCTTTTGCTGTTTTTCCAGGCACAGTAGCAGGGAGCTGGATCAGAGATGGAGCAGCCCGAATTAAAAATAGCACATATAAGAGATGCCAGCATTGAAGCTTTGGGCCTAATCTGCTGCGCCACATTGCTAGTTCTTCATTTGTTTTTAAATGACCTAATCTTTAATGCACAGCTCCTGAAAGGGAGAGAAATGAAGGTCTGGGATCGAGGCCGCTAGGGTCTCTAAATTGGGCAGGTATTTCCGGTATCTTACAGCCAGTGTGCTAGTGGTACAGTGGCAATGGCCAGTGCCTATGTATTTGCCCCTCTGGGCATTTGTGGTTACTAACACATGAACTCTGGACTCCAGATACTTACTTGCTTTTTTTTTTTTTTTTCTTAATATGTATGGATTTTAGGATTGGTTGGTTGCTTGTTAATTTATTTGAGAGGTAGTTATAGAGGAGAGATACAAAGAACTTTTATTTTCAAATTTCTTCCCCAGTGATCACCGTGGTCAGGGCTTGGCCTGTCTGAAGCTGGGAGCCTGAAACTCCATTCAGGTCTCCCATCTTTTGCTGTTTCTCCCAGATACTTTAGCAGAAGAGATGAGTCAGAAGTTGAGCAGCCAGAACCTGAGCTGGTTCCTGTATTGGATGCTGACACTGTAGGCAGTGGTTTAATGTGTTGCACTACAACTCTGACACTGAAACCAAATCTTTGGAGAACAGGTTCCTTTTTTTCTTGCTCTGGCTCCCTTAAACTTGTGTGTAGCCTGTCCTGGGAACATGTGTACTTGTTAAATATGGGGCTGTGGCAAGGGATGTTTACTATGGTCCTATGAGTTGAAATTGATGCAAATTAGCAGTTTGCCTTCTAGGGCTTTTCAACTGATTAATTCCAAAGTAGTTTTATCAAATACATTCTTGTTCTTTGCCCTAAATCCTCCTGATATGTCTTACTGTACATTCTTAGGACTTAGAACTACTCTTGGCACCTCAGGGGCGTTTATTAGAAAAGTGTCCAATGAAGGAAAATCTGTAGGAGTCGGTAGCAGCTGCATCCTAGGTAGAGAAGACAACTACTGAGTGTGCCAGCTGATGGAAAATCTGTGTCTCTACTTCTTTTTGTTACTCAGCCTTTCAAACAGGGTTTTTTTTGGGGGGGCGGGTGGTTGTAATATTTGTTTATCTGAAAAGCTGTGTGATAGAGAGGCAGAGGCAGAAATCTTCCATCCTCTGGTTCACTCCCCCGTAGAGTGCAGGGGCCATGCTGGGCCAGCCCGAAGTCGTGGAACTCCATCCATGTCTGCCATGTTAGTATAGGGGCCCAAGTCCTACTTGGGCTATCTTCCACTGTTTTCTCAAGTGCATTAGTAAGGAACTGGGTCGGAAGTGGAGCAACTGGGACTCAAGCTGATACCCATATGGGACCCTGGCCCTGTGCTATAATGTTGGCTTCAAAATTGTATCTTTAAAATGGAAGCGTTTCCTTTACTTGGTTTTAGCTGCATTTACTTGTCATTTTTCCTCAGGTCATGCGTATTGTGGACAATGTTCGTCCTGACCGCCAGACAGTTATGTTTTCGGCTACTTTCCCCAGAGCCATGGAGGCTTTGGCTCGCAGAATCCTCAGCAAACCCATTGAAGTGCAGGTTGGAGGCAGGAGTGTCGTCTGCTCTGATGTGGAGCAGCAAGTGGTGGGTACCATCCAGAAGACCTCTGGTCACATTGTGCAGCCAGCGTTTGTGCTGTTGTAGGGAAGATGGCAGGTGATTTCCACAATTCAGTATGTACATTTGCTGTTGCCTGCAGTGTTTACCGTATATACTTGCCTGAACTGTTAGATGGAGCTTGTTTCCGTTCTCACCTCCATGCTGGGTGCAGTAAGCCCACAGATGGGAGGCCCCAAATAAAGGATCGTTCGCTTGCATTTCCAAGCCTTTTAGTCTCTGGAAGTTTGTAGTTTTGATTTTTTTTTGTTCTCCTTGTTTTAACAATTAAATTGAATTACTTCATAGCCTTTCCTAAAAATTACCGTAATGTTAACTAACGGTCACAACAAATGAGATGAATATTTTTGTTCAAGGATCCTGTTTGCTTTTTCTGTGAACGTAGTGTGACTTGGTGTTTTCAGATTGTGATCGAAGAAGAGAAGAAGTTTCTGAAGCTGCTGGAGCTTCTGGGCCACTACCAGGAGTCGGGGTCCGTGATCATCTTTGTGGATAAGCAGGAGCATGCCGATGGGCTCCTCAAGGACTTGATGAGAGCGTCCTACCCGTGCATGTCTCTCCATGGAGGTACCGTACGCATTCCTGCATGTGGGAATTAGCTGCCCGTCCCAGGGCCCTGTTCTCTGCTGAGTTCCCTATGACTTGCAACCATATGTTGTGTCATTTGTCTCAGTTTTCGCTCATAACACTGCTGTGTATTACACATTTTTATCTCGTTAGCATAAAGCTGAAAAAATTCCAGGTAGGTAAATATTGATTTGAGCCAATTGCACTGCTATTAAGTAGTAGGACTTGAACTTTTAAGATTGTCTCTTTCAGTTTTTATGTATTTTTTCAGTTTAATTTGAGAAAAGAGAGAGACAAATATTCTGTAAGTAACCACAATAACCTGGCTTAGAAAAGCAGAAACCATGAGCCCAGAACTCATTCTTGATCTCCCATGTGGGTGGCAGACACCCAGCTGATTGAGCCTTCAGCTGCTGTGTCCTATGGTGCACACGGGCAAGAAACTGGTATGAAACATGATGGCATGGGCTTGGCGTGATAGCGCAGTGGTTAAAGTCCTTGCCTTGTATGCCCGGGATCCCATATGGGCGCCGGTTCTAATCCCAGCAGCCCTGCTTCCCATCTAGCTCCCTGCTTGTGGCCTGGGAAAGCAGTTGAGGACGGCCTAAGACCTTGGGACCCTGCACCCATATAGGAGACCGGCAAAGAAACTTCTGGCTCCTGGCTTCGGATTAGCTCAGCTCCAGCCATTGTGGCCACTTGGGGAGTAAATCATCAGAGGGAAGATCTTCCTCTCTGTCTCTCCTCCTCTCTGTTTATCTGCCTGTCCAATAAAAATAAATAAATCTTTAAAAGTAATTGGGTTCCTACTACTGTCATGGAAGGCCACCTGTCTTTGGCCCCGTGGCTGTTGCAGGCATTTGGAGAAATAACCACGAAAGGTGCTCTCTTTCAGTCTTTAATCTATTTCTGTCTTGATTTTTTTTTTTTAATGTGTTTGAAAGGAAAGTTTATAAAGAGGTGGAGAGAGAAAGAAGCAGAGAGATTTCCTATTTACTTGCTGTTCCCTCCCCAAATGGCCACAGTGGCCAGGGGTGGGTCAGGCTGAAGCCAGGAGCTTGTCCAGGTCTCTCTCATGGTTTCAGACCCAAGCACTTGGGCCATCTGCTGCTTTCCTAAACACGCTGGCAGGGAGCTGAAACAGAAGTGGAACACACGAACTGCAGCTGGTGCATCTGTGGAACGCCAGCATCACAAGCAGTGGCTTAATGTGCTGCACCACAACAGTAGTTCTGGCCTTTTGTTTTCTATATTGTTGGTTTGAAATTGTGAATTTGTTCTTTACCTCATGTGTAGATTCTGTCAGAGGAAATGGAAAACGTGAGTGTGACCTGTTGTACAACTCTTCTCCTTCATGCTCTCACAGGAATTGACCAGTATGACAGAGACAGCATTATCAATGACTTCAAAAATGGGACTTGCAAACTCCTTGTGGCTACCTCTGTTGCTGCCCGTGGTCTCGATGTGAAACATCTGATTCTTGTGGTGAACTACAGCTGCCCCAACCATTATGAGGATTATGTGCACAGAGCAGGACGGACTGGAAGAGCGGGCAACAAAGTAAACAGCATTCACGCAAAAGTGGGATTGCTTCTGAAGTAGAGTGGATGTGCTTAGAGGAGGTGGAAGGAGGAGATTGTATGTGTTTACGGAGTGTTATGAGAATTGATCTGTGTGAATCATTTACATGCATATGCCTCTCAGATGTCTAGTTAATCTAGGCTGCTGCTGTTAATGTTTGTGTGTCCGTTTGGTCTCCTTTGCCTTCACCTAAAGCTTTGTTGTTGTTCTTATTATTATTTACATTTTTTTCTTTGTTTGAAAAGCTTAGAGAGACATAGAGAAATAGATTTCCCATCCGCAGGTTCACTCCTCAAATGACTGCAGTGGTTGGAGATAGGCTGATCAGAGTCTCCCTCATGGGTACAGTTACCCAAGCACGTAAGCCATTCTGTCCTGCTTTTGCAAGCATATTAGTGAACTGGGTGGAGGTGGAGCAGTTGGGACTCAAACATCTTATATCTGGCAAACTGTTGCTCCCCCATATATCACACAAGCATATATAGTTTTTGTGTATGTACACTTACTTCAGTTTATTGACTGGTTGACCTGAAAGTATTACAGAGGGCCCAGCGCGATAGCCTAGCAGCTAAAGTCCTTGTCTTGAATGTGCCAGGATCCCATATGGTCACCGGTTCTAATCCCGGCTTCCCTGCTTCCCATCCAGCTCCCTGCTTTTGGCCTGGGAAAGCAGTCGAGGACAGCCCAAAGCCTTGGGACCCTGCACCTGCATGGAAGACCCGGAAGAGCACCTGGCTCCCGGCTTCAGATCGGCACAGTACTGGCCGTTGTGGTCACTTGGGGAGTGAATCATCAGAGGGAAGATCTTTCTTTCTGTCTCTCCTTCTCTCTGTATATCTGACTTTGCAGTAAAAATAAGTAAATCTTAAAAAAAAAGAAAGTATTACAGAATCTTCCATCTTTTGGCTCACTCCCCAGATGGGTGCAACAGCCAGAACTGGGCCAAACTAAAGCCAAGACCAGACCTTCATCCAAGCCTTTCAGCACAAGTCTGCAGGGGACGCTAGTGCTTGGCCGTCCTCTGCTGCGCTCTGCAGGTTATTAGCGTTAAGCTGAAGCTGAAGTGGATCACATGCAGTGTGTGAAATATACTTTTTCTCTCTTTAGGACTTTTCATTGCTTTTTGCTTTTTAAGGATTTGATTGGTATGAAAGGCAGTGTGATAAAACGGGGGGAGAGACACTTCCTCAGTGACTCAGACCTGCAGCTGGTCCCTCTGAAACCAGGAATTTGGGATTCCGTCCAGGTTTCCCATGTGGGCAGCAAGAGCCCAAGTACTTGGACCATTATCTAATGCTTGCCCTGGTGTGTTAATAGGAGGCTGGATCTCAAGCAGTGCAGCCAGGCACCGAATTCGCACTTTGATAGCGATATCAACCAGCAATCTAACATGCTATGCCAAAACACCTGTCACCACAGGTGTGCTTGTAATCCTCCAAACGCCTGTGGACAGAATCAAGGCAGAATATGAGCCAATAGTGATGACTGTTTGGATAACCTTCCAATGAAATCTTAAACCTTGTTATAAAATTGGTATCAGCTAACTGTTTGTTGCAGAGTGTTTTGTGAAGGTAGCAGCCTGGAAATGTTTTATTTTATACTTCCAACTCAGTGTTGGTTTACCTGAACTGAAAATACTGCTGCTGCTGACATCATGTGAGAGATGGGCTTTAGACAATCCCCTGGGAAAGCGATGCCGTTGAAATTATTCTTGCAAAATATTTACAAGAATAAATAAATATATAAAAATTACTCAGGGCCCAGTGTGGTAGGCTGATAGCTAAAAGTCCTCACCTTGCATGCACAGAGATCCCATATTGGCACTGGTTTATATCCTGGAGGCCCTGTTTCCCATCCAGTTCCCTTCTGTGGCCTAGGAAAGCAGTCAAGGACGGCTCAAAACCTCGGGACCGTGCACCCACGTGGGAGAGCCAGCAGAGGCTCCTGGCTTCGGATTGGAGCAACTCCGGTCATTGCAGCCACTTGGGGAGTGAATCATTGGATGGAAGATCTTTCTCTCTGTCTCCCCTCATCTCCATATATCTGACTTTCCAATAAACATAAATCTTTTAAAAAATTACTCAAATATCTGTACTCACATGTAGATAAATGCACTTGCATGTGTATTTTTTGTGTCTTATATATCTTGTAAAGACCTATGGAATTGTATATCCTGGGAAATTAATGTGGGTTCAAGTGGTATAGAGGGCAAGTTGTAGAGGAAGAAATGAGAAGTTTTCTTATATTACTTGTCTTATTTTAAAATTGCAGCCTCACATACTACACTTTGAACTGTTAAAACCATCTAGTAATAGGACTCTGGTGGGCTTTCAGATTGATGAGTAGTGATGTGGGTTCCAAGAAGATTATTCCGCAGTCCAGCTATGTGCTGTCTGATCTAAGTGGGATTCTCTTCTCGGTGTCTGATCGGTGCATGTTTGGATCCCTCATCAGGGTTACGCCTACACTTTCATCACGGAGGATCAGGCGCGCTACGCTGGCGACATCATCAAAGCGCTGGAGTTGTCGGGGACTGCGGTGCCTCCTGATCTGGAGAAGCTCTGGAGCGACTTCAAGGACCAGCAGAAAGCTGTGAGTTTGCTTTTGTGTGTACGTGTGTGTGTGTTTTCTTCTTTTCTTTAGATTTATTTATTTGTTAGGCTGAGTTAGAAGATGAGCGGGGCGGGAGGGAAGCTCTTCTTTCTGCTGGCTCACCCTGAAGCCATTCCAGGAGCTTGTTGCAGGTCTCCCACATGGGCACAGTGAACTGTCCTCCACTGCTTCCCCAGACACCTGGGCAGGGAGCTGGATGCAAAGAGGGGAAAAAAGGTGAAAATAATTCCCTCTTTTGCTGGAACTTTGTGTTTGTTTTTGTTTTTAAAGATTTAGTTATTTTTATTGCAAAGTCAGAAAGACAGAGAGAAGGAGAGACAGAAAGAAAGATCTTCCCTCTGATGATTCACTCCCCAAGTGACCACAACGGCCAGTACTGCACCGATCCGAAGCCGGGAGCCAGGTGCTCTTCCGGGTCTTCCATGCAGGTGCAGGGTCCCAAGGCTTTGGGCTGTCCTCGACTGCTTTCCCAGGCCAAAATCAGGGAGCTGGATGGCAAGCAGAGCCGCTGGGATTAGAACCGGCGCGTATATGGGATCCCGGCGTGTGCAAGGTGGGGACTTTAGCTGCTAGGCTATCGCGCTGGGCCCGGAACTTAGTGTTTGTTAAAAACTACATGGAGCACTGCTTTTTCATGGTGCAGTGTGTGTTAGTTGACACATACCATCTTAAAAAGTATTTAATTACTATAGATTTGTAAGGATAGAAGTTTTTACTATGAAATTACCTTTTTTTTTTTTTTTCTTTCTTTCTGTACAGGAAGGAAAAATAATTAAGAAGAGTAGTGGGTTCTCTGGCAAGGGATTCAAGTTTGATGAAACAGAACAAGCTTTGGCCAATGAGAGGAAGAAGTTGCAGAAAGCAGCTCTCGGTCTGCAAGACTCCGATGACGAGGATGCGGCTGTGGATGTGAGTATTGGAAGCACCTGCTCACCCAGGGAAGCCGTGCCCTTATCCTGCTTTGTTACCCTCCTTACAACAAGGTGGTGGAAGCCTTTCCATTTCCATTGCTAACAGCTGTCTGATGTTTCATTGTGTGATGTTTCACTGTTGGACAAATCAGAGTCCTGTTATTGCATGTATGGATTGTTCCCGTATGGTCACTGTTTACAGTGTACACTTGGATGCACATCTTGTACTTTTAAATTTTTTGCTGTTTCATTTAAAATATATTTCTGAATATTTATTTGAAAATCAAGAGTTAGGGAGGGTAAAATGGATGAAGATATCTTCTATCCACTGGCTTATTCATCAGATGATCACTGTGGCTGGAACTGGACCCAGCTAGAAGCTAGGAGCCAGGAGCTTCATCCTGGCTCTTCTACACTGGGGCAGGTACCCAAGCACCTGGGACATCCTCCACATTTCCCAGTTGTGTTAAAGGGAAGCTTGGTCAGAAATGGAATAAATGCTTCTTGAACCAGTACTTATATAGTGTGCCAGTGTTATAGGTGGCAATTGAACTTGTTGGGCCACAACACCAACACTTTTTTAAATTATTTACAAAAAGGTTTGGTTATCTTTAGAAGGATGGACATATGAGAGAGATTGATTTATTTCACAAATGGCTAAAATGGCTAGAGCTAGACCTAAGCTAGGAGCTTCTTCTAGGTCTCTTAGGCACAGGGTACCCTGGGTGCAAGTCTCCTGGGTACAGAGGATGAAGACCTTGGGCCATCCTTTGTTGCTTTCCAGGCACATTGATAGGCAGCTGCATTGGAAGAAGAATAGTTGGGACATGAACAATGAGCAATGGCTGATGGCATGCTTAGCTGCTATGCCACTGTCCTATCCCTTAAAATTACAGTTTTTATTTCTGTGAAAAGTAGAGAGCGAAAGAGAAATCGTTCATCGCTGGTTCACTCCACATGTGCATGTGTTAGCCAAGCCTGAGCCAGATTAGACACAGTGCAGGAACTAGCTGGAGCCTCCTGTGTGTCTCTGGCAGGCACCAAAGCACTTGAGCATATTCTCCTATCTCCCCTGATGCATATTAGCAGGAACAAGTTGGAAATATAGTCAAGCCTTAAACGCAAGCTTTCTAATGTGGAATGTAGGCATTGTAAATGACATTTCCTCCAACCAGAAGATGTATTTATTTGAAAGACAGAATTACAGAGCAGGAGAAAAAAAGATCTTCAACCTGATGGTTCACTCCTCAAATGGCTGCCATATCTGGGGCTTGGTCTCATCCTGGTGGCAAGGGCCCAAATTCTTGAACCATCATCTTGCGTTCTCAGGTACATTAGCAGAAGTAATTATTTATTAATAATTAATAATTAAGCATAAGAGCCTGGCTGCAAGCAGAGCAACTGGGACGTAATCCAGCATTTGTGTATTAAGCTGGTCTCTTAGGCAGCCCTTAACCCATTGTATCACAGTGACTGCACAAGTGGCACTTAGTTGCAATGTCAAATGCTTGTTCTTGCACGTTATCTTTGTGTATCCATCAGAATAAGTTTTGAGATTTTGATTGTTAGTTAAATTGCATAGCCAGTTTTGTTTTTCTTAAACATGGTGAGACAGAATCATACACTTTGTGCAGTGGCGTGAAAGAGTGCTGACATCCCATGCTTTTAACAACATTGTTACTCATACTGTTGCTTTCTGTCTGCATTTAATAGTTTTGAAATGTCCTTATTAACCATAGTCAACATGGAGTGCTGCCAGGTGGCACCAGCTGTGGCAGTGTCTGCTTCCTGGCAGCAGACATACCGGGTAGATATTCAGAATGTTCTCATTTTGTAATCAAGCAGACTGAGGCCCTTTAAGAATGCTTACCTTTTTAAACAGTTTTACATGGCTCTTACTGGAAGGAGCTGGGGCCAGTGTTCTGTGATTGTCCAAGGCCATGTTCTTAGTGTAGACATTGTGATGCAATGAGGAGTGATCCTGAGTGCTTAGCTAGGCGAGGTTTGCACAGAGTATGTTGTTCGAAGCTATTTCCGTTAACAGTTTTTGGGATGTGTGTGCTTTAATTGCTAGTACACTTCTCCTCCTTGGAGTGTAACGTTCGTACACTCGCAGTTAAGGAAGCTTATTAACTTTATTTTGCCCAGAAATTCCTCAACATGCTGGGTCACAGAAAAAAATTTTTTTGCACGTACTCTCTTAAATGATCTCAATACCCTGTTTTACAGATCAGGTTGATCGTGCTGCACTGCAGCATCAGCTCCTCACATGGGTATTTCCTTCTCATTTCTTACCAACCTGCCTCGTGTTTTCCTTGGTCTAGATTGATGAACAAATTGAAAGCATGTTTAACTCGAAGAAGAGAGTGAAGGATATGGCTGCTCCAGGGACATCGAGTGTTCCTGCTCCAACTGCAGGAAATGCTGAGAAGTTAGAAATCGCGAAGAGGCTGGCTCTGCGAATCAATGCTCAGAAGAATTTGGGCATCGAGTCTCAGGTATTACGTACTTTGTTCCAAGCCACAGTACTTTTTGTGACTTTTAAGTACTTTTCAGGAGTTAAGACAGGTGTTGATAAATTAGATGTCCTAGATTCTGAGTTTCTGAGAATTTAGCATATTCAACACAAAATTCTTTAGTGATCGCCTTTGAATGATTTTTCTTGTGGGTTCATAGACTTTGTTTAAATATAGCACTATTCTGGCTGATCTTACCAGTCTCATGAGAGTAATTATCTTTTTTCTTCATTAATTTTCTTTAATGGATGAGTTTTTGGGCACACAAACAATTCTCTGGATGTGTAAAACACCCAGTTAACATCATTCATGCTAACAGATTCAGACAGTAAAGATTTGTTTTAAAAGTTTCCCATAGTACTGTTTTCTTGGAGGCTTGTTTGTTAGTGTCTCACTAAGGGTTAATTTCCATAGCATCCCCAAAGAATGGTTCATATGTTTCAACAGTGTTTTGAAGACTTCTCCGTAAGTCCTTTACTGTTACTGAATATTGGGTTCCCCACCAGGAGGAGAGGTGCTCAGTAAAGCTTCTGGTACAAAGGAAACTCAGAGTCCTAAAGTGTGTCCGATACCCTGGAAGTAGTGTACTGATGCTAATACCAATCACTCCCTAATTATTGAGAGGTGTATCTAAAGTTCATTAGAATATCCAGGAGAGAGGGGTTGTCCTTAGTTTTCTCTCTTAGAAAAAGGAAGGTGTACTAAAGTGTTAGTCAAATATATATATATGTATATATTTTTTTTAAAGATGTATTTATTTCTATTACAAAGTCAGATATACAGAGAGGAGGAGAGACAGAGAGAAAGAGCTTCCGTCCGATGATTCACTCTCCAAGTGACCACGACCGGCCGGTACTGCGCCGATCTGAAGCCAGGATCCAGGAACCTATTCCGGGTCTCCCATATGGGTGCAGGGTCCCAAAGCCTTGGGCTGTCCTCAACTGCTTTCCCAGGCCTCAAGCAGGGAGCTGGGATGGGAAGTGGAGCTGCCAGGATCAGAACTGGCGCCTGTATGGGATCCCGGTGCGTTCAAGGCGAGGACTTTAGCTGCTAGGCCACGCTGCCAGGCCCAGTCAAATATATTTTTATGCTGCTACTTTGATCATTTATTTTAAAAAGTTACAGAGAGGGACAGTGAAATAGATCATTCATTCTTTCATCTGCTGGTTCGTGCCCCAGATGGTCACAGTGGCAAGGGCTGGGTTAAGCAGAAGCTTGGCGTCTGGAACTTCCTCCAGGTGTCCCGCTTGAGTGACAGTGGCCCAAGCACTCAGACCTTTCTTGGCTGCTTTCCTAGACACATTAGCAGGGAACTAGATGAGAAGCTCAGCAGCTGGGAGTTGAACTGCTACCCATATAGAATGCTTGCTTCATGACAGCAGTTTATCGTGCTGTTCCACAGTGCTAGTCCCTATTTTCATTTAGCTTTCAGTTAGTGCCCTTTCACAGAGCAGTTAGTGTGAGGTTCATAGTCCTGTCTCTTTCCTCCTTTGAGATTTGACTGTAGATCTTCTTTATCTATAGGATGTGATGCAGCAGGCCACCAATGCAATTCTCAGAGGTGGCACCATTCTTGCACCCACTGTGTCTGCAAAAACCATTGCAGAGCAACTTGCTGAAAAGATCAATGCCAAGCTCAATTATGTGCCTTTAGAGAAACAAGAAGAAGAAAGACAGGATGGCGGACAGAACGAATCTTTTAAGAGATATGAGGAAGAATTAGAGATCAATGACTTCCCACAGGCAAGTAACAGATTTAAAACTTTATCATGAAGTAGAAACTCTTGATGGATGACTGGCAAAAACCCCTTCTGTAAGAATACCGATACTACCTATTTTCATGGCCACTGAAACCCTGGCATCACATGTCTCTGGCCATGCCCAGGATCTCCCTGCCTGTTTTGGGCCCTTCACTGCTTGCTCTGTCCCGTCCATGGCTGTGAAGCTCCATCACAGGCCTCCAGCTGGGTGGGCAGAGTTTGCAGGACTGAAGAGCCAGCTTAGGTTGAAAGCTAGACCCAGAGTGACTGACCCACCAACACCTGGCCCCCACACTGTTCCACGCACCTATTCCATGTTCCGGCCCAGAAATATGGCCAAAGGGACCTTGCCTTTGGGATTTTGTTCCCCAATCAAAATCTCATCTTGCTAAGATGAAATGTTAAATTAAAAGCTTAAAAACACAATACCTTTTGTAAGCTTCAAAAATTATATGTAATAGCCATTTTCATGGCTGCTTCACTTTCTACCCAGGTGAGGGAGACGTTAGAGCTTTGGGTGTTTTTTTGTTTGTTTGTTTGTTTGTTTTTCTGAATGTATTCTAGGAGTTACAGTAGGAGCTAAATGAAGCCTTACTGAAGGCATGTGTCAATTATGATCTTAATATTGGCTGTAACATGCTATTAGGACACCTGTTCTTGATGGATATATCACATTTTAAGACTTCCAATGTGACCTGGTTGTCTTCCCCACCCTCCTTGCAGACCGCCAGGTGGAAAGTTACCTCCAAGGAGGCGCTGCAGAGAATCAGCGAGTACTCCGAAGCCGCGATCACCATCAGGGGAACATACTTCCCTCCTGGCAAAGAGCCCAAGGAAGGAGAGCGGAAGATCTACTTGGCAATCGAAAGTACGTACTGTTGCATCAGGATTGACATAGCTGGATAGGCATCAGGAGAATTGAGATCACTTAGAGAGGGTGGAAATAAGAAAACAAACTTTCATGCATCGTTACGGGTGGGGGAAGGTCTTCAGAGGTGAGCGATGGGTCTGTAGGATTCTTTCCATTTTGACAATTTAGTCAAATTTGGCAAATCTAAAAGAAGAGGACTGACCAATTCATGCTTCTACTAAAATGAATATTCTGTTTAAAATTTAGCTGCTTATTGCTGTCTGTCGAGTGACTTCTTGAGATTAATTTTGCACAGTCTGTATTCATTTCTGAGAAATCAGCTGGTAATTTTCAGAACTGTCCTTGTCTGGGAAGGGGAAACTCCTGATGTTGCAGGCATTGCTTTGCTCTGTGTGTTGGGACAGACTGTTTCTAGCTCTGCCTAGCCCTTCACTTTATGCTGGTACAGTCTCCCCTTCCAGGGGAGGGCCGAGAGCCTTTCCTTGGTCCAGCTGTTTCCTTCTTATCAGTCAGTGTACCTTGTGCCTCTTCCTGCACTTTGTGCCAACTGCATATCCCACCCTTACTTTTGGTGGCTGTCTATGTATTCCCTTACCTTCTGGCCAATGTGTTAACTGGCTCCATATCCAGTTTGTACCAGATGTCCCATGAGCACCAGAGCTGCACCAGTCTCAGGATTAATTTTCGCCTACTTAGATTGCTGTGTACAACATTTCCCTCCTGTATTGGACATCCTTCTCTCTCTGATTTGACTGCGTAGTCAGATCTTAGCACCTTATTTTGCTGTTCACGTTCAGGAGTGTGTGCTGCCCTGTGGTGTGAGCATACTGCTCTGAATGGGCTGAGCGGCAGGGCCTTCACTCGCTGGGGAGCAGGGAGCTTGGTAGAGGTATCAGTGCACCCACCTGCCCTTGTGGATGCTTGATACCAGATTGTCTGGTATTCTACAAGATAGTACAGAGTGTGAAAGAGGAGTAGTGTGTATAATGAATTTCTTGCAAGATGTCCTAGGTGGTACAAGAACATCTTGCAAATGAGTATCCCCACCCATGCCATACTGGTGATCCTTGTCCTCAGCACGTGCACTGCTGTTTGGAGAACACTGTCCCTGTGTTGTTCTTGCATAGCCACCAAGGATCTGAAAGGGCTTGTTCAGATGACACCTTTCTGAAACATTTGCCAACCTTAAGGAAAAACGATGAGTGTCTAATAAATATTTGTTAAGCCTTTTATAACCTTTTTGGGACAAATTGCTGATCTTAAGGTGTGGTATCCATCTGACAACGGTTAAGCTGCTGCTTGGGCCACCCTCATCCCACAGCAGCATGCCTGGGTTTGAGTTCTGGCTCTGCTGTGACTCTAGATTCCGCCCCCCAGTGCATACTCAGGGAGGCAGAGAAGTGGATTCTCTGCCACCTGCTGTAGAGGCCTGGGTTGCATGCCTTTCTGACTTCTGTCTTGGGGCCAGCACAGCTCCAGCTGTTGTAAGCATTTGGGGAGTGAAACAGAAACTGGAAGATACTTGTTTCCTGTATGTGTGTCTTATTTGCCTTCCAACTAAGTAAAAATAAATAAATAAGTTTTTTGAAAACAGATTATGTAATGAGGTTACATTGGAATCAGAAGAGTAAGCAGCCAGCACAAAATGTGGGTGCTGTTCTGCCAAGCCTTGAAAGGCTGTCTTAGCCGAAGTGTGGTGTCCCTAAGAGTCACCTACACTGTTTTTTCTTAGATGTCTGTGGCATGAGTGCAAGTCCAGTGTCATTCTGATAATGTGACTAATATGTTTTCTACCTGCTCACCAGGTGCCAATGAACTGGCTGTGCAGAAAGCAAAAGCGGAAATCACCAGGCTCATAAAAGAAGAATTGATAAGACTGGTGAGTAAAAATGTTGTTTTACTCTTAACGTTTTATTAAATGATAACAGACAAGTACACAAATCATTACCAGTATGTTTGATCAATTATGTCAAAAGAGGCACTCGAGGAACATCACAACTTAGGTCTAGAAATGTAGACCCCAGCAGCCCTCCTCAAAGATCCCCACCCCACATCACCTCACAACTCACCAAACAGCCCTGGGGTGACTTAAGCTATAAGTCCTTTTTCCCTCTTGTTGAGCTCCACGTTAGGGAAGTCATACGCTATCGGCACCTTTTGTGTGTCATTGCTTCCCTTCAGCGTTATTTTGAAGAGCTCAGTCCATGTTGTTGGACTCAGCAATAGTTTGTATATTTTCATAGTGTGTAATAGTTCAATTATGTGACTATAAACAGTGTATGGACTTAAAATTATTTCAGTGTTGGTTTCATACCTGACATGCCTGTGAACATTTTTCCATGTCTTTATTACGTAGTAGTGTATTTTTTTTTCTTGGGCATGTACCTTGGAGTAGAATCGTTAATTGTAGAGTGTGTATAATTTACTAGTAGGTTTTGCCAAGTACTTCTCCAAAGGAGTGATTAATTTGCACTCCTGCAGCAGCGTATGAAGATCAAGCTGTTCCTTCGGTTTGCCAGCACATGGGGTTGCTGGTGTTTTCACTTGGCGACTTCAGTTTTGAGACAAGACCCCCTCACAGGCCACCCTACCATCCCTGTGCCATCCGCACCAGTGGAAGCTGCCCTCCTGACGTGCCCAGCAGGATGGAGGGATTTCTGAAAGGAAACATTATCCTTCTCTAAGAATGTGCTTTTGAAAAAACTGTTGTAAAATTTGCCTCACAGGACATTGTTTTCAGGGCAGTGTTAGAGAGGTTCACACAGCCGGGGGTCTGGGCGCAGCTTCTCAATCAGGCGCTGAGTGCTGCTGTTTGGAGTAGTCCTGGTCGGGGAGGATCCTGCCTCTGGAGTGCGGAGACAGGGAGCAGCTGACTGGGCCAAGACAAATAATTCTTCACTGGGAATTTCTTCTTCCGAGTGAACTAAATCCTAACACTTCAATTTATGCAGGTTTTATGATTTTAGAAAGTGATAAAGAATGTGACCTTAAAGAATTCCCCTCCTTTGTTTTTCTTTTCCTGACCACATATCTTTTTTTTTTTTCTTTCTTATTTTAGCAAAATTCATACCAACCAACCAACAAAGGAAGATACAAAGTCTTATAAGCATCTGGAAAAAAAACATTTTTACTTGTGCTGGTCTGTAATACATGTGAAAGTTGTTGTCTGACGTTTACAATGTATTGTAAATTAAGATTTTTTAAAATTCTGCCTTGCTAAATTTTTGAATACAAGAAACCAGTACTTGCTAGGGAAATCTGTCAGTAAGTACCCCACAGTTGTTTGGACTGTGTTTCAAACAAGCTTGTTTGGAGAGTAGAATGTCGTTTAAATGTAAAACTGATGTTTTAGCTGCCTGGGTAGTAAGTAGACAAGAAGTTTAACAGAGGGAAATGCTTGGACTTTGTCTTGAAGGTAATAAAGTACAAATGTCACTAGGGGGCTCTTCACCTAATCCTCCTCCGATGAAATTGTGATCCTCTCCTGGAAGAATGCAATATTCTCTGTCATATTTTGTGTCCCCCTCCACCTTTGTCTTAAATCTTCCCTGACTCAGTGAAACAATATGAACTGGATTTAAGAATATTATAATACAAGTTTTGCAAAGTAGGTCCAGAGATTTTGTTTCAGTTTTTACTGTAAATGGGTAATAGTTGGACTACTTCTTTTTGTTTTTGTAAAATTAAAGATTTGTAGAACTAAAATTTTTTTTGCATTTCTTTACACTGCAGAGTTTTAATATTTGCAACTTTTAGGGTCCCCTCACAGCCTCTGGCTCTGTGGCTGATTACTAATAGTTTCTAAATTGTTTTTTAAAAGAAAATGTCTATAATCCATAAATATTAAATACCATTCAGTTTTTCCTCCTAAAAGTGTTTATACATTGGTATGTATGGTACATAATGTATGTGTACATACGTACATCTGTTTGTACAGTATGACTTGTAATCTGATTTCCTTAGGATTATTGCGTAGGTTGTAAATTTTCTTTCTTACAGTTTTTAAAGAGTAATGCTATCCATCTGTTAGAATTAGTGTGTCCTCAACATTTGTCAGTGAAATTTAAGGCACAAGGAATCCTACATTCTGTTTCAGAGCCCTCAGTGTCTTGTGTCTGACTGTTTTAATTTAAATTTCTGTGTTTGGTTTACCTGGTTTTCTTTTGTGATGTATATTAGGACTTCATTTCTTACCATTCTTGGGGAACAGTTTTTTTGTTTTGTTTTTTCAGGAATAAAATAGATACATTTCTTAAGTTGAGCTACTCAGAATCTTTTTAGATGTTTTTGACTTACAGTTTTTATTTATCCCAACCCCATTACCTCCAAAAAAAGAAAATTGAAAGCATACTATAATTGTTAAGACCGATTGTTTAATGACATAGTTTGTGGAAAATGTGACAGGGAATATCAGTGTTTATTTTTTTTCAGCAGGAGCTTAGCCTTAATGAAATATAGTATGACCGGGGGACACTTAATTTTTGAAGGAAGAAAATGGGCAAAGCACGTGAAGCCGCAGAAGCAGATAAATAATGTACCCTAAAATTCCAGGCATCCTGGGCTCACCTCGCCTCAAGTTTGTTTCTTTGTTTGTCTTTACCACCTAGTGGTAGTTTGTTGTGGTGGAATGTATGACAGTCCCACATTGGTGACAATCTGGTGCTCCTGTCAGCCAACTGGATCACTTCAAGATTCAGTTTCACATCATTTAGTGTTTATGTTTGTATGTGTTGTGGTGAGCCACTGATAGTGTTTTGTTTTCAAATGAAGCATAATTATTAGTACAACTTTTTAGTGTCACCAGCTCCTTTTTAAAATTTGAATGATGTACAGACTTTAATTTGTTTTTAATGCGATATCAATATTTGCTCATGTTTTCTAAATTCCTTATAAAATAAAATTAATTCAGTCTGCATTTTTCTAAAATTATCCTTTCTTCAATACTTTGTCCACTGCTGCTTCTTCTAATTTTGCTTATGTGAGTGTTCATATGAAAGATGCACTAATCTCTTTATGAGAAAATTCTAAGTGAGTGCCTCGTGGTACGATGGGCTATGCTGCTGCTGGAGATCCCCACATCCAGTAGTGGCATTCAGTTTGTGGTGGCGGCTGCTACTGCCACCTCTCCCACCCCCTTTTCTTTTTTTAGATTAGTTTGTTTATTTGAAAGGCAGAATTAGCAGAGAGCTCGAAAGACAAAGAGCAAAGAGGGAGATCTTCCACTGGTTCACTCCCTAATGTTCACCATCACTGGAGCTGGGACAGGAGCCCAGGACTCCAGCTGGGGCCCTCACCTGTGTGTCAGGAATGCAAGCATTTAGACAGTGTTGCACTGTCTTGCCAGTGCAGTTCGCAGAGTGCCACCTCCGAGGCAGAACGGCTAGCACTTACCTGGTACTCATGCAGGATACCAGCTTCTGCTTCTGAGCCAGCTTCCTGCCTTCAACATGGGAGATTGAGAGGAATTCTAGGCTGCTGAGTTTGGCCTGGTCTAGCCCTGCCTTTGTAGGCATTTGGAATACGAAACAGCAGATGGAAAAATTCATCTGTCGCTTTCTCCCTCTCTCCCCGACTCTACCTCCTTATTCCTATCTTTTTCTCTCCCTGCCTTTCAAGTAGATCAAAATAAATTAAAAAAAAAAAAAGATCTTGGCAGCTTATTGTAAAGAAGTCTTCAGATCTTTGATCTTTGTGTTTAGTATGAGACAAACAAAAGTGAGATTAGTGCTCATTTGCCATGGGGAAATGTCCTCCTGGGTGACACCTACTCCCACAGAGCAGAGGTACAGGATGAGGAATGGAGGCTCTGTCCCAGGTCCTTCAGGACCCTGCATTAATGTCTACTGCTGCTAGCAATGGCAGGACATGAGATCTGATCCCCCTCTGGAAACACCTGCCTCTCTGAACCCTGTTTGTCATGGTGCCTGCTTGTTGCTTTCTCCTGTGGAAGGTCCTTAGTTACAGATGTACATAGTTTGTTTCTAAAAATGGGCTGTGGTGGAAATGAAGTTTAGAGTGAATAGTTGCATTTTTAGGAAAATGTCCCATTTTGCTGCCTTTTAAATCATACTGAGTTCTTGCAGCAGTCAAGTTCAGAATGAACAATGTACTGTATGGAAAAGACTTCCACTCAGATTTGTGCACAGCGCTGCCAGTTCTTACCATGCGAGTGTACAGTTTCTGTGTAAGAAGCAGATTCTCAGGAAGAGCTGAGGTTTGTCTTTTAAAGAGGGAAGTGTATACTCAGGCACAGAAGAAACGAGAAGAGAAATGAGAGCGGAGTCAGGGTAGAGGGGTCTTAGTGTTTTATTTAGGTATGACCATCAGTGAACTGAAGATTGGGATCGTCCTGTGGTGAGCCAAGCAACGTGGAACGCTGGATCGCCTCCTCCGACAGGCTGCCCACAAAATGGCCGCTCTGCCCTCAGGCCAGCACTGGAGTTGCCCGCAGCTGCTTCCCACGCCCAGGGATGAGTCCCTGAAATGCTGGCAGTTAAGGCTATCTGAAGGTTTGTGTTTTGTTTGTTTTTCCTTCATTATTTATCATTTTCCTCAAGGAGGAGACCAAGTAGGAATGTGAGGGGAAAAGTAAACAACATTCTTTTTAAAAATTCCTGCAGTGTTGCTGGTTTCTCTTTACTCCTGTGTTAAGGCTTAGCTGGTGTGTGTGAGAGAGAGTGAGCGAGAGCATACAGTCAGGTCACATGACCAGGAAGGAATTCACTTTTGATTATTTTTCTTGACCTTGTTCTCTTCCAAATACGGCATCAGATTATAGGAGTTTGTGATTTTCAAGCTCAAGCCTCTAAAGAGAAAGTCTGACTTTGCATTAATATTTTTCTCGGGGTTGGCTGGAAAGTATGAAATGTAAAGGATATTTTGTAGGAATGGAATTGAGAGTTGTTTTTTTTTTTTAAAGGATTACTGTTAAACCTGGAGTTTTAGGGAAAAGCTGGGGTGGGGCAGGGATTAGCATATAGAAATTGCTGGTAGCCTATGTGTAGAATATTGTCATCCTGTCATAATTTTGTATTTTGTGGTTTAAAGGAAATGGGAAAATTTAAAGTAAAAAGGTTTTTTTTTCCCCCCAGGGGTCAGCATTGTGGCAAAGCATGTTAAATAAGCAACCTCCCATAATGCACTGGTATTGCATATGAGCTGCAGTTCTGGTCCCAGCTACTGCACTTACAGTCTTGCTCCCCATTAAGGCTTTGTAAAGCAGTGGTAGATGACCCAAGTAGGAGAGACCTGTGTGGAGTCCAGACCACTGCTGTCAGCCTGGCCCAGCCCAGTTGTATGGCCGTTTAAGGACTAAAACCAACAAATGAGAGCTCTTTCTGTATCTCCCCCTCTCTGTAAATCTGGCTATCGAATAAAAAAATATTTATATGTATATATATTTTTTAAATTAACGATTCAAGTTTTTTTAAGATTTATTTATTTTTATTGGAAAGGCAAATCTACAGAGAGGAAGATCTTCTGTCCGATGGTTCACTCCCCAAGTGGCCACATAGGCTGGAGCTGAGCCAATCTGAAGCCAGGAACCAGGAGCTCTTCCAGGTCTCTGACGTGGGTGCAGAGTCCCAAGGCTCTGGGCCATCCTCGACTGCAATCCCAGAGCACAAGCAGGGAGCTGGATGGGAAATGGTGCCGCTGGGATCCCAGGCGTGCAAGGCCAGGACTTGACCCACTACGCCATGGTGCTGGCCCAGCAACTTGTTTTTATTGGAAAGTCAGATATACAGAGAGGAGTAGAGATAGAGAGGAAGATCTTCTGTCCGATGATTCACCCTCAAGTGGCCCCAGTGGCTGGAGCTGAACCAATCCAAAGCCAGGAGCCTCTTCCTGGTCTTCCACACAGGTGCAGGTGTTCACTGTCCTGCAGAGATGGACTTGGTGCAAGGAGCCTGAAAATAAACTCTTGGACTACTGCCTGATGGTTAACAGCCAAAGTTTATTAACAGTATCAGACTTTTTAAAAAGATAGGCATCCAGGGAGGGGGCTTGAGCCATTTACATTTCAACAGCAAGGGACAGTTCCCCCAAACACAAATTGTTCATCTAGCAGGTACTTTAGCTAAACCTATGAACCTGTAGGTTTCCTGTTTATTCATCTGCATATCAACTGTTTGTTCCTGGCGCCTTCTGGTGGAAATTATCCCTAGCTCTGGTTTTGCTTGGCAGAAGTTGACAGTGTCCTTCCACAGGCAGGGGCCCAAAGCTTTGGGCCTTCCTGGACTGCTTTCCCAGGCAACAAGCAGGGAGCTGGATGGGAAGTGGAGCTGGAACAAGAATCCACACCCATAAGGGATCCCTGCATGTGCAAAGGCTTAGCGGTTAGGCTATTGCACTGGGCCCACACATACAAATTTTTAAGAAGCTTTCATTTGGACTTCTTAGTAAATAGAAACTTAGCAGCCTGTCAGCTGTACCCAAGTGATGTTTAGCTGTCCTTGTCATGTTACTTTGGCATTTTTTCATGCCTTCCAGCTGCCCAAAGCATCCTTGGAGGCAGTTTTCTTACACATTTGCCTGAGAGTCTTTCTTTCTTTCTTCCTTTCTTTTACTGGAAGGGCTGATTTACAGAGAGAAGAGACAGAAAAATCTTCTATCCACTAGTTTACTCCCCAAATGGTCTCAACAACTGCAAGGAATCCAGTCTAAAGCCAGGAGCTTCTTCCCGGTTTCCCATGCAGGTGCAGGGTCTCAAGCCTCTATCTAGGTCATCCTTTATTGCTTTCCCAGGCCACAAGCAGGGAGCTGAATGGGAAGTGGAACAGCTAGAGTACAAACCAGCACTTACATGGGATCCCAGTGCTCTGCAGGGTAAGGATTTTAGCCCCTGAGCAATCGCACCAGACCCTTTCTTTCCTTTATTTTTATTGGAAAGATATACAGAGAGGAGGAGAGGCAGAGAAGAAGATTCTCTGTCCAGTGATTCACTCCTCAAGCAGCTGCAACAGCTGGAACTGAGCCAGTCTGGAGCCAGAAGCCTCTTTTGTCTCCCATATTGGTGCAGGGTCCCAAGGTTTTGGGCTGTCCTAGATTGTTTTTCCAGGCCACAAACAGGGAGCTGGATGGGAATTGGGAGTGCCAGGATTGGAACCAGCACCCATATGGATCCTGGTGCATGCAAGGCAAGGACTCTACCCTCTAGGCCACCATGCTGAGCCTTTTTTTTTAAATGAAGATTTATTTTTTTATTTGGAAGGGGGCATTACAGAGAAGAGGCAGAGCAAGCTCTTCATCCTCTTGTTCCGTTCACAGATGGCTCTACCAGAGCCAGCTTCTTCCAGGTGTCCTACACTTGAGCCATCTTCCTCTGCTTTCCTAGGCGCATTAACAGTGTTGGGTCAGATTCGAAACTTCAGGCAATTGAGTGAGCAGTCTCTCAGGTGGGATGCTTGCATCTCAAGTGGGGCTCAAAGCCATGCACAATACCAGCCCCTGAATCCAAGCTTCCCATTTCTCAGACAGTTCCTGGCTCTCAGAGCCCCTGTTGGGCGTCTCAGATTTGCAAATTGGGAGGGGATTGGGTGCTTTGACAGCCAACACTGCTCTGTAACTGCTTATTGTTCTCATGTTGGAATTCAGATTATGCAATTCTGTGATACACATTCAAGCATGGGAATCACTGATAATCTTTGTATACTTTTGCTCTTGAATTTTAATTGCCTGTGTTCTAAAACTGTGTTTTCCTTGGTGGGAGAAGGAAGTCCTCAAGCTTGTGTTTGTTTTTCTTTTCCTCTTTCTCTTTTTTCTTTCTTCCCTTCTCACATCTCCTGGGAGAGAGCTTCCATCCACTCGCCGAATGTCCACACAGCTGGCTGCATGGGGCTGATGCTGGGGAGTTTGGAAGTTAGTCCAGATCTGCAACATAGGTATCAAGAACTCCATTGCTGAGGCCTCACCATTTCCTCCTAGGAGCTGCATTGAGGAGCTGGGGATTGAACCCGGACACTCGAGGATGGGATGTCAGCGCCCTCTGTCAGCGCCCTCGGCACAAGCCTTAGCATTGCCTTGTCCTTTAAGCATATTTCATGTGTAAGTTTTTGTAAGACGTTAACACTATTCGCCTAACAGCTTATACACATACATGGGAAGGATCTCTCTGGAATCAGGTGGTATTTTTCAACCACTTCTGACATTTTCTATGTGCATTTTAGTGTGCTCATGTGAACTACAGCTTCCCTGAGCAGTCACCACTGCTCCCCGTGACCTTCCTTGAGCAGGAAGCTGGAGCAGGTGTGGAGCTGGATACCTAATCCAGGCCAGGCTACGCGTGCAGGTGTCCCACTGGCATCTCAGCCACCAGGTCCACACCCCTTCAGTGTTGCTGTGTGCAATGTGGGAGTTCCAAATCTGGTTCCTTCATGACACAGTTGGGGAATGCTCCAACCTGACGCAGCCTCAGATCACACTTCAAGGTTGGACAAGGCTCACAGACTGAAAATTGGGCACTGTGGAAGTTTTCTTAATATATACCCTAGAGTGTGTGTGTGTGTGTGTGTGTGTGTGTGTGTGTGTGTGTGTGTGTGTGTGTGTGTGTGTGTGTATAGCTTGACTGACAGTGCTGGAGGACCTGGTGCGATAGTGTACTGGTTAAAGTCCTGTTAAAGATCCTTGCACACGCCAGGATCCCATATGGTCACCAGTTCTAGTCCTGGCAGCGCCACTTCCCATCCAGCTCCCTGCTTGTGGCCTGGGACAGCAGTCTAGGACAGCCCAAATCCTTGGAACCCTGCACCCAGCCGTAGCGCTCACTTGGGGAGTGAACCATCAAACAGAAGATCATCTTCTCTGTTTCTTCTCTCTATATATCTGCCTTTAAAAAAACAAACAGTGCTGGAAAGGTCAGATTTATTTATTTTTGTTGAAAAGGCAAGGCAGATTTACAGAGAGAGAGGAAAGATCTCTGCTGATTCACTTCCCACGTTGCCACAAAGGCCGGAGCTGAACTGATCAGGAGCCAGGAGCTTCTTCTGGGTCTCCCACACGGGTGCAGGGTCCCTAGGCTTTGGTTCTACTGCTTTCCCCAGGCCACAATCAGGGAGCTGGTTGGGGAGTTGAACAGCCAGAGTATAAACCACCACTTGTTTGGAATCCTGGTACATGCAAGGGAAGGATGAAGCCACTGGGCAACGTCCACGTTTTCTCACGTTGTATGGGGTATCCCTTGTGAAAGCTTGTCTTTGAAATTCCTACCTTCACACTCTGCCCCACTCCCCTGAGCCAAGGGGTTGTATTTTTCAAAGAGCTCATCCTGTGAGTGTGAGCAGCCCCCAAAGAGCGTACTTGATCCCGCCCTTTGTTACATCGATGAGACCACTGCCTGATGTGAGAGGAGCCAGACTGGATAGTAGGCAGTTAGGATATTCTCGGTACCCTAGTCATTTTTCTCAAATATAAAATGGTATTTTCTCCACCATGTCTTGGATTCACCAGAGCTTGTTTCTCCCAAGAGACAAGTACATATTTAACATATCAAGGACAAGCTTCCCCAAGAGACAAGGGCTATATTAAAGTAGCCAATTCCATCTCTGGCCATTGCAAAGGGGGTAGTGTCAGACTGGTCTCTGTCTTTACAAAAACTGAGGAAGTTCACCCATAGCACCTTTTGAGAGCTTTTGTCCCAAGGCCAAGTACAATGGAAACCAGGAATTTTCCTTTGTTAGTGGAAAATCTTTGAAGTGAAGTTTGAAAAAACGCTATCCCCACCTTTACTTGGGTTTTCTCTTTCGCTGCTACCACTATGGTAGGAGGTTTGGGTTTTTTCTCTCTTGAAGCCCCCTCCTGTCACTAAGACTGGAGCCTCTTCTCAGCTTTTCTAATAAATCTTGCTTTAAAACTAAACTGTGTCAGGCCTGGCGCAGTGGCCTAGAGGCTAAAGTCCTCGCATTGACCGTGCCAGGATCCCATATGAATGCCAGTTCTAATCCAGCTGCTCCACTTCCCATCCTGCTCCTTGCTTGTGGTCTGGGAAAGCAGTTTAGGCCGGCCCAAAGTCTTAGGACCCTGCACCCACATGGGATACCTTGAGGAAGTTCCTGGCTCCTGGCTTCAGATTGACTCAGCAGCAGCCATTGCAGTCACTTGGGGAGTGAATCATTGGATGCAAGATCTTCGCTGTCTCTCCTCTCTATGTATGTGACTTTGCAATAAAACTAAAATCTTTAAAAAATTTTTGTTGTTTTTAGTTTATTTGCACGATGTTACTACAGACAAGGAGAGCCATTCCACCCCACTCCCCAAACGACCAGGACTATGGCTGTGCCAGGAAGAAGGTGGGGCCTGACTCTTGGGCCATCTGCTGCTTTTTCCAGACTGCAGGGAGCTGGATCAGTATTAGATCAATGGAGTACCATTCTGTAAGTCTGAGAGTTCCATATTCAGCAATATTTGAATATTCATCGTTCTGTTTACAATCCTGTGTCACCCTATATATCCGTAAGATAGTGAAAGGCTGTGCCCCATTAGTAATTTTTTAATGAAATATTTATTTTGATGATTTTTACATAATTAGGGTGATAAGGGTCAAGGGCTACAGGAAGGTGGGTTAGACCATTATTTCCACATTTTCTTTTCTTCTTCCTGTATCTGGGGGAAAGGGGGAAATAAGGGGGCAGTTACACCCAGCCTCACAAATTCCTCTGTACCCTGGGATGGAGGAGTGAGAACTCCATTTGTTGTTTCTAAATGCTCGGAAGTGGGGTCAATCGTAGTTCTCACATCACCAAATTGAGGTACAGATCAGCAAGATTACCGTCCCGTACTCCGGGTTTTTCCAACCCGGCCGGAGCTGAGAAGGTAATCCAGCACGACTGGACGCGAAATCCGGCCCAGCAACGCCGCGCAAGCGCAGCTTGCCTCCCTGTGCCTGCGCCCCGGCCCTCGGCGGGAGATTGCATCTCGCGAGGCGTTGTGCGTGCGTGCGCGTGCACGGCCCTCGCGAGTTCGCGCACGACGCTGCTCGCAGTCCGGGGCTTTCGCGGCCTCTTCCTCTTGCGTCCAGGCCCGGGACTGTGCGCCTCGACCGCGGCAGGGAGCTGGGATCCCGCGTCCACCTCGCCGCTCTCGCTGCCTGGCCCTCGGCCTCGGACGCTCCGCGCGGCTCGGAGGCCCAGCCCATGGGAAGCCCCTGGACGCGCTGAGGCGCCGGACGACGAGCCGCTGCGGTAGGTGGGCGCGCGCGGTCCGTCAGGGGCCAGGCGCCTCGGCCGGCCTAGCCGGGCGGCGCGGAGTTCCTGCGGGAAGTGCCTCGGCCGGCGGGGCCCGGGGACGGCTGGTCCTTTTCTGGGCGCCGAGCGGTCAGGCTCCGCGGTCCCCGGGTCCGCCGTGGGTGCTGCGCGGGCGGCGGGCGCCTCTCCCCCGCCGTCCCCTTCGAGTTGGGCGGCTGTGGGTTTGGGTTTTTCGGCGAGTCCGCAGCCCTTTTCTGTGAGCGTGGGCCTGCGTCTTCTGCAAACTTGGGGTTGGCAACACGTTAATGCTCAGTTTGGGGGCGCACAGCAGGTCATGCATTTTCATCAAAAATAAATAAATAAAACTCGAAGCAGAAAGGCTTGTGACCTGGGGGATATGCTACGCCCATCGGGCAGCACTGGGGAACCGGAGGGAGACAAAGGAGGCCGTTAGGGACGTTCCCGGCTGGCAGGGAAAGTTTCCGCGCTGTGGGCGGGTCGCGCGGAGTGTTTGTTTTGGCAGGCATCAGGTATTGTTTGAGTGGATTGTTGCTTGGGCTAGCAGGCTTCGTGCATCCTTGGTGAAGTTACTGAAATGAGTTGTCATCCGCTCCTTTTTATTTTGCCGCACTCGAGGAGCTCGTGAGGGATTTGCAGGGTTACAATAATGACAGTTTCCTGGCTATTACTCAAGTAGGCCTCGAAGTTTCTGTTCTAGCCACGGTTCACCAATGCAGTCCTGTTAACTCCCCTTTGAAAAATTGAACCTTTTTTTTTTTTGTAATGACTGCCCACTGGTGTGAGGGTGTGAGTGTGCACAGTATGTTCTAATTCTTGGCTTCATACTTGGTAGAAATATTTGCTTTTTGAGTATGCCTGGCTTACTTACTGCCCCATGAACTTTATTAGAAGTTAGCTGGCGTGCCCTAAAGTGGGGAAGAGAGAGACATTTTGTAATGAAAGGTTCAGTGGGTGAGTGTAGACAGTGGCACGCATCCGCATCCTAGGTTGAAGTCTGAGGTGGAGGACTGTTCTGCCTCTGTCGCAGGAAATTCCTTTTTTTGGGCGGGGGGAAGCGGTGAACAGACCACTGTTGGCAGCTAGCAGAGGGAGGAGAGTGAGAGGAAGACCCATACCTCCCACACGTCCTCGTAGCAGCTCTGCCTCTCTTGTCTGTTAGGGAAGGCCGAGCTGTGTCTCCGGTACTTTGATGTCGCCTGGACTCAGGCGTAACTTGCTGCAGGGGGGTGGCTTTTCAGAAGCGGCAGGTCTCATTTTGTAGTGGTGTGAGTTGATAACTGCGGAAAGGATCTGCGGTAGCATTTTGCCCCCATAAGTCCAATGTGTAAGCTGAGATCATATATCCTGAGTGCTGATAGACGGTGAGTGTTCCAGTGTATTAGGGGAAAATGAGGCAGGGAAGTGAATCCCAGAGGGGAGGTTTTGGTAAGTTTAGTGATAGGAACTGAAAGGCCTGACTCATAAAACATTGACACAGTGTGGGAAGAAATGTTTTCTCCCTTTCCCGGCAGCCCTACCTGTGGAAGACAGCTTGGCCCTTTCACCTCTCATTATCAGCACGTCTGGCAGGACTCCCTAAGTAGTCTGGTTGAAAAGGGGTTCACTTTGTTCTCTACTTTGACTCACAGGCGTGTGTCTAGTCTAAGTGTATTGTCAGTACTCTCTTTTGGGTTCTGTCAGGAAGGTTGTAACTTGGAGGGTGGAGGACTGTATTTGGGTCCTGCACAAATCTAGCATTGGCTGGCTATTCTTCCATTTGGAAAATCAATCTGTTTGCACTCTCAGCCAAAGGAGTCAGTGGATTTCTGGAGACGTGGAGGCTGAAGAAGGGGATAAACTTAAACAGGAGGATTTGTTCAGTCCTGTGGCGGTTTTAAAAATTATTTGTTTAATTTTTATGTGAAGGGGAGAGACAGAGAGGTGGAGACAGAGATCTGTTGATTCACGATCCAGATGCCCACAGGAACCAGGAACTCCGGCGGCTCTGCTGTGTGGGTGGCAGGGAGCCAAGCCCTTGAGCTACTGCTGCAGCCCCCAGGGTGGACATGAGCAGGAAGCTGCAGTCAAACCCAAACCATCCCAGGTAGGGTGAGGGCATCCCCAGCCATGTCTCAGCTGCTATGCCAGAACGGCTGATCCTTTTGTTTTCATCTTGGTGTAGCTGAGTAATTCTTGAGGTTGTGGGGGTGGATTTTACCCTTGAGGGAATATGGAACAGTGACTGGAGACATTTTCGATCTTCCCATTGGCAGGAGTGAGAGCAGACCTAGTGCTGACCCCAAGGACCGTGCTGCTGCTAAAGAGCCCTGTGATGGCCTGTGGGGGCCAGCTTTGTGGCCTGGCAAGTCAGGATGTCACCTTCCTGGCCTCAGATTCAAGTCCTGGCTGTTCCATTTCCTATCTGCCTCCATACAGTGTGTGGGAAAGTGCTGGAAGGTACCCCAGGCTGGGGCCCCTGCCATCCACATGGGAGACTTAGATGCAGATTCCAGGACCTGGGTTTGGATTGGCCCAGCCTTGACTGTGCAGCAGATAGAAAAGCTCGCTTTCTCTGTAACTGCCTTTCAAATAAACAAATCTTTAAAAATAAAAAAGTTTGTGCCTTTGTTTTTGTAAAATAGAACTAGCAGTAGTATATTCCTCATGGGTTTACACTGAGGATTGAATATGTGCAAAGCATCGAGCTTATTGCCTGGCACATAAAAAAGCCTAAAAACAGAAAGCTGTGGTAGCCTAGGGGCTAAAGTCCTCACCTTGTATGAGCCAGGATCCCATATGGGTGCTGGTTCATATCCCAGTGGTCCCGCTTCCCATACTGCTCTCTGCTTGTGGCCTGGAACAGCAGTCAAGGACGGCCCAAAGCCTTGGGACCCTGCACGCATGTAGGTGACCTGAAAGAATCTCCTGGTTCCTGGCTTCGGATCATCTCAGCTCTAGCCATTGCAGCCTCTTGGGGAGTGAATCATTGGATAGATCTTTCTCTCTGTCTCTCCTCCTCTCTGTATAGCTGACTTTCCAATAAAAATAAGTAAATCTTGCTAATCTTCTCAGTATCGTTCCAATTTTAGTATATGTGCTGCTGAAGCAAACACAAAAAAACAAGTAAATCTTAAAAAGAAAAAGAAAGCTGTTACCTTTCAACTAAGACTGTTTTTGGAACTAATCTGATGATCTCTTGTCATTTGAAATTTAAATTTGAGCAAATAAGGTGATAATTCATCTCCTTGTTGGTGAAAAAGTAGTCCTTTAAATGTTTGTGTTCAGCCCAGCTTTTCTGTGTTCTCAGGCTGTAAAGTTTCCTGCTGTAAACAGTTTCTTACTGTGGATGTTTTTCCGTTTGTAGTTAAGATTTTAAGTCAGCTGGCCAGCAACTCTCTTGAACTTACTTTTGCCTTTACAAACTAAATTAAGTTTACAGTGGTTTCTAACTAGGAACAGTTACCTATTTGCAGCCTCTTTGAAAAATTTTTTATAGCTGAAGTCTTTGTGCAATTTTATATGTTTAAAGAATTGCAGACAAACACCTAAGGGCTTAGGACTGAACATTAGTAAGCATTTGTGGCTCTTTCTAAATGTGAATTAGAAACCATGCTTTTTACTCTTTTTTACTTCACTGCAGTGTAGTATTTTGGTCTTGGTAAAACTTTTGTTTTCTGTAAGTCTAATTGATAGGATTCTATCTGTGATGTTGGTGGTTTTAATGTGTTTATAAGGAGGGAAGAAAGAACACAGGAATTTCTTCGTAGACCAAACAGAGACTTTGGACTATTTGTTAATAGGTCACAAGGCTCCTGGAAGTAGATCCACATGGTGTTTATTATGATCAAGGGAAAAGGTAGTGTTACTCATCCAGCTTCCTGTTTTCGTAACCATGCTTTCCTAATTATTATTGCTGTTATTTTTTTTTCAAAGATTTATTAATACATTTAAATGATAGATGAGAGATCCACCATTTGCTGATTCCTTCTCTGAATGTGTGCAGCAGCCAGGACTCGGCCGGGCCAGAAGCCAGAAGCCTGGGATTCCAGCCAGGTCTTCCACATAGGTGGCAGGGATTCAAGTAGTTTGATCATTATCTGCTGCCTTCACAGGTGCGCTAACAGGAAGCTGGACCAGAAGGGCTTTTTTCCGCAATAATAATTATTCTGTTTATACAAAAGGCAGTTAGAGTGGCAGAGAACTACCTTAGGTTTATTCCCCAAATGACCACAGTAGCCAGGGCTAGTCTAGACAGGCCAGGAGTGTCTTCCCGGTTGCCCACATAGCAGAGTAAGGCATCATAATAATGTTACACCAGCTCAACACATGTTCCTGTCTTTACCATTAGCCTTTTGGGGTTTAGTAATCTAGAGGTAAAACGTTATGTTTGTTTTTAATTACACACACTTTTCGATTCCCCAGTCAGAAAACTGTTTGGCTGCTAAGTCACTATTAAAACTGAGTTATCTTGTATGATGTTTATCATTACCCATGATTAGATTGAGGGGGTTAAAAGTGAATCTGTATGTGTGTGTGTGTGTTTGTGTTTAGGAGTTATTTGGAGTTCTGCTCCTCAGCCTAATTTTAGATAATGTGTAGAGTTGTTGGAAGACTATTTTCTCATTGAAGCTGTCATATAGATATAAGTGTATATATATACTTATGCATTCTTGTCTTTTTTTTTTCTGTTAGAAAATGATGCATCCTGTTGCCGGCAGCAATCCAGCTTTCTGTGGGCCTGGCAAGCCTTCCTGCCTCAGTGAGGACGCCATGAGAGCTGCTGAGCAGTTTGACATATATTCCTCCCAGCAAAGCAAATACAGCCACACGGTTAGCCACAAACCCATGGTTTGTCAGAGGCAAGACCCATTAAATGAAACACACTTGCAGACTACAAGTGGCCGAAGCATAGAGATAAAAGATGAACTAAAGAAAAAGAAAAATCTCAACCGATCTGGTAAGCGTGGCCGGCCTTCGGGAACCACCAAATCGGCAGGATACCGGACCAGCACGGGCAGACCCCTGGGAACCACCAAAGCAGCTGGATTTAAGACCAGTCCAGGCAGACCTCTGGGCACAACTAAAGCTGCGGGATACAAAGTCAGCCCAGGGAGGCCTCCGGGTAGCATTAAGGCTCTGTCCCGCCTTGCTGATCTTGGTTACGGCTGTGCCACTGCTGCCTTTCCTTACCCTATGATGCATGGCAGAGCAATGCACGGGGCAGAGGAGAGCAGCAGTGAGGTCAAGCCACCCAATGAGTGAGGGTGGCGGGAGAGGAGGCCAGGTTCAGAAGGAAGACGGTGAATTATTCCAAAGCTTCTTGGTTTTACTTTATCGTAAATCATTTTATAGCCTGGGCTTTCCAGCTTTGTTTTGCTGTTTGATTTCCCCCCTGCTTTTGCCTAGATGATGCCGTCTGCTGACAGAGGCACTCAGGGCACACTTGTGGGGCACTGCATTGGAACATGGGCTCAGATGTGGCATCTGGCTGAATCAATTTTCTTTTTCTTCAGCATTAGCATTGGGTTTCATGTTTCATTACTTGTTTTAGGCCATTCTGAATAGTTGCTTTGTGTGCTTAACAACTGAAATCATTATACCTGTTAGTTTGGGAAATAAGTCTGCAGTATAATGTACAATCTAAGATATTTTTAACTGATGGAGCAGAAAAACGAGCTAGTGATTCAGGTTTACTAGCGGTCATGGCTGTGGGTTTTAGTCACGTTGATTGTCATGAGACAGGACAGAGGTGTGTCAATATATGCTTTGGCATTTAGTAGATTCCAAAAACTTAAATTAATGCTCTGGGTTGAAGCAGCTTCTGCGTTGTGTGGCATTAATTGATTTAACTGTTATTCCTGAAGAATTCTTCAGTGCTTACCTTTCAGGATTGAAAAGTTGCTGTATTTTTTGAGTGGCTAAGAGCATATAGACCAAACGTCACAAGCAATTCACATTTGCAAAAAATTAAAACTTAAAACATTGCACATTACATTTTTGGTAAAATATAGTGCTTTTTGAGAACAGCATATTTAATATAACATTCTTAAAGTCTGCATGTAATTATAGTCACTAATTTTTCTTTCATGTATTTAGTGAGTTTTATAGTATTATGTTGAAAACCTGTATTAGTGTTACTCATTGCTTTGGAATGTTTAGTTTTTCTGGGAAAGTGTCCCCTTGCATTAGCACTTACAGCTTCAGGTTTGTATCTACCAAAGGCCTCAAACTGGATGGTACACTGTAACACTGGTGTAAACCAAATGTGGTTTCTTGACCATCTGAACCCAAATATGAAGAAGTATATAGAAATACATCTATGCATGAAACATGAAAAATTTACTTTGAGAATTTTTTTCTGTCTCCTGGGAGACAGCTTCATCTAAAAAAAGTTTTCCTCTAGCCCTGATCCCTACCCAATACTGCTTGCTTTAGAAGCAAGACAAAAAAAGAGAAAAAGTTATTGGTAGATAAGTGTGCTAGGGACAGAAGGAAACTTCCCTCCTTTCTGAAAGTAGTATTCCATGTTAATATACATTTTATTTATTCTGAGTTTGTTCTAAAGAAAGTAGGAACTTTGGATTTGCAACATTACAATGTTTATACTTAGGATTTTAAATGCCTCTGAGATTAAAATATACATTGCCGGACCCAAAAACTTAACAATAATTAAAATTGTAAAAGGGCACGTACTGCATTGTTTGGGCATGCTCAGTTAACGCAAACTCTGGTTGCAAATGGACTTGATGTTTCCTACACTGTCAGGTTCAGCAGCAAGCCTGCAGGTGTCCCAGTGACGCCTGCCCAGTGAGCTGGACTTTGTTCTGCTCTTCATGGTGAGGAGCGTTGCATGGTGTGGGGTCTGTGCACTGGCACCTACTACAGGAACCTCAGCAACAGTGGCTTTGCACAAACAGAGAACAGTGTTGGGTGACTGCATCCTTAGTTGTAACATTCTGGCAGCTAAGTTGCTACAAGTTGCTTCTTGCAGAAGGTTAAAATGTAAGACTTTTCAATATTTACTCAGAATAGTATAACTTATACACAAATACTTGTATTTTTATTCATTTATTCATCATGTGCTCACTTTTTTATGTATCTGTCACTTAGCTGTTTTTCACAGTGTTTTTCAGCTTGATGTTTCTCAAGCTAATTCCTGCAGGCAGTTGTTTAATTAAGCGTTCTGCCATAGAGTAATACACACTCTTGTTAGAACTTTGGTTACTGTTGTATTTTACAGTAAGTCCATTGCCTGTTCAGTTTATTCTTAGCCCTGATTTAGTTATTGCTACTCTTTCTCTGCCCTTTCCTACATTCACTCCCTCCCCCAGCCCTCCAGCACATCTACTCAGTGGTGCTGTGCTGTCACAAGACGAAGCAGGTGTATTATTGCATAATGAATTTTGTGTACATGTTTTTGAAATGGTGAGATCAGCTGAAGAGGGTGTGTTCATAACAGTGTATATTGTTAGCTGTGTCCCAGGACAGAAAGGTGAATGACTGCACTTGAGAAGTCCTGCAGAAAGCCGATTCATTGTTGCTGTGAGCTGTATACACTGGTGAACATCTCCAGCTTCCACTTCACTGTTCTCCCTGTGAACAGTTTACCAGTGCCATGCTGAAGAGACATCTAAGTGATAATATGAATGAAGTCTTAAAATATAGAATATTTTTACTTCTATATAATCTAATGACCACATTGTGCATCTTTTGTAACACTGTCTCTTGTCATGATTAACACTGAAATAGCATGTTTAAAGGTTGCCTATACTTTAACAGAGTCAGTTGGGGAAAACTGGTTTTTCCCTCTGCTGTATGATTGTTCCTTGAAAGGTAAATTGCTAATTTTATACTGTGTAATTCTGTTCTTTACAAAATAGGTATCACTATTCTGTATTAAAACTGTTGGTCAGAAAATGATCTGCTGTTCAAGTAAGTTTGCTTTACTTTTTTCTTTTAAAAAAGTATTTTAACATGCCTTATTTATTATTCTTCTATTAACAAATAAGGAGCTAATACAGATAAAATTTTCATTTTTGACAGATACAGTCTTGCATAACTGATCTTTAGTATGGGATGATTTTGATACTGTCTTTGGAGTTTTGCACTGGATATTAAACACATTGGCATCATATATTAGAAGAAAATAAGTAGTATCTGGTTTGATTTTTAATATTTGGGGACTTTTTAAAATCAGTATTTCAATTTGTCTAATAATCCTTTATATTTTTATTTACTTTTTAAAGCAAATATCCGTCAACATAGTGTTCATTCTAAGCTGGTATTTGTGTGAATTTGCATATATGGTTTCACAAATTAGGACTAGAGTTTAACAAAGGGGAAAACATCTGGATCCATTTACTAGGTGAAGAGTGATCCATCTGGTGTAAGAATGACCAGTGTGTGAACTTCAGGAAAAAAGAAAAACAACAACTCTGTATTCTAAAAAGCTTTAAAAGAACAATCCAGGGGATATTAAAGGTAACTGTTAGTCATTGTCTCTATATGCAGTAAAATTTTATGATCCCTTCCTAGTGAAATATGAAAATTCTTGATAGTTACTCAAAATGCTGTTTCCTTTTCCCCTTGGACATAAATGGTGATGCTGTTATGTTTTTGTTTTTATTATGACTTCACTTTATGCTCCTAAACTCTAGGATGTATCTGAATCTTTCCATTGCTTCCCCCGCCACCTTCCTCCCACGTACACAAATCTGTGCCCTCACATGTATGTGTTTAATTTTTGGAAATATAATGTTGTAGTAATTCAAGTGTGTGATTTAAAATAATCAGTTCACTTTGATTCTTAATAAGTTTTCAAAATTTCCTTTTCCACAGATGATTATGGGGAAAGATAATTACCAATTAATTGATAAGCACGCTGTCCTCTGCTGTAAAAAGTCTGAATAGATACTGTGTATGTTTTTATGTCCATGAACTTGAGCTACTCGTGTGCAATTACGTGTATGGGAATGGAGTAGTGTTCATGATTTGTATCTACATCATCATATGGATGTATATTTATTAATAAAGTCATTACTTTAAAACCAGTGGTGTTTACTGCTTTATTTGGTGGCATAGTGCATTAGAAATAGGGATGCTATAGAAAGTAATTTTGTCATTACAGTGAATCTTGTCTTGAAGTTTTACCTGCTGAAATCTTGCCCTTAAAACATTTGTATATTGGGCCTGGCGTGATGGCCTGGTGGCTGAGGTCTTCACCTTGAACGCCGGGATCCCATGTGCTTGCCAGTTCTAATCCCGGCAGCATCACTTCCCATCCAGCTCCCTGTTTGTGGCCTGGGAAAGCGGTGGAGGATGGCCCAAAGCCTTGGGACCCTGCACCCACGTGGGAGATTGGGAGGAGTTCCTGGCTCCCGGCTTCAGATCAGCGTTGCACCAGCCTTTGTGATCACTTGGGGAGTGAATCATCGGACGGGGGATCTTTCTCTCTATCTCTCCTCCTTTCTATATAACTGACTTTGTAATAAAAATGAATTTTAAAAAATTGTGTATTTCTGACTTAAAATCCTTATAAATTGATATTTTTCTTCCCATTATGAAGATAAATTGTAGTCCAATAGTTCTGAATGAAGTCATACTTTATTTATTTTTAGAGATGTATTTTTATTAGCCTATGGGAATTGCACCATAAAATAGAAGATAAAAAAAATTACAAATACTTAGGTCCTGCATAAAATGAACAATTTGTCTTGTTCTCAGTGAAACAGTGTGGTTAGTTTTTGTTTTGTTTTGTTTTGTTTTTTTGAATATAGAAGAAAAATATTTACTGAAGAAAACTTGGGAAAATAAAATAAATAAATAAATAAAAATCCCCTTGGCCATGTTCCAGATGGAAAGTGAGCGAGTTGGGTTTGTGTATGTGTGTGTGTCATGTGCATACAAGAACAGAGAACAACCGCTTTACGTTTCCCAGGCCCTCACACTCTCCTTGCCTCCTCTCTTCCCTCCCTCTCTCCCTCTCTGTAACTCTGCCTTTCAAATCCATAAGTAAGTATTTAAAGAGACGCTCCCTCCCTGGATCTGGTGCGGTGGCCCAGTGGCTAAAGTCCTCGACTTGACTGTGCCAGGATCCCATAGGTGCTGGTTCATGTCCTGATGACCCTGCTTTCCCTCCGTCTCCCTGCTTGTGGCATGGGAAAGCAGTCGAGGACTGCCTCAAACCTTGGGACTCTGCACCCACGTGGGAGACCTGGAGGAAGAGGTTCCTGGTCTCTGCCTTCGGATCAGCGCAGCTACATCCGATGCAGTCACTTGGGGAGTGAATCACCGGCCAGAAGGTCTTCCTCTCTGTTTTCTCCTCCTCTCTGTATATCTGACTTTGCAATAAAAATATTTAGAGAGAGAGAAGCCCCAGGCCAGGCACTCTGATACGGGTGCTGCTGTGCCAGAGGCTGCACCCTCTCCATTGGTTTTTTTTTCTATAGTATTGTTACGAACTCATGGATGAAAACGTGTGGAAAGCATTTAAGTCTGTTGAAATTATTTGTTGCTCAAATTGTCTCCATCTTTGACTAGTAGGAACCAGTTGATTTCTCTCTCTGTTAGAGAAATGAGAATGAAGAGGAGTGTCTGCTGTGTGCAGGTTTATATCCCCCGTGCCTGCAGCAGCTGCAGCTGGGCGGGCCCAAGTCAGGAGACAGGACTGTCTGGGTCCCCTAAGCATGTGGTAAGGACCCGAGTACTGAACCAGCACCTGCTGCTCCCAGGATATGCACTAGTATGAAGTCAGAATTGGAAACAGGGGCAGGACTTGAACTCTGGGCACTCTGATAATGGGGTGTCGGTGTCCCAAACAACATCTTGCGCTCTACACCAAACGCCTGACCCTCCTGCCCACACAGGCATCTTTGGACAGAACACAACAATCGAGCTCTGCCTTGAGTTATGTAGGATGAATGGTTTTTGGAAGAATTTCCTTCATTTTCTTTTTTTATGATTTATTTATTTTTATTGCAAAGTCAGATATACAGAGGAGAAGAGATAGAGGGGAAGATCTTCCATCCGATGATTTACTCCCCTAGCGGCTGCGACTGCTGGAGCTGAGCCAATCCAAAGCCAGGAGCCAGGAGCTCCTTAATTGCTTTCCCAGGCCACAGCAGGGAGCTGGATGGGACGTGGGGCTGCTGGGATTAGAACCAGCGCCCATATGGGATCCTGGTGCATTGAAGCCCAGGACTTAGCTGCTAGGCTACCATGCTGGGTCCTCCCTAATTTTCTAGAATTGCTATTTTACAAAAGCATTTAAACTATTTGTGAATAGTTTAGCCTTACAAATACACTGGTGTATTTTAAGCTTTTGTAAACAAAATATGTTTATAGAAGGTGGAGTAAGCAGGAAGCAGAGGAAATAGAGGGCTGTGGTTGCCACACTGCCTGCCACAGGGGCTCTGCAGGAGTGCTCTGCTGGCCTGGCACGCCTGGCACGCCTCACCCGCAGACATTCCAGGTGCAGTGTGCTTTGCCGAGCACATTTCTTCTCATTTCAAACTGTAGTCAGACGGAGCGAGCTCTCCCATCTGCTCTTTGACTCCCCGAAAGCTGGTAGCAGCCAGGACTGGGCTGCACACAGGCCTCGCGGTTTTAGCCAATTCCCGGCTCTGAGAATGCATCCTTTAACTCTTTCTCCCTCTCCCCTTCCCCTCTGCCAGCAGCACCCCCTGCAGCCTCGCGGTTATAGACAAAGCTTTGTTCTTTTCAGGGGCTGTTACAAAGTCCTTGTCACTTGCAATTTGCTTTTGAGCCGTCCTTTGTGAAATGTTGGAACCGCGACTTGACACCAGATGTCACTGAGTCCCAGGAGGGCGTTGCCCATGGGCAAGCTTGCCTGTTCCGCTAACCTGCTAGGTTCATCTTCCTCATCTGTTACTTACAACGCAAACACATTGTTTTTTAAAACATTTTTTTATATTTGCAGCACAACACACGGGATGTGGGTTTGAGTGCCTGCACACTCGCTGGTCTGTGACGCTCGTTGAGTTCCTTCCTCTTTCAGAGGCTCAGCATGGATTCTCGGTGAGAATTAAAGCAATGCAGTACACATGAGCAGTGTGGCAGACTGGCTGGTACTCCTGGTGCGCAGGTTTGAGGTCGGCTGCTCCTGAAGGGACCTTAGGCAAGTCACATAGTGTTTTTAGTTTCTTCACTTAAAAAATCTGATACCTACACCTGGCACACTGCCACACAGCCAAAAGGCTTAACATTCAGCATGTTGTAGGAGAATTCTAGTTTTTGGTACAAGTTCAGAAATACATTTTAACTTGGAATTTTTTATGCTAAAATAAAAATGAAAATGCTGCATGTTTAATTTCAGAATGTGTACCTACTGATTGAGCCACCGGCCGGTATTGCGCGGTAATCCTCCAGCCGTCAGGTTCTCTGACAGTAGGAGCTGTCCTGCCACAGCTCTCAGTTATTCTTGCTGAGACTTGCCTGGCAGGCACTTCCAGCTCCTGAACAAGCTCTTCTCGCCTTCTTAAAAATTTCATCATGATGGAATTTTTATTTTAAGACCTTCTGTGTTTATATTCGTCATTTTATGTCAGTTTTAAATATTTTAAATGTGAGATTGGTGAAACCAGTTACAGCAAATGCTGTGCCGGATACCCTGTCTAACATGGCCAAGTGGAATCATGGATTTAAACACATTCTTTGTGATCTGAGTACTTGGCATTTCCTCGAAAGAAGTTTGCGAATCTGTTGGAAGCTCAAATACCTCTCCAAAACAAACCAAAAAATTGGATTCAGTGACTGCAGAAGGAAAGGAAGAACACATTAGGTCAGGATGCGACTGGCTGCAAGGTGGTGGCTTTGGGTTATTCTCATCACTGAAGACATCATCATATGCGTCCTATAGCAGTCCACATCATTCTGCAGTCGGCCAGCCTCCAGCATGGTTCCTGATGATCAGCGCCCCCTGGTGGCTGTGGCCATGTGCCAGCTCCTTCGGTGTGTGGCTCCGGAGTGCCGCCAGTGGGGTATTTTGACAGAGTGATGTCTGGCTTTCCAGGCGAGGACGTAACAGACATGGCAGCCCAGTTTTGTTGTCTTGGACCATTTGGTCTGAGGGAAGCCATCTGTTATGTCACGAGGACACAGATTCAGCCCCTGTGGATAGAGCCACATGGTAAAGCAGTGGGCCCTCCTGCCAACAGTCGTTGTCAGCTTGCCATCTCCAAGGCACATTTCCCAGCTTGGGCCAAGCCTTCAGATGACTGCAGACACATCTGACGATTTGAATGGAAACTCACTCAGGACCACCGGCCAGGCCACTCCTGAATTCTTGATCCACATAAATAGTGTGACATAATAAATCATTGTTGTTTAAAGACAGCAAGTCCGGTGGGTAACATGGTGCAGCACGTTAGGCTGCCACTGGGAGACACCTGCATTCCACATCAGGGCACCGGGGATGGAGCCCTTGGCAGCTGAGCCAGCTCCCTGCCGAAGCAGCTGGCGGCAGCAGATGATGGCCCACGGTGCGGTGCGAGAGGCTCTGCTGCCTGATTCCTGGCTGTGGCCTGGCCCAGTCCTGGCTGTCGCAGGCACTGGGGACTAAAGAAGTGAGTGACAGAAATTCTTTCTGTCTCTCTCTCACACACACTGCCTATTGAATAAACAATTTTTTAGACCAATTTTTTTGGTGGTGTTTGTTATACAGCATTAGATAAGACATCAATCACATAGCTAAGGAATAGCTACCTCATGAAATTTTTCTTTCAGAGGCATAATAAAGCTTTTATACTGCTGAAATGAACAGTTACTATTGTCACCAGTTAGCAGATTGGCAGAACACGAACTCTGGGCTAATTTTGCCTGCCATTTTCTCCTGGGCTAGATGTGGTTAGAGGAAAGTGCTCGCTTGCGTTACTGGCCACTGTAAATGCTTTCCAAGCGCAGCTAAGGCCCAGTGCTGAGAGGAGCTCGTATGTGTCTGCAGCCGGCCCTCTGTCCTCTCTCACATCCTCCCGCTCCACGCCCCTTAGGCTCGTAGGCAGCCGACGACCTTCCTCCTGGCTGCAGAGATCTGTTCGTTTGTAAGCATTGCTTTATGATGGAGGAGGTATTCTTCTTGCATCTCATTCATCCTTCCTTGGAGATTATCTTCTCTCCTGTATTATTTTATTTTTTTATTTAAGATTTGTTTATTTGTGGGCATGGCGTTATGGCTCAATTGACTAATCCTCCCCCTGCAAGTGTTGGGGTCACATATGGGTGCCGGATCATGTCGTGGCTGTTCCATTTCCCATCCAGCTCCCTGCCTGTGGCCTGGGAGAGCAGCAGAGGATAGGCCAAAGCCTTCAGACCCTGCAGCCGTGTGGGAGCCGCTTCAGCTCAGCTCAGATCTGGCCATTATGGACTCTTTGGGAGTGAACTAATAGATGGAAGATTTTTCTCTCTGTCTCCTTCTCTATGTAGATCTGCCCTTCCAAAAAAAATTTTTTTTAAGTTTTTTTCTTAAGAGATTTGCTTATTTATTTTAAAAGATTTATTTTTATAGGCAAGAACTTTAGTCACTAGGCTAATGCACTGAGTCCTCATTTACTTTTTGGAAGGCAGAGTACACACACACACACACACATACACAGATCTTCTATCCACTGCTTCACTACCCAAATGGCTGCAATTCCCAGAGCTTCTGGGTGGAAGCCAGGAAGCTTGAGCTTCCTCTGGATCTCCCTCGTGGGTGCTATATTTCCAGGTGCATTAGGAAGGTGCTGGATTGGATGCAAAGTAGCTGAGACTTGAACTGGAGCCCATCGGAAATGCTGGCACTGCAGGTAGAGGCTTTACTTGCTACACCATTGTGCCAGCCCCCTCTGCAGGATTTTTCTCATTCATGTTTAAGTAAAATACATTGTTGAACCATTGACGGACAGTGTGATAGCCTCTGGCGTGAGTTAGTTGTACTCCAGGATACAGTTAGTCTCAAATTGAGACTGCTTTCTAGCTGCAGCTTTGTCAGAAATTCCCTGTGTGCCAGTTTTCCTTGTTTCCCAGTGAGCCCATCAGGAATGGTGTCTTTGGGAGAAACTGAGAGGAAGGTTTTCTGTCCAATGATTCACTCCCCAACTGTCCACAATGGCTGGAGCTGAGCCCATCTGAAGCCAAGAGCCAGGAGCCTCCTTCGGGTCTCCCATGTGGGTGCAGGGAGGGTCCCAAGGCTTTGGGCCGTCCTCAACTGCTTTCCTAGGCCACAAGCAGGGAGCTGGATGGGAAGTGGAACAGCTGGGACATGAACCAGTGCCCACATGGGATCCCAGTGAATGGCAAGGTGAGGTTTCTAGCTGCTAGGCTACTGCATCAGGTCCTGTGTTTGGTTTTTTAAGGAACCTCCATACTGTTATTTGTCACGATGACTGTTCTAGTTTGTGGATTTTCTTTATTTTCTTAGCAGCTATGCATTGCTGTCATTTATGGTGTGCTTTAGGACAGAGTCTCTTAGAATAGATATCTTGGGAAGATAATGAATTATTGAGGAACCACAGTTTAATTTCCTTTTATTGTAACTGCAAGGAACATCCAGCGTTGATGAAATAGTAATGAATGCATTGGATCAAGTTCATTCTACCAAAATACGTTAACCTGATGAAGTTGAAAAAAATGGATATATGAGGATTTTCAAAATAGTCATATAAATGAATATTAAAAAAACTTTAGAATGTTTTGTTGGACTAACAAACTTTTATTTCCATTTCCATGATATATATTTTAAAGATTTATTAGAAAGTCAGATATACAGAGAAGATGGGAGACAGAGAGAAGATCTTCCTTTTGCTAATTCATTCCCTAAGTGGTCCAACGTCTGAAGCTGAGCCAATCCAAAGCCAGGAGCCTCCTCCAGGTCTCCCACGCGGGTGCAGGGTCTCAAGGCTTTGGACCATTCTCAACTGCTTTCCCTGGCCATAAGCAGGGAGCTGGATGGGAAGAGGAGGCCTCTGGGATTTAGAGCCAGTGCTCATATGGGATCCCGGATACGCAAGGCGAGGACCTTAACCACTGCGCCACCGCGCCAGGCCCTGGATGGGAACTCTTAAACCCCAGTTAGTGCTTGTGTGAGAGGTTATATTCGAGGTGCAGCTGCCTCTCCTGACTCCTTTGCACTCCTATCTAATTCTTACCAGACTCTTGGGAGGACAATCCCAGGCTGCAGATCGGCTTAATTTCAGCCCAAGGAAGAGAGAGAGTGCCTTCCACGTTGATTCCCATCACTTAGAAACCCGGCTGAAAGCAGGAGAAAGCCAGGGGAGAATTCCTCCCTTAGCACAAGTGCTTGCGCCACCTGGTGGTGAGACAGTCAAATGACGATTCTGTCCTCCGCTGCAGTTTTTAAATTGCAATTGCAAGGCAGAAGAGTGTGTACTTCCCAAGGTCACAGAGGATGGGCCTGGCGCGATAGCGTAGTGGTTAAAGTCCAAGTTCACGGAGGATGGAGTTGACACATAACTGTGGGTTGGCCGACAGGATGCCCATCACCCATACCCGGCTGCAGCTTCTTCTTCCAGCTTCTTGCCAGTACACACTCTGGGAGGCAGCTGTAATGGCTCAAGTCTTTGGGTTTGTCACCTTGGAAGATTGCCCTCCCCTGGTTGTTGTGACCTTTGGGGCCTGAACGAAGAGGTGGGAATGCATGCTACCTCCCATCTCAACAGTTTATTTTGGTGCAAAAACAAACTGAAATCCGTGGACACGAGGGTTTTCACAAAGTTCATGGAAAACGGATTATGAAAAAGACTCCGCATGAATTTCAAAATTTAATGTTTAGGTTCCATGCTCCATGGATGTTCTGAAGTGCCCTCATGCATACAGAATTTAAAAAATAACTCTAACGTGTGAGTAGAGGTGTCGAAGCAGTTAAATCACAAGTGGAGGTAAAGAACCAAATGCAGGGCCCGGTGCGGTGGCCTCATGGCTGAAGTCCTCGCCTTGAATGCACCGAGATCCCATATGGGCAACAGTTCTAATCCCAGCAGCTCCACTTCCCATCCAGCTCCCTGCTTGTGGTCTGGGAAAGCAGTCAAGGACGGCCCAAAGCTTTGGGACCCTGCACCCACATAGGAGACCTGGGGGGAAGTTCCTGGCTCCTGGCTTCAGATTAGCACAGCACCAGCCACTGAGGTCACTTGGGGAGTGAATCATTACACGGAAGATCTTCCTCTCTGTCTCTCCTCCTCTCTGCATATCTGACTTTGCAATAAAAATAGCTAAATAAATCTTTAAAAAGAACCAAATGCAAAGGAAGCAGTGATTGTAGGACACTGACCGGGCGGCCAAGCAGCCTCTTGCCCACCAGACACGAGTCCCGCTCGGACTCCATGCTGCGAGCTCCTGCTGTACCTTGAGATGACATGTGAGGACACAGGGAGCGGGTCTGCGGTCGGGACCACTGTTGGGGGTGAGGCAGACAGGGCAACCGTAGTGCTGAGTCCTGAACTGAGGGAGCCCTCATCCAAGCTTCCAGCACCCACCTGTGGATGTTCTACAGCAAATCGGTGGCAGCCTCTTTAGAAAAGTCTTGTGCAAGGCCTGATTAAAGGCGCGGCCTTCTGGTGTACTGGTCCTCCTTGGCTGGGAAGGGGTAGGGTCTGGGGGACTACCAATGCTCCACCCCTGTTGGGCAATCTAGTTGGAAGTGCTTCTGTGCAGTGGGTGGCATGCTCAGCATGTTAGAACTCGTGTAGTTCATGGGACTGGGTGATCTGATCCCCATGTAGTGCCAACCTGTGCCTTCCTAGGCACTGGCGCTAAAATTTACCGTTGGCATGTTTCCCTTTTGACCAGCAGATGGGTGTAAACATGTGGGAATCCATGTTTTTAGCCTTTTACAGTAAGGTGGAAAGTCACTCCTCTCCGCTCTAATTTAGCACTGCTGGTTGGCTAAACTTAACTTGCTTCCACATCAGTACATCGTGATGCCTACAAGGCAGGGTCATCTTCTCTATTCTGTTCCACTGTCCTTGGAAAGGTGGCTCCTGTTTCATGTCTCTCTCCCACCCTGCACTCTAAGTAAGCCCTTTCCTGGCTGTGTATTGGCCTCCACTGCTACCCACAGCAGATGACCAGGCCCCAGCACTGCGTGGGTGGCTTAGGGAACTTAGCATGGGGGCAGCAAAGAGGGGGATCCCTTTCTCCCTCATCATAGAGGGTCATGAGAACGGGGTTCATAAAGGAAAAGCCTGACATGGAATGAGACTGTTAAGGTGTATTATCCCACATGGGTAGCTTGGAGGTTTCATTACTGCTCCAAGACAAAGGCGGGGGTAGGGAGGGGACCCTCAGAATGCTATTCTTAATTGCCATGGCTGACTTTGTGAGAGCAGAGCTCGGTCCTGTGGCTCACTTCGCGATGTGAAGAGAGGCCTGGCTGCCGAGGCTTCCTCCTGGGCCCTGCAAGGTGTTTAAGTAGCAGGCCCAAGCCATGATGTTTTGGAACCCCAGTATTAAAAGCCAACCACACATCAAAACTTCCTGGACAGGTAGGGCTAAGGTTGCCAGATATCCTTGTAGCAAATCAGAAAACTACAGGAATCTGTGACAATTTACATTCCCAATGGTTTAAAAAAATATTTAAATGGGTCTCCTGTGTTTCTGGCAAGCTTCGCTGGGCAGTGCGGCTGAGGAAAGATTTGCACCCTCCCAAAGCGCAAGTCCCCTTAATGGGGTGGGTACTCGACCCCTGCCGGGGCAAGTGCATGCTGCAAATGGTCAGGCCTCGCGGGACCTTGGGCACGCAGCCGGGAAGAGGCGCGCGCCCCACTCCAAGATGGCGCCCGAGGCGGCTGCCAGAAGCCAAGATGGCGACACGGAGGCCGCGCCCGCGCTCCTCCCCCAACCTTCCCGGGGCCGGGAGTGCGACTCGCGTCGCCGGACGCCGGTCGCTGCGGCCTGGGTAGTGGTCCCGGCCGCGGCCCGTCCCGCGCCATGAGGTTCCTCGGCTGCTGGCCGACCCTGCTGTGGGTGCTCGGGCTTCCCGCCCGCGGCCTGGAGGGTGAGTTCGGGTCGGGGGTCGCGGGGCGGTGAGTGCGGGCACAGAGCGAAGGGGCTGGCCTGTCGCGGGCGTCCGCCGCGCGCTGCCCAGTCCGGGGGGACCGCGGGGCGGGAGGCCGTGTGGCCGGCCGGAGGTCACGGAGGGCCGCTGTTCCTAGCCCCCCAGCTGTCCTTCCCGCGTCTAGCGCTCGGTGAAGAGAAGTTGCAGTCACCAAGCGCCGGCATGCACTGTGGCCTGAGCCAGGCGGGCAGCTGGCAGCTGCAGAGTTAGGGTTAGGGCCCTTGAAGAGCGGGACACGGTCTGTCACCCCGTTCCCCACGCCAGGCCAGTCCTGCTCAGACTCCCGCGTGAAGGACCGGCACTGGAAGAACACTGGAGGCTCCCAGGGGACCCCTGGCTGGGGGCAGCACAGCCGGGCCGAGGCTTGGCCACACCACGCACAGGTCTGGCCTTGCTTGTGGCCGGAGCCTTCACAGGGCAGGCCAGTCTTGGGCGGTTGAGGAGCCACAGCCAGGCTCCTGTTTTCTTGCTGCACTTGACCTCCCGGCTCGGGGCAGCTGCATTACCTTTGCGTGTCTGCTGTTTGCTTCCAGCAGCGTTGTGCCCTGGGCGGCTGTCCAGTGAGGAGTAAGGGTGGGCTCTTTTGCCTTCTGACTTCTTTGGGTACCGGTGAGGGATATGAGGGTGCTTGGTGGTCTTGGACCCCTCCATCAGGACTCACCACAGGCTGCATGTTGACCCTGTCCCTGGGCTCTGAGGGTCTGTCTGTGAGTGGTACCAGTGTCCCCTCTGCTGTTCCTGGCCTTGGCCTTAGCCGTGGCTTTAAGTTTCTCTGCCCCCAGGCCCACACATGGGTGGTCTACTACACGAAGCCCACCTCACCTGGCCCAGGTGCACGTGCTGTTTCCTGGTCAACTGCAAGTCCCCTGAATCAGCCATGTGAGTCCACTCACTGTGTGAGTCCACTCACTGTGTGAGTCCACTGGAATAGTAAGGGGAACCCTGAGGATGCCCCAGCCACTGGCAGATGGTGGTTCCTCCTTTGTCTTTTATTTCCTCCTCTGGCAGCTTAAACTTTTTTTTGCTCATTGTGGCTAGTTTTGAGCTGTTTGATGATTATATGCCTTGGTATAGTTTTTGGGATTGGGATTTGTTGAGCTTCTAGGATCTATGAATTTATTTTTTTATCTAAAAAAAAAAGATTTTTTATTTTTATTTGAAAGAGTTAACAGAGAGAAGTAGAGACAGAAAGGAAGAAAGAGATATTCCATCCACTGGTTCACTCCTCAGATGATCGCAGTGCTGGAACTGAGCAAGCCAAAGCCGGGAGCTGGAAGCTTCCTTCAGGTTTCCCACCCAGGTGCAGGAGTCCAAGGACTTGGAGCGTCTTCCACCACCTTCCCAGGTCACAAACAAGAAGCTGTGTGGGAAGTGGAGGAACAGAGGCAACTGGTGCCCCATGTTCTGTCCCTTGGCCCTTTTTTTTTTTTTACTGCTCCAGTGGATTTTTTTTTTTTTATTGGAAAGTCAGATATATAGAGAGGAGGAGAGACAGAGAAAGATCTTCTGTCCTTTGATTCACTCCCTGCACTGGCCAGAGCTGTGCCATGTGTCTGAGGTACTGAATGACTCCACAGAGCTTTTTGATGTTTTGTACAGATGTGCCGTGTTAGGAAGCCCACAGCTCTCACCAGCTTTGGACCCAGTTGGCTACATCCTGGTAATACTGTTGGCCCACAGAGCTCATCAAACAGCTGGTGGCTTCCTAGCCATGGGGGTGGGGGTGGGCACGGGGGAGGGTGGGCTCCTTGCACACACCTGGCCTAGTTCCCCGGGTCCATGCCTGCCATGGCCTCTGCAGCCGGGGTGGAGTTGGTGAGCAGTGCAGGGCAGGAGTTGTTGCTCTAGAGGTCCGTGGAGGTTGCTGAATGGGCTCTTCACTTATCTGATCATTCTCACGCCCCACCTGCTGGCTCCAAAGTGGGAAGAAGGTCGCCCTCCTCCTCCTCTTGCTGCTGGCACTACTGCTGGGACATCTCCTATCTCTCCCAAGGGCGGCAAGCCCAGTGACCCCTGAGGTGTTGTGGGGGGCGGCCGAGGACTCTGCTGCTTGTGCTGTGGGGCATGGTGCTGAGCCCCTCAGCCTCAGTGTGGCCATTGTTAAGAGGGTTATATTAGTGTTTCATCAATACAGCTATAGACCTACGACAAACCACTTAGGAAGGAACTGGATGCTGGCTGGGAAGTAGAATAGCTAAGACTCAGATTCACACTTCTATGGAATGGCAGTGTCATGGATGGTGGCTTAACCCGCTGTACCACAACGCTGGCCCCTGCTGAGGGTGGTGGATGGCAGACCGTCTGCAGGGAAGGAATGTGTGGAGAGCTGGGGCACAGGGAGCTCCTGCTGCTTGTCCATGTCTGTGCAGTCTCTCCTGATGGAATCTCTGATTTCATCTTAGCGGCTCTACTCCCACCGCTCAGTCCCCACAGTCTCCCAATCCCATCGCTCCCCCAGAGGCCCCACACTGGATAAGTACCATCAACCATGACTTTGGGACTTAAATTAGGGAGTCAGATCCTATTGACACCACAGCAGTGGGCCTGATAGCCCTTGTGCTGCCTTTTCACAGAGCTGGGAGGATGTGTGCTGGCATGCTTTGCCCTGATAGAATCTTCTATAAAACTGTTATTTTCCTGGGTATCTCATGAAACAAGAGAGAACGTTAAAAGGGCTCACCTTATCTTTTGCTCCCTGTGTATCTGTGCCAGCCCTTGGTAGGTAGCAAGTCACAGGTCCAGCTGTGTATTGGTTCATTCATTTATTTGGCATTTGCTAACTTTGTACCCCGTGACCTCCTTCCTGACCTGGAAAATATGTGTGGGTGGCTGGCTGTTGAATGGAAAGGATAACTTTTTTTCTGTTTTTTTTTTTATTGTTATTATTATTTTTTTTATTGGAAAGGCAGATATACAGAGAGGAGAGACAGAGAGGAAGATCTTCCTTCCGATGATTCACTCCCCAAGTGAGCGCAACGGCCGATGCTATGCCGATCCAAAGCCAGGAGCCTCTTCCGGGTCTCCCACGCGGGTGCAGGGTCCCAAAGCTTTGGGCCGTCCTCGACTGCTTTCCTGGGCCACAGGCAGGGAGCTGGATGGGAAGAGGGGCTGCGGGATAGAACCGGCGCCCATATGGGATCCTGGGCATGCAAGGCGAGGACCTTAACCACTGCGCCACGGTGCCGGGCCCAACTTCTTTCTGTTAAAGGAAACTTTTTATTTGAGAACTGTAATTCTTGGGAGCTCCTTTTTTTTTCTTTATGGGTCAAGTCAGATATGACCATGAACATGTTGTCATGTTTTAGTTGCACAGGAAAGTGGTCACCTATGGCTGAAGGAGCAGCCTGCATCCCCTCGCCAGATGGGGGCTGTGTACCTGAGTGAGGAGGAGCCCCCGCACCCCTCAGTGGGCCAGGACAGGACCACGGAAGAGACTGACATGGTGCTGGGGCTGGACACAGCCAGTGATCCTGTGGCGATGCTGTCGGTGATTCCCGGGGAGGCCGAGGACCAGCTGAGTGAGGAGCCTGGCAGCCATGGCTCGTGTGGTCCTAGAGGCAAGGATGGCTCGGGGTGCCAGCCCCAGGAGAGCCCTCTGTCTTTGGACAGAGTGGAAGCCCACTTCTCTGAAAAAGAGGAGGACTACTACATCGGGCCAGAGGTGGCAGAGCCAGAACCGTCTCCAACAGAGGATTCTAACAGCACAGAAAGTCTCAAGTCACCCAAGGTCACCTGTGAAGAGAGAAATGTGACAGGATTAGAGAATTTCACTGTGAAAATTTTAAATATGTCCCAGGTAAGAAGATCATTATGTAAGACTTTTTTTTTAGTTTTGCTTCAAAGTATTTCGCTAAAGTAGACACTTGTACAAGAAAAAGTCAGTAAGAAATTGCTGGGTTGAGATGTAAGGGCCTCAAAATATCCATCCACTTTCTGTTGTTGACAACAGTTTAAGAAAACACCAGAAAGAGATGGGTTCCTGTGACCTGCCCCCGTGAGCCAGAGGCCACCTGTATTGGCAGAGTTGGCTCACAGAAGGGGCGCGTGTCAGAGCCACCTAGGTGACCAGCACTGACAGTGTTGAGCTGGTGCTGGGCACTGTGCCGCTCAGCGGGGCAGCCTGGGGCAGCAGAGTGCATCAGGAGGTTAAAGGTACCGATCCTGTGATTGCACTCTCAACCGGCAATCACCTGGAGGCCCAGGGTGGCATGTATCGCACTGTTTAGGGGACACTGCTTAGTGGCTGCCGTGGTGGAAGCTGCCTCGGCTCCCCATGGAGTCTAGGGAAAGGAGAAACCAGCACAGGTGTCAGGGAAAGTTTTCCAGGCGCCTCCATCTAGTCACCCACGAGGTGGCCTCAGACCAAGCCTCAGGAACAAAAACCCTAGCGACAGATGCTGGCCTCAGATTGACAATCTTCTTCCAAATAATGGGCTTGCTGAAGATGCAGCTTAGCAGTATCTAAATTAGGAAAACTGCACGTTGGCCTCAGTTGGACAAGTATTGCCTCTGGAAACATGTCTTACCAATGGAAAGGTCAGGGAGCTAGACCTGGGCCCATTGTCCCCAGCCCAGCAGTGCTTTTCCAGACTGTTGGGGCTGGGAGATGGTTTCAGGAGGCATCCAGGGCTGGGCCTACCCATGGGGAAGAGCAGGACACGTCCCGGTTGCTTTTGCAGGAGAAGTGCTGGTTCTGAGAGCGGGAGCTGGGCACCGTATCATCGGTGCCCATAGCTGCAACATGGCTGGCTCTAGCACCCCTCCTGAGTGGCCGAAGATGCTGTTGCAGCTGTGCTGGCTGTGGGATGGGTGTCACACCGTGGTTGGGGCATTGTGAGCTTTAGCCTGAGCCGTGGCCTGAGCTTGCCTGAGCTTGCCTTGGCCGGTTAGCATCACGTAGCTGTTGAGTCTAAGCTCGGCTCTGCAGAGCTGGATGCTGGAGGCTGAGCCCACACGGGGCTCACCTCATGCTGCATGAGTCTGATTGAGGTCCTGGGTTCAAAGGTGGGAGCAGGGTGCCCTGGGAGAACTCAATGAAGGGTGAAAAATAGTGCAGTATCTCTGCAGCCACTTTGTGAAAGATTTATTCATTTATTTATGAGCAACAGGGAGAGAGGGCAAGCCAGAGAGAGAATCTTCCATTTATTTGCTGGTTCACTCACCAGATGGCTGCAATGGTTGGGGCTGGCTGGGCCAGGCTGAAGCCCAGAGCTAGGGACTCTGAGTCTCCCACATCGCTGGCCAGAGATCCTACTATCTGAGCCAGTATCTGCTGATACTTAGGGTGCACATTTGAGGGAAACTGGCTAGGAAACAGAGCCACAGTGCCAACCAGTTACTGCTGTGTGGACAGAGGTGTCCGCAGGGGTGACCTCTGAGGCAAACACCTACCTTCAACAGTACTTCCTTGTGGATTTATGGATTCATTGGGTTCAGAATTCCCAAGGTTCTCCTGCTTTCCCCACCCTCACCCCCACTACTGGAAGGAGGGTAGGTTTGCTGCTTCCTGGGTTTCCTTCCAGGGCCTTGTGCGTGCCATTGACCCCTGACCCCTTGCTTTTCTCCTCCTTGCCTGCAGGACCTGATGGACTTCCTCAACCCCAATGGCAGTGACTGCACACTGGTTCTGTTCTACACCCCGTGGTGCCGCTTCTCCGCCAGCCTGGCCCCGCACTTCAACTCGCTGCCCCGCGCCTTCCCAGCTCTCCACTTCCTCGCCCTGGATGCATCTCAGCACAGCAGGTGTCTCTCCCCCTCCACCCCCTGACACCTGCAGCTACTCAGAGGCTGTGATGTCAGAGCAGAGGCGGTAGACAGGGTGGAAGAAGGGAAAGGATTAGTGGGGGTGGACTGTTGCATCCTAGGGGGCTGGAAGGTTCCTGGAGAAAGGGGCCTGGTCTCTGCCTGGTGGCTTCAGGGGAGCAGGTGGTGGCACTGGGTGGTAGGGAAGAGACCTGAGGACTTTTTAGGTCCTGGCTAGACTCAAATAGCCCAGTTGGAATCCCCGTGGGGTATTCTTTTGTGGTTTTACCTCACAGTTAGGGCCCCACCCTGGCAGCCTACCTGCCAGCCCCTGTCCAGTCTGTGTGGGATTTTCTTTAGTTCCTTTTTCCTTCCCCTTTCCTTTTTCACCTTTTCCTTTCTCTTTTTCTTTGCCATTTCGCTCTTTGCTCATTCTTACACTTGTTCTTTGCATGCACGTTCCGTAACAGGCAAGAAGGGAATGACTTAACTTAGTTCTTTGAAGTGACATTGAGCCTTTATCATTTGCTGGGGTTCTTTTGTAAATGATTGCTAAAACTGGCCACTGAGGACCTGGTTTGGATGCTCTGCATTTCCTCTAGGTGCTGTGGCCTCGTGTTCCATGTTCCTTGGCGGTCACAGGGAGGCTCTGTGGCATGAGGTTGAATGAAACCATGTTTATCTGCACACAGCTGATCTCCTGAGTGGAGGCGTCCCTGCCGATGCTTACACAGGACTGTTGACAAGACAACCTGCCAGTTAGCTGGCATGTGTACTGGCCTCAGGAGGACTCCCAAGTGGCCCAGCACAACCTGGTGGGGATGCGCAGTCCCTGACCAGCCTCGAGCAGGCCCCAGTGCAGGGGCACAGCCTGGTGGCGGGGACTGTGTGGCCCCTGTCCAGCCTTGAGCAGGCACACCTTGGTCATGGCTCTGATACTGCCCACAGGCTTTCAGTGTCTGCATTGTTCTCCTTCCTTCTCTTCCTGGAGCGCATGGTTTGGTGCCTTGATTGTGGAGAGCAAGAAACTTGTTATTGTGTGGGCTGTGACATGTGTTTGCCTCATATATGCTCACCTGTACCCTTTGGTATGTGTACAGGAGTCCTGTCCTTCCTCCAGGCTGGAGGCTGAGGTGTGGGGAGGTAGATCACCCTGCCGGAGGGCACGCTGTTGGCTCAGGGGCAGAGCTGAGGCTTGGCCATGCAGTGCTCGTGGGGCATGTTGCCACTGGCCAGGCTGCGATACAGGAGGGGAACAGCCACCCTGTGGGTCTGCCCTATGCATGCCCATCCTCCATGTGTCGACCTCTTTACTTCCACAGGTTGGCCTTTCTCGTGGGCGGGGCTGGCATGCCAAGGAGCTTGCACTTTCCCCTCTTGAGCAAAGGGACATGGCGTGTGTTGTTGGTGAGGTGGAGTTTCCCTGGCTGGCTTCTGCTGACGTTTAGGCGCTTGGCTAGTGGAGCCACTGCACTGTGGTAGAGCCACATCCTCCCTAAGAACATGGTGGGTCACAGAACAGGTGCGTTCCCAACTGTGCCTCATAAGGACAGGGTCAGGAACCATGCAAAACCTGGAGATCCGGGCCCCAGAAACCTCTGAACTGCATGACCCCTGTCTTCTCGGCACTCTCATTTCTGTCCAGCCCGACAGGTGGAGGTAGGAGGAAGCCCACTATCGGATCTTTTGACCAATTTCTTTCTCTTATAGCCTTTCTACCAGGTTTGGGACCGTGGCTGTTCCTAACATCCTGTTATTTCAAGGAGCAAAACCAATGGCTAGGTTTAATCACACTGATCGGACGCTGGAAACCCTGAAAGTTTTCATTTTCAATCAGACAGGTATGTGGACACACTGCTCTGAGGCAGGAGATCTGGGGCGTTTGCCTTTGTGGGTTCTTAGTTGCTGCCATCCTTTGCCCAAGGGAAGCAGTTGGGACCGACAGTGGTTAGTCATGAGCTGTTAGGATCCTGTTAGGTCTCAGTCACTGGCAAATGCAAGAGCCACCTCAGTCTTCTTTTTTTTTTCCTTCCTCTTCTCCTTTTTCTTCTTGTTCCTTTTTTTTTTTTTTTTAACATTTACTCATTCTTATTGGAAAGACAGATTTACAGAGAAGGAGATATAGAGAGAAAGCTCTTCCATTTGTTGGTTTACTCCCCAGCTGGCTGCAGTGGCCAGAGCTAAGACAGTCTGAAGCCAGGAGCCAGGAGCCTCCTCTGGGTCTCCTATGTGGGTGGCCTTGGGCCATCCTCGACTGCATTCCTAGACTATCAGCAGGTTGCTGGATGGGACGTGGAGTAACTAGGACAGGAACCGGTGCCCATACGGGATCCCGGGGCATGCAAGGAGAGGATCCAGTCACTAGGTCATCATGCCAGGCCTGCACATACACTGTTAATGGCCAGAGATAGTTTTATTTTTGAAAATGAAACCTAAACCAAGCTATATGGAAATAAGTAGGTAGCATTTACGTACATTTTGCATCTAAGTGTGACAATTGACATGAAGTTTGCATGCACCTTTGATGTTTAGGGTGAGGAATTTTCACAGTGAACATGGTGGGGAGCCAGGACTGGAGCGAGAGGCAGAGTGTGACCAGCGCCCCTGCTACACTGCAGCCCTTCTTGCCCTGCCCTCCACAGGGATAGCCCCAGGTCTGATGCCCAGTGCCACAGACCCCTGGGCACTCTGTCAATAGCACCTCCTGTCTCATTGGGTGGATGGTTGCATTTTGTTCATTTTTATTGCCATTTCTCAATCCATTTGCAGATACTATATAAATCTTTCAGTATTTTTTCAAACATATTTTTAAATTTTTGTTTTGTAAAAGTTTGAAGAAATTTCTTCTGTGGAAAAGTTCACTTCCAAAAGCGTTAATACCTGTTATGAACATCCCACTTCTTCCTAAAGTCTACTCCCTGGAGCCAATGCAGGGCAACACCCTTGCCACGTATTTTAAGTTGTACATAAATCCTTGCTCTGAAGCTTCAGCACAAAGAACCGTTAACTGGGGGGCAGCAGTGGATATTGTGAGATGTCAGCTGTAGGCATGTCCCAGATCCTGAGGGACATGGGCAGAAGATGTCATTTTGCTTGGTACACTGAAAAGTAGAACACCAATGATATCTCCAAGCCCTAGTATCCTTGGCGACCACTGACCCCATGCCAGCTTATGCTTTTCAGCTGCAACTCACCTGACAGCATTTTGATATGGCTTAGCCTAGCCTGCGAACACACTTGGTAGCCCTCCAAAAGTGGCTTCTGCCAGTTACTTTTTGGACTCTGGACTGAAAAGAGAACAAAAAACAACTCTGAACAGTACATTGAACAAGAAACCTCTGCCAAGTTCATGGCAATTCTAGTGGAGCGCCGCAGCGCTTTGATGTGGTGTGGGGAAAGGTTAGCTACAAATTACATCGACAAGCACATGAAATTCACCTCAGATATGCCAGCAGGGGTGCTTATCTCAGGGGCGGCCACGTGTCAATTTGCATGCCATGCGTGATGCTTGAGAAAATACTGTGGTGTTGCCTGTGCCCTCTGATTTGCAACAGCGATTTCTCTTTCAGGTATAGAAGCCAAGAAAAACGTGGTGGTGACTCTAGCCGACCAAGTAGGACCCCTCCCCAGCACTCTGATCAAAAGTGTGGACTGGCTACTGGTATTTTCCTTATTCTTTCTGATCAGCTTTATCATGTATGCTACTATCCGAACTGAGAACATCCGGTGGCTCATCCCAGGACAAGAGCCGGAGCACGTGGAGTGATGGGCACTAAAGGGAGACTGGGGAGGAGGGCCCTCGGCCCTTCATGTCAGGAACGAGTGGAGCGCTGCCCTTATCCACACGTGTTCCCCAGGGGCTGGCAGACTCTCCCAGAGAAGAATCACATGTTTGTGGAACTCCTCAATGTGCAGAGAAAGCCACAAACAGGTGTTGGACCAAGTCTCGCAAGAAGCACCAACAGAATTCTTTGTTCTGTTTTCAGCCACTTGGCTATAGTCCTGTACCTTGCGAGGCATCCATTTGCAGTGGGAAGACAAATGCTGGTGTACTCGTGGTGACTGGCATGACGCTCACTGCCCAGGCGTCCCAGGACAGCTTTAGGAAGCACCTGGTTTCCTCATGTCTGTCTGGGGTGGTCAGTTTCCTGTTGGTTTAGTTTTTTTTTTTCAGTGTGCACAAGCAGGAAAAGTGTTTTGTTCTGGGAGGAGTAACTAGAATTGATAGGCATGACACCACAAGTAATAACAGCTGAAGGAAAATAAAACAGTCCAGTGTCTCCATGTTTGCCATCTTATCCCTCACCACTGAGGGAAACCAAAGGTGATTTTGGTTGGTTCTGGCTGAGGGTGGTGTTAGGTCATTGTTACTGAAACAAAGGCTCCCTGAGGATCAGGCTGTGTTAGAGCATGAACTGTCGCCGAAGCTATTTCTCCAGTGAGCATCAGTGGAATTGTCAGATGTCCCTGGTGCTGTGCCAGGCTTCATGAGCTCCTAAAACAATGTAAAACCCTGTTCTTGCCCACAGGTTGCTTCTAGTCCACTCCAGGACATAGTCACCCAAGAGCCACAATGTGCATCTTGCAAACTTTTTGAGAAGCTGTTTCTGAAAGTCTTTTTAAACTCACATGCGACAGCTGACTCTAAAGTACCTCTATACTATTGCCATTGTTTGGGAAAGAGATAAGTATTTATATAGTACCTTATGCCCTATGAAGACAGAACCTTAGGTGGGTCTACTGAAAGTTTGCAATTTTGTAGTTCTGTGTCATAGAGAACAGCCATGGCTGGAGTGGTCTCCCTCAGGAGGGGACCATGGCTGAGAACTGGACCATAACTGTTTGATTTACAGATGAGCAACTGAGACACACAGAAGTTAAATGGCCCACTCAGGTTACATAGATTTAAATTCATACATTTAAATTCACATACATGTACACCTGTAATTGCAAATAAAAGGGAGAAAACCCCGAATGTTTCCATTTCCCATAATAACCACCATTTGAGTCACTACTGTGACAGGTCCCACAGTAAACGCCTTACCTGTGCTATGTCACATGCATGGCGTTTCTACTGCTCGATGTCCTCCTTTGAGGGCAGGTTTCAACATGGTGGTGAAGGTGTCCACGTGTGGGATACCTGCGTTCTGCTGTGGCTGGCTCTGGCTCCCGAGTCCTGCTTCCTGCGCATGCGCACCCGCACCCTGGGAGGCAGCAGGTGACTGCTTAGCAGTTGGCTTGCTGCCCACCCCTCTGGGAGACCTGGATTCTGTGCTGGCTCCCAGCTTTAGCAATGTCTGTTGTGTGCACTGGGAAAGTGAGCTGGCAGATAGATCTTGCACCATGTCTATTGTATTAAACATAATTTAAAAAAAAAAGACTTTCTTGTTTTTATTGGAAAAGCAGATCAGATTTATGGAGAGTCAGAAAGATCTTCCCATTTGCTGGTTCATTTCCCAAATGGCAACAATGACTGGAGGTGAGTCAATCTGAACCTAGGATCCAGGAGCTTCTTCTGGGTCTCTCAAATGGGTAGAGGTTCCTAAGGCTTTGGGCCATCTTCTGCTGCTTTCCCAGGACACAGCAGGGAGCTAGATTGGAGTGGAGTAGCCAGGACACAAACTGACACCCATATGGGATCCCAGGGTTTGCAAGGTGAAGTTTTAGCCATTGAGCTATCATGCCAATGCCTTAATAAAATAGTTTAAATACTTCTCATCTTTAAGAACACACTGAAATCTCAAAAAATTTAAGAAAATGTATTTTTATTTGCAAATCAGAGACAGATTTTTGGCCAGCTGGCTCATTCCCCAAATGGCCACAATGGCTAGGAGCTGCATTCAGGTCTTGGCGAACAGTTGCTGGGGCCATTAGCAGGGTGTTACATTGGAAGTGGAGCAGCCAGGACATGAACTGTTGTCCAAACAGGATGCTGGTGTTGCAGGCAGGCAGCAGCTTTACTCGCTATGCCACAACTCTAGCCCCTAGTATTCATTTTAATAAGCAAATGAAGGCAGTGCTTTTTATGGTCATACACCCTTGTGTCCCCACTGATAGTCTTTAACTCCACCTGGGTGCTGAATTCTTGTAGTGTCAGGCAAACGCATGTCTTAGATGCAAGGCTCAGACCAGGGACATCCGATTATGGGCCCTGAGGATTCTAACCCCCGGTTGGCTTTTGAAATATCGGACATCTTGTCATGTGGGTAAGGCAAAGAAAGGAGGTTGGGGAATACTTCTGGGCTATTTTGTAGCAAAGAGCTTCATTTTCCCCAAGTCTTTAGGAGATAATGTAGGTGCTAACAATTGCTAAGTTGAATTTAAATAGACTGTTATAATGGATATATGCACTTCCTATATTCTCAGTTGTAAGCTGCTTACATCTGCTTAAATGATTAACTTTAAAAAGGTGAGTATACTAAAAGACACGTTAGACAATTTTATAGTGAGTCAATTATAGTTCAAAAAAGAAAAAAGGGAGTAAGAGAATGGGGTATGAGCAAGCATGCACGCACGTACATAAATGGGAAAAACTATCTCTCCCACGAAGATTCAAGAGAAAGCCTGCATGTGGCTGCACCTGTTCCCACGGTGGCACCCAGCACTCCCGCACCTGTGTGCATGCTTCGCTCCAGCAGTTTTCAGGGCGCAGCGAGCCAGAGCAGTGCCAAGCAGAGCCTGGGTTTGAATCTGCGACTACCTGGCGCCTAGGCCCTTGTGAGAGCCAACCCCGCTCCGCTTCAGCACCGAGTTTAAGTAGCAGGTGCGGGGTGGTCCCCAAGCACCCGCAGCTGGTCCTTGCCCTCCGCCGCCCGCCCAGGAGCATCCTGAAACAACGCCCCGACCCGAGGGCCCCGGACGCACACTGCTGCGGCCTCAGGCCCCGCCGCGCCGGGTTCACCCGGAGCCAAGCCAGGCGGCGGCCATTGAACAGCCCGGCTTGAGGGCCTTCCAGACCTGGGCCTGCGCCGCGGGGCTGGCCGTGGGACGGGTCGAGCTCGTGGCTCCGCGAGGCCCGTGGGAGCGGCAGCCCGAGCGGCGAGCGCGGCCGGCGGACAGGCAGTGCGCGGGGCAGCCCTCGGCGGGCGGCTATGGCGGCGGCGCTCGGGGCGCGGGGCGCGACGAGGCGCTTGTTGGCGGCGCTGCGGGGCAGAAGGCCGAGCCTCGCGGCCATGGTGAGTGCCCAGCGGCCGCGAGCACGAGAGAGCGCGAGGCTCCGCGGCGCCGGCTGAGGGGCGCCAGCGGCCGGGCCGAGCCTGAGGTGGGCCGGGCCTTGCGGACCCCGGATGCCCGACGCGCGCACGGCGGACACTTGGCCCTTGGCGTGAACATTCAGCCACCGTCCTCGAACTCGGTCTGCGGGAAAGAGCGAGTTTTTTGCAGGATGGGGTTAGTTAGCTGTAAACTCTGAGGGGAACTTCAGGTGCTCGGCGGTCAGGGAGCTGATTGGCTTTGGAGCGGTCACGAAGGATCTTTTGGCGAGGCGGGAAGCGTCTGGAAGCTTGCCGCCCTCCGCCTCTGCCTGCCTGGCCGCGCAGCACCACCTGGTGGACGAGGGGTGCCTTCCACTCGCCCTGATTTCCTTGGCTGCTCCTCAGAACCCACTGGGCGCTTCGGGGGTGACTAGAAATTGCCCACAGCGAAGCTGGCGACGCGGCTCGAGCGCGCTCACCCGGGCGGGTCTCAAGGCATATCTGACCCCAGGTGCTGGTGACCAAACAAAATGAAGGTGTTTTTGGCTGTCACTTGCCAGGCTCTGAGCTAGGCACCTTCGCATTCCAGGTCTCAAGATTTTTATCTTATTCCTTTGAAAGACAGCGTTACAGTGAAAGAAACAGGGAGACCCCCCTCCCCCGCCCTGGAGAAATGGTTTGTCAGTATCCATTTTTTTCCCCCGTTTGTAGAGTAAATCACCTCAAGTAGAGCCGCTTTAACCTCATTGATAGATGAGTTGGATCCTGAAGTGGGGAGAGAGCAATAGCTCTGTGGCAGATGGCCTGCAGAACTGCACAGAGCACCAGGCCATGAGCGGCCCTTGCCTCAGTTCCTTTTCTGGGTGACGGTCTCTTTCCCCTGAGCCAGTGTTGGCTCTGTGTGTGGATGAGGCAGGAGGACTTGTCTGAGAACCCAGCAGTGTCCTCATCTCACTGGCTACGGTGCTTAGAAGTCTCGTGGCTTGTAAAGTGTGGACCTGCTAAGCATCAGAGTCTGGGGTTGTGAGTGTCCTCCCTGGCCAGGAGGAAGAGGGTGGCCCGTGTACGTGAGGGCTTTGGACACGAGAGTGGTGACCCCTGGGTGCTCTGAGAAGTGTTTCTGCAAGCTCGCTCTGTGGAGGAAGGGGCTTTGGCCTGTCGTTCAGGGTCCCTGTGGAGCCCCAGTGGTGACTGATGATGGACTTTTCCCCTGCTCTGCTGATTGGTTTTCATCAGACCCAAAAAGACACAGGAATCCCACATGGTGAAGACCCAGGTGAATAGGCAGGGACGCCACTGAGGGGGTACAGGACCACACAGCGTACAGCACACTGGGAGTTTGGAGCCCAGGGCTGCTCCCGGCCCTGCTCATGGCCTGACTGGGCCTACCAAGTCTTGGAATTATGCTGGGTGTCTCCCATGGCTGCTGGCCATGGTGAACCTGCGTGGGTCTGTGACTGAGCAGGGAAGCTGACCTGTGAGAGGCCACTGCTTGGGCTGGGGATCCCCCCCCCCGTGAGGCAGCTGGTTCCTGCCAAGCAGTGCTCACTTCCTTTGAGAACAAAGGGGCAAGAGGTGGTTGGCACTTGTTGCCCTTTGAATTCATCCTGCCCGTTCCCTGAGTAGTTGTGAGTGTCCTGGAGTTGGAGGTGGCCTCTGTGCTTTCAGAAACAGAAATGTGTTTTATCCACAGTCGACTGATGCCCGGGGGCTGGCAGCAGAAGAGCGGAGACAGGCCGTGCTTGACCTCAAAGCGGCAGGATGGGCAGAGTTAAGTGACAGAGACGCCATCTACAAAGAGTTCTCCTTCAAAAGTTTTAACCAGGTAATTATTACACATTCTTGCAGGCGATGTGGCTTGCTGCTTGTCACCCAGGCTCTGACCTTACTGGTTGTATGATCCCAAGGTTCCCATTATAGATGGTCATCCTGGGTCACAACTGCTGTCTCAACTCAGGGTGTGGGGCGGGGGATTGGAAGAACAGGGATGTGACCTGAGTTAACTTGGAGAATCAAATTCCCAAGCCACTGTTGCCCTGGTTCGGGTTTGCTTACAGCGTTGTCTATCAGAAGGGGCCAGAAGAAAAACAGAAGCACACACCTGTGGAACTAGTTGCCTTTAATCTTCCCTGGGGGGGTTCGGAAGTTTCTCCCTTCCTGTGGTGTGGTTCTATCTCTCCGTCATCTCCTCAAGCTGCACCGTCTCCACTGGCCCATACCGTTTCCCCACAGGCTTCATATGCAGGCCTGGAAACTCTTTTCCAAGCCTGACTTTACTTGCAAGCCAGCCCTGCACGTGGTCTGCACCCTGCTTACGGAGCCACCTCCTATGACTTCCGTTCAGTTCCCGTCCGGCTGTGCCTGCAGCAGGGGGATGGATTGTGGCTGTGGTGTGTTTGTTCAGCGAGTTCAGTAATCCTCCGGACAGATTTATTGTTTTTATTTATATTAGCTGTCAGCTTTTCAAAGTCGGAGACCATGTTGGCTTGAATAACTCTTCCTTTGTCCCCAACATGGTGCTGGGTAGAGACAGGCGTGGGCTAAATGCACGCATTGATGACAGCGTTTACCAGTCTCCAGGAGGGCGTGTGAGGCCCAGAATTCCACCGGCGAAGCCCTCGGCGTGTTTGCCCAGGGAGTGATGCTGGTCCCCACCACTCCAAGCCACTGACCCTGCTGTGTGCTCCGTCCATCTGGCTGCCAGGCTCTGCTGCAAGACCCTGGCTCTGAAGGAAAACCCGGGCCAGGCCCACTCGCTGGCCCTGCTGCCCCACGTGCTCGACAGTTCTTGTCAGGGGCTTAGCACTCTGTGGCTGGTGGCAGAGAATCCCATTGGCACAGTAAGCTTGCGTGTAAGCTCTAGGTAGCATTTTCCAAGCTTATTAAAATTCTTACATGTGTACAGCTTGACTTCTTTAAGCCTGGCCTAATTTATTGGGCTTGAACATGTGGCTTCAAGTACTTGTGTGGTGCTGCCGCGGGCTCTGCCATGAGTCAGTCCTCCAGCCCCACTTAGCTGGGACCTGGGCAGCTGTCAGAGTGGCCAGGAGTGCAGCTGTGTAGGGTATCCATAGTTCCATATGCTCATGTCACTCCCTGTTGTGACGTTTGATTAGTTGGTGGCCTTTCTTTGCCCAGTCTATGGGGAACAAGAGACAGGTGATGAGGACCCCTGGCAGGGGATGTGTCCAGAGAACCAGCCCTGTGGCTCCTACAGCATCTACAGCAGCCACTGCTGCCCTGGCCATGGGCAGGGCCCCTCTGGCCACAGGTGGCTGGGCCTGGGACTTTGCTGAACAAGCTCTGCAGGTGGGCAGAGTGCTCGGCCCTGGGGAGCCGTGGGCACCTCATGGGAACAGGGTAGGGCAAATTTGCTATAGGCCTTGGGCCTGGCGCTGGTGATTTTGATTTTGTGGGTTGGACAGTGTCTGTCCTTGATCTGTGCTCGGGTCATCCAGTGGTTTTGCTTTCGTTGTGAATGTCCTGGTTACAGGAGGCTTTGGTCCGGTGTGAGAGATGCAGCTCCACAGGACAGCGCCAAGGCCCGGTTGCCAGGCCTTACCTGCTTCCAAGTGCCTGATGAGCAGGGTCATGACACTCTAGCCATGAGTGACCCTCACTCATCTTTGATCTTGGATGAAAAAACCATTTTTTTTTAAAGATTTATTTATTTTATTGAAAAAGCAGATGTACGGGCCCCGGCGGCGTGGCTTAGCGGCTAAATTCCTTGCCATGAACGTGCCGGGATCCCATATGGGCGCCGGTTCTAATCCTGGCGGCTCCATTTCCCATCTCAGCTCCCTGCTTGTGGCCTGGAAATGCAGTTGAGGACGGCCCAAAGCTTTGGGACCCTGCACCCATGTGGAAGACCTGGAAGAGGTTCCTGGATCCTGGCTTTGGATCGGCATAGCATCGGCCGTTGTGCTCACTTGGGGAGTGAATAATCGGATGGAAGATCTTTCTCACTGTCTCTCTGCCTCTGTATATCTGACTTTCCAATAAAAATGAATAAATCTTAAAAAAAAAAAAAAAAGAAAAAGCAGATGTACAAAGAGGAGGAGAGTCGAGAGGAAAATTTTCTGTCCGATGATTCACTCCCGAAGTGGCCGCAACGGCCAGTGCTGCGCCGATCCAAAGCTGGGAGGCAGAGTTCCTCCGGATCTCCCACGCGGGTGCAGGGTCCCAAAACCTTGGGCTGTCTTCTACCACTTTCTCAGGCCACAAACAGGGAGCCGGATGGGAAGTGGAGCTGCTGGAATTAGGGCCAGAGCTGAGTCAATCCAAAGCCAGGAACTAAGAGCCTCCTCTAGGTCTCCCACGTGAGCACAGGGTCCCAAGGCTTTGGGCCATCTTCTGTTGCTTTCCCAGGCTACAAGCAGGAAGCTGGATGGAAGGTGGAGCAGCCAGGATAGAACTGGTATGCTTATGGGATCCTGGAGCCAGGATTTTGCCACTGAGCCACACGCTGGGGTTCTCTCTTATTATTATTGTTATTTTTAAGATTTATTTATTTGAGGGCCCGTTGGCATGGCCTAGCAGCTAAAGTCCTCGTCTTGAGTGCACCCAGATCCCATATGGGCGCCAGTTCTAATCCTGTCAGCCCCACCTCCCATCCAGCTCCCTGCTTGTAGTCTGGGAAAGCAGTCGAGGACAGCCCAAAACCTTGGGACCCTGCACCCATGTGGGAAACCTGGAAATGTTCCTGGCTCCTGGCTTCAGATTGGCGCAGTTCTGGTCATTGCAGCCACTTGGGGAGTGAATCATGAGGTGGAAGATCTTTCTCTCTGTCTCTCCTCCTCTCTATATATCTGACTTTGCAATAAAAATAAATAATAAATTTTAAGATTTATTTTTATTTGAAAGTCATACCCAGGGCTACGGACAGTCCTGGTGGCAGTTATTGAAGGTTGCCCTGACTAGGCTATCGTTCCTACTGGTGTGTATGAGGACCAAGTATGTGGTGGGCAGGGCTGGGCTGGGCTGCAGCATTCGTTGGTTTGCGTAGGAGATTGGGCCGGGGACAGTGTGTGTAGAATGATGTAGGAGATGGACTGAGTTGGACCTTGTACTGGCTGGCACACACAGGAGTCAGATTTGGGGTTACTTTGGAAACCCTTCAACTGGACCACTGGACTAAGAACTCCAACCTCAGGGAAAATGACATGATTTGTGGTTCAGCCTTTGAATGCATGTATTGGGACTGGGCCTGCTTAGTTGCTGATGCCCTTGCAGTGGGCAGCATACCCAGATGCACATGGGGGACATGACAGCCAACCTATCTAGGCCGGCTGTGGACACAGTACTTTTTCTCCCCATCAAGAGTCTTAAGATGACATCAAGTGGCCATCCCCCGTCCCTGGGTACTGATGTGGTTTGGCTGTTGGGAGAGGCCCCAGATACAGGAGGAAAAAAAATTAGAAGCATTTGTCTCACCCACCTTTCCCCATGCCTTGACCCTTGCCACCCTAATCAGTGATCCAGATGGACATACATCCTTCTCAACCATGTAAACAACATCAAAAATAAGAAAATAAAAAAATAAAGATTTATTTATTTGAAAGTCATTGTTACCAGGAGGAGGTAGAGGAGAAAGAGAAATCTTCTATCCTCTGGGTCACTCCCCAAATGGCTACAACTGCTTGAGCTGGGCCAGTCCAAAGCCAGGAGCTTCTTCCAGATCTCTCATGTGTGTGCAGGGCCAAGCACTTGAGTCATTCTCTGCTGCTTTCCCTGGTGCATTAGTGGGGCTGGATCAGAAATGGACTCAAAGTAGCACCCCTATGGGATGCTGGCACTGCAGATTGCAATTTTACTCACTATTCCACAGTGTCCATTTCCCATTTATTTACTTTTTGAAAAGCAGAGAGAGTGAGACGGGGAATGTTCATCTGTTTCTTCACTCTTCAAACGCCACTTTGAAGCCAGGAACTCAACAGATCTTCTGTGTGGGCGGCAGGAGTCCAGGCACTTGAGCCGTCAGCGCTGCCTCCCAGGGTGGCATCAGCAGGAAGCTAGATGCAGAAGCAGAGCTGAGGCTAGAAGCCAGGCTCCATGATATGGGATGCAGATGTCCTTAGACACACTCAAGTTTTTAAAAGGAGATTTATATATTTTTGTGAAAGGAAGAGTTACAAAATGAAAGGGAGAGACACATCTTCCATTTACTTTGTAAGTGGCCGCAACAGCCAGGATTGGGTCGGCTGAAGACAGGATTCTGGGGCACCATCTGGGTCTCTTACACGGGTGATGGGAGCCCAAGAACTTGAACCATCTTTTGCTTCCTTCCCTGCTGTGTTAGCAGGAAGCTGGATCATACATGGCGCAGGGTGGACTTGAATTGACACTGCTAAGGGATGCTGCCATACATACAGTGACTTAACTTGTCATGTCACCATTGCAGCCCTGCCAAGCCGCATTCCTCACCCTAACCTTCTCAAGTATAGACTAATGTTTGTATGTCTTGGGCCATGTAAAAAGGAAGCTGTGTGGCTGTCCCACACTGTGGCTTGAGTTAAACATGTGGCCACTTCTGGGCTTTGTAACATGGAGCTCTGAGAGGGTCTTTGGTTTTTCTCAGCGTGGGGAATAGTGACACTTGTATTTTAGCGAACTGTATCTGAAGGGCGAGGGGTGACTGCCTGTGTGGTGATCATGTGGGTATTCACTTTGGAGTCCCAGGGAACCTCCGGACAGGGCTGTATGTTTGTTGGAACTCATGTCTCGGTGTCGTCTCGGTGTCCGTGGAGGCAGGGAAATGAGAACTTCAGATGTTACTATTTGCCGTCTTGCTTCTGCTATTTGTGTCACACACTGGGTGCAGCCTTG